GTGAGTGTGTGTGTGTGTGTGTGTGTGTGTGTGTGTGTGTGTGTGTGTGTGTGTATGGTGTGCGGGACAAGTGCGCCTGCTTGGCAAGACAAGACAAGACACGACAAGAGGCGACCAAAAGACGGGTACGGACAGAAGGGAATGGAACGAGGATTATTATGATTTGACACGACGAGACAAGACAGGTCAGGAAGAGGCCGCCGCGGGCGTGGGTGAGGGCGCGTGTGTGGTGGTTTGGCATACGCCGGCGTGGGCAGTAGCAGCAGCAGCAGGCAAAGGCACTAGGCAGAGTTTGAAAATAGAAGCTGCGCTTGCCTTGACCGCCCCATGGCCGGCGGCGACTTCCCCACTCGTGCAGGCGCGGCGGCCGCCACTTGAGACGGAGGCAGACGCGTCGTACGTACACGGTGGTAGTAGAAGTGGTAGTGGCGGTAGCAAGTAGGGTGGGTAGGCAGGCTGGAGGAAGGAGCCAAGCAGCGGCAGTGGGCGGGTCACGTGAGGGTGCTTGGGAGGCGCGGGCGTCGGGCGTCGGGGCAGGCAGACAGAGCGGGCGTCGGGCATAGGGCATGGGAGGAGGAGTATACGCACACGCACACAGCAGCAGCAGCGCAGCAGGCAGCACGCAGACTCGCCCTCTCGGCGGCGATCCCTGGCGTTGTGTGGGCGGAGCGCAGAGCAGAGCAGAGCCGGGCAGGCCGCTCGAAACAGGCCTGTGTCCGAGAGTGCAGCAGACCAGGGACAGGGCCGGCGTCGGGAGCCGTGTTAGCTGTTCCAAGTTGATTTAACGACCGTCTCCACCGCGGCCGCCCCACCGCCTTCGCACTCTCTCACACGCTGCCTGCCCTGGGCCTCGCTCCCATTCCCTAGCCGTCGCTAGCGCCGCCTGCTCTGCGCCTGAAATTGCGCAGGCCACGCTACTGCATCTCTTCGCAATCCTCGTCCATCGCACCAGCGCCCGGACCCTCGCTGCCCGGATCCTTCGACGTCGACTCCCACCGCGCAATCATAACAATGTCGCAGCCAAAAATCCCAGATAGGGCCCGCAACTATAAGGAAGACCAGGCGCCTGTAGCGTCGCAGAAGATGGTGAGTCGACTCTTGCTCCTTGTCCACCCCTACCGCACCACCCTCGCTCCCGCATCCCATCCACGCCCTCGCTCTCGCTTCCACCTGCAAACCCCGTCGCGCCCTCTGCACCCTCGACCGTTGGTGTTTCGACCAGCGCGTCTGAAGCCGCGTCCCTAAAACCCTCGCCGCCGTTGGCAGCTTCATCCTCGCCTTTTGCATCCTGCAGCAGCCACTGCACGCCGCGTCCACACAAACACCCACCACCCCCAGCACCGGCGCCTCTGCTCGCCTACATGGTACGCCCTTCCCGCCAAGCTGCCCTGCTACTACCCAAACCCCCCCCTCCCCTGTCACCATCGCTGTCGCTGTCCTGGCTTCCTCTGAAGCCAGTCCGCCGCCGCCCATTGTCACGCAACGGCCAGCAGCGGCACCCCGGCTACCATAGTGTAGCCCTACGCTTGCCCACCGCCGTCCACCGCTCCTCTGCGCTGTCTTGTCAGGCTTGCCAGAAGACCGCCCTGCCTTCATTAGCCTGCCCTTCCCATCCTATAAACTATACCCTATCCTCCTGTCTTTTTCCAGACCCTGCCCCTCGCCTAGGTCCTGTTGCAGCACCTCACTGCCCTTACACCCTAGTCTACCAGCCAACCACAGCCTCCCCACCTGCCCCCCCACCTCCACCAAGCTTCTACCTACTGCCATTCCCTGCACTGATCATCATCACCACCATACGGCCTTTCGTTTGCCCACGTCGCCTTTTCTTTTGCTACCTCTTATCCACTTGCTTTTTTTTCTTCATTTCCGTCCAATCTCTTTTCATTCTGCACCTGCAGCCTTACTGATCTGGTCCGTCTTTTCAGCATCACCCACACTCTGCGCAGGGCTTGCCACCGCCAAATCATCTACCGGTGCACCATCCCAGGCCCGGCGTTGTCCACCAGCACCAGCAACACCACCCCGACTCTCCCCACCAGTCGGTCCCGTCACAGAGCCCGGCACAGGCACACTACCCATCGCCCCAGCACCCAACCCCACAAGGACCTCCTCAGCACCAGTCGCCCTACATTCAGCAGATCCAAAGCCAGCAAGGGCCGCCGCCACCTCCTCCACCCCAGCCCCAGCCTCCCCAGCAACAGCAGCAGCAACAGCAACAGCAGCAGCAGGAGGTTCCCTACTACTCGCAGCACCACCCCAGCCCCTACAGCACCAACAGTGCGCCCAGCAACTATTCTTCGTCAGGTATGTTGGTCTTTTGCTTCTTTTCTGATCATTCAGCTCAGACCTTCCTTGTCAATGCGCGCCACGCGTGCGTGCAAGTGCCGCCTTGATGACGATTAGACCTGGATGCCCCCCGTTGTATATTCCATCAAAATGAACGCGTTGACCTGACTCTTGCTCCAGAAACCCCAGAGCTCATGGCGGCCGCAACGATGAATCGGGGCGGATACCCACCGATCTCATATCACACCCCACAGTCAAACTCGCCAGCTTCTGTTCAATCTCCTCAGCATGACCAGCATGGCAGGCCCATTTACGGGCAACCACCTAGCCAGATGCCTCAGTCCATGTACTACACTCCCTATGCATCTGCGCCAGTACCCCAACAGTCACCTTACCAACAGCACCCTTCAAGCGCGCCTCAGCAACCAATGGCCTCACAGTCGCTGCTCATGTCTCATCAGCAAAACCAGCAGATGCAGCACCAGCACCCGCATCACCCACAGACCCCGGGAATGACTGGAAGCCCAAAGCCACGAATGTCACAGACGCCGCTCCAAAGGCCGCCATCAGGACTGGGAGGCCCACCTCAAACCACGGCTCAAGGACCTCCTGTTGGCACACCAAACATGCATCCAGGTCCCCCAGGAGGACCCAACGTTAACCCCAACGCTGCGCCTGGTCCCATTCCTGCAACCACTCCCTTGGTTGTTCGACAAGACCAAAACGGCGTCCAATGGATTGCCTTTGAGTACTCGCGCGACAGGGTCAAGATGGAGTACACGATCCGCTGTGACGTCGAGTCTGTCAATGTTGACGAGCTTCCCCAAGACTTCAAGACTGAGAACTGTGTATACCCACGCGCCTGCTGTGCCAAGGACCAGTACAAGGGCAACCGTCTTCACTACGAGACTGAGTGCAACACTGTTGGCTGGGCTCTTGCACAACTCAACCCTTGCTTGCGCGGAAAGCGTGGTCTCATTCAACGCGCCGTCGACAGCTGGCGGAACAGCAACCAGGATCCGCGACTGAGGAGTCGTCGCGTGCGCAGAATGGCCAAGATGACCACGAGGAAAGCCCAATCGGCTACACATGGTAACCACATGGCTGGACCAGGTGGACCAGGTGCGCCTGGGGTTCCCAACTCTGCCGGATTAACTGCACCACCCCGACCGAATATGGGCATGGGTGGTCCCCAGATGCATCATCACCATGATGGGCCAGGAGGGCCTCACGGAGGACCGGATGATGTTAGCGGTATGTTTCACCAGATGTGATGTGATAAAGCGTAATTGTTGTTGGTTGTTAAATGATACCTCTTGTCGTTCTTTCACTGCATGTACATTATTACACTCTTTGATGTAATACCCCTTTCGATACTACCTACCCCATGCATGTATGCATATACCCACACGCACATAGTCACCATATGGTTGTTGTTTTGTTCTGCGCGGGACGATTTTGGAAAAAAAGTATGACCTTTTTTTTGTTCGGACGTGCAAGCTAACTTTCTTTGTGTACAGCCAATGAATACGGTGAATCACACACTCATCACCATCAAGCGCCAAATGGTCAACAATCGCCCCCGGACGTGCGCACAACGCAAAATTTCTACCCCAACTTCCCTGCCAGCGATTCCGCTGCGGGAACGAGTGGGATGCCACCGATTCATGACGGATTAAGTCACCCCCCGCCTCCACCTCATGCGGCAGGTGTAGCGGTATCAAAACAGCAAGAGCAAGATGAAGAAGAGCGCAAACTAGCCATTTTTGGCGACCTACCTGACTCCAAGCGTCGCAAGTTCATTCTCGTTGACGACGCGCAGCGAGGAACTAGAGTGCGCGTGCGAGTTACTCTTGACACGGTCAAGATGGAAGAGATGCCAGACTCTTACCGCAAGTCTAACTCCGTCTTCCCGCGCAGCTACTTTGCTATGCAAATGACATCACCGCCTGCAAGCCCTCGTGGCAGCAAAGTATTTGCTGACGAGCCTGATGTCGAGGACGACCCCAGCTTTCCTCTAGCCGGTTCTACCATTGTCCCAGTGCCAACGCTCGATGGCGAGGCGCGTGTACCGAAGCCGCGGCTTACTCGTTCGAAGCGATCCAAGGAAATTACTCTCAATGACCTTGGATACCGCATGAGCTGGAGCCAAAGTCGTGTCTTCGCTGGAAGGACATTGTTCCTACAAAAGTCTCGTAAGTAACCAAGTCGCGACCGAGATATGCAAGAGACAGATGTACTGACCTATGACAGTTGATGCTTACCGCAACAAGATGAGAAGCAGCATGATGGGTCAAGGCCAGGATGTGGCCCAAGTAGCTCCGCACTTTGAGACCCGCGTCGGAAAAAGACGTTGGAACGAAAGAATCGAGAGGGTCAAGAAATCGAGGCGCGAGGGCTCTCCTTAAGAAGTATCCGGCCGCATCACCGAAATTGATGCCCTGGTTGCAAGCAGCCGCCCTTCTGGACCCACTTTTCGGCACTTGCAGGGAGCCCCTACGAACGACCGGGGTCAACCACACTTTTCGACCCTGTATTGAATCCTTCATGATTAACCCGGCCGTTATCCCTAACCAAGTTTCACATCAGCTGCTTTAGGTTTCAGACCGCTGTCATCTGTCTGCCAACGTCTGTTTCCTTTTCGAGCATCCTGTTTGCACCGTCGCTTGTCATAGTCGAGCAGTGCTTTTGATACCCCGTCTGCAAGTTATGACCTCTTGCGACATCCCAGTCTGTCTCTTCATCTCTGTTCTCATTTACATACTGTTTGCCGGGCAACAATGCATGTTCTTTGTGCATACCAATCTCGTCGGCGCTCATGGTATAAAAAAAACGGGATTAACGGAAAGCATTGGAAAAAGCATAACTCGAAGCCTATGAGCGGGGGAGTTTTTTTTTACAGGTTACGACTGTCCTTTTTGGCATGTATTTTTTGCCCTTGCGATTGTTTTTCTATTGGAATATGCTGTAGATCTTATGAGTGGATAAATGGTACTGGTATCAAAGTAAATATAATAGACGTGTTTTGAAATGAAAAAAAAAGATCAAAAAAGAACAATCCTTTGGTTCCACCTCTTCTCCTTCTTTCCTTCTTTCTCTTTCCCCTTGTCTCTTTCCCCTTGTCTCTATCACACTCAGAAAATCGAACCCGCCAACTCGGCCAAAATAAGTTTTGAACAAGGTTGGGGGGGTTGTGTGGCCTTCACACCCATTAACCTTTGCGATGAACATGCATCACCCCAGACTTTCGGCTTCATGCATCTTGCCAGTCCACCATCTCACCGGGTGGCCTGATTTTTCTTTCTCTCTCTTCATATCCCACTCGAAACTAAAATGAAAGGAGCATAGGGCAAAGGGAGCATTGAAAGTTTGCTAGAAATAGGTAAGAATAGAGTGATTTCGACCATGAACGGGATCTCGATTAGTTACGTACGTACATTACTTTATCTGACATGGAAAGCATATGAGAGAGAGAGAGCAACCGCTTCAATCCCACTCAAGATCAACAGCCCCCCCCCCTCTCTCTCTCCCCGTTTGCCTTTCTCCATCAACGGCATTGCCCGGAACCGCAATGTCACCATTTTATAAATCTTACATAAGTTACATATACTCATTTGTGCTGTACGGTATAGTATACTTTACATTGTCTAGTCTGACTTGACACGCTTCGTCCGCGCTCATGCCGCTGCGTTCACACACTCACACACATACACGCCAAAAAAAAAGCGGCGGCCGAATAAGGACAGGGGTGATCCCTTCTCTGCCAACCGTTTTTTTTCTTGGCCACGTGGGAAGTTTGCGTTGCACAGAGAGAGAGAGGGAGGGAAGGAGAAAAGGGCGTTGTCGGGAAGGCAAGAGCAAGAGCAAGAGCAAGAGCAAGAGCAAGGGAGGGAATCCTAGTTTAGAAAAGAGAGGGGGGGGAGGAGGGGGGTGTACTCTGCTTATCGAGTAAGACATTACTCTTTTTTTTCCCTTTTCTCACTGCCCTTTACGAAAGTGAGTTGGGCATTTAAAGTTTTTACCTCATACCAACGCTATTATGCTATTCTCCCTTTTTTCTTCTTCTCTCTCTCTCTCTCTTTTTTTTTTACAATTCAAGTACATACGTACATGTATGCTTCTTATTTATTTATTTTTGTTTTCAAAGCATTTAGCACGAAGTAATAAAAAAAAGGTGAGAGTTAGGAAGGGGTAAAAAAAGGTTACAATACAGAAAATTAACCCCTTGCATTGATTACATTGCTACTGGTTCCTATCTTTTCCTCATTCTCTCTCTCTCTCTTTCTCTCGCTCTCTGGCGCTTTGTCCACAACCACCACCACCCCGCCGCTTCTCCTTCTTGTTTCCCCACTTTACGCATAATATAAGCGCTAATGCCCTATTGAACATGGATAATGCACACACACACACACACACACACACATAGAGCAATTGCGAATGCGAATAGCCGTTTTTTTCTCGGAACGGAGGAACGGGGGGGTGGGAATAGGTTGTGGGGTGGGGTTTCGTCATCATGAATCGCTCTTTACTTTTTTGTTACTTCTTTGGGGAATTTTTGGGTGGGGGGGCCTTGCTGGGATGCAAGTGTGAATATACGCGGACGAAGTGAGCGGAATTTGCTACGTTGTGGAAGGGGTAACCTTGGGGATTTTGGGGGAGGGGAGAAATGTGGCGTTACGGGATTTAATTCGAAAAGAAAAGGGGGCAAAGTTGGGATGGAGGGACTAGGGATTGCGGATGGGATGAGAGTCAGGTTTCTCCTTCCTTTTTCTGATGGAGCTTTCCTGTTTTTTTCTTTTTCGCCTGAAGTTTTTGGCTTCTTTTTTTTCCGGGACGCGATTCATGGCAGTTTGGGAAGAGGCATAGTATGGTTAGTTTGGCGTTTTCCTCTTTCACTCAACTGCCGAAGTCACTTTTGCAGCCCCGTTTAACTGGGTTTTGGAATTAAGGCGTGTTTTTGTCTGTCGACAAGCGAGAAAGGCTAATTGCTGTAGATACAGTTAATCTTTCTTGTTTTTGGTTCGGCTTGGGTTCAATCTACGGGTGAGTGACTCGAGACTGCGCAATACGGCGAAATAACCATTGGTAGCTCTGCGTAAGCTTTCCCTCGGTCTGGGCTTGACGTTGCTGACGAATACGCTCGTCTTGCGCATATCTGGCTTTACGCTGCTTTATCTGATTTTCTTGGCTCTTCCTTGTTCACCGAGTATTGTGCTCTTCTCTCCTTATCCTAATCGCGTGGTTCTTGGTGCCTAGCCAGGCATGAAACGCGAAGCATGACGCGACCGACCTCGCGTGATGCTAGTATCATCGTAAACAAGGTCATCATCGCAAGTACGCTGAGAGCGAGAGGATCTCCGGCTCGTACTAGCGATTCAGACATGATACGATGCCGACGGCGCACGCAGCACAATCCCGAACCGGCACTTTGAGTACCCGCGTGCCGCGAACCTGGGCCCAAGCAGAAGAAAGACCAGAGAGAAAAGGGCCAGCCATATCGGCGAGGAAAACAGTTGCGCCGAAGAACCAGCGTTCGGCCACTCAATCCCCATCTTCTTATTCGCTCCGAACAAAGCTCCGCGCTATAGTACAGCAATGCGGGTTCCCACTTCTCACGCACACACACACATTGTCTTGCAATGCGCACACACACCACAGACAGATTTGCATACCCTTGGCAATGACGCGTTGCTGCTTTGCGACCCCATCGCCGAACCGCTGCCTAGCGCGCCCGCTCGCTACGCAAAGGGCAGGAAAAAAACGGTTTTCCCACACCCACCCACACCCAGCGCCCCAACAACCCTTGTTCTCCTTGTCCACCACCCCCGTAACACCAAACCGCCTAGTGCGTGCAGTGCCGCAACGTGCTCTAGCACCAATCTACCAAGTTGCCCGGTAAGCGGGCAATTCCTCCGCATGCATGCTTGCGCCTTGTCGCTTGTACGTAGAACCCGTGTCGAGGCGCGTCTGCATGTCGGAATACGAACGCGATTGTTTGTTTTTTTGTTGAGTTTGGCAATAGAGCAAACAATACATACTAACAAACTAAAAGTAGTAGGTGTTACGTGAGATAGGAGACAGAGACAGAGACAGAGACAGAGAAAGGAGAAGATGATGGGGGTCATACGTTCCCCCCCCAACAGCTTGCATTGCCCGAAGTTCATCCACTAGCTTACCATGTGCTTTCTCCTCGCACTAGAGCGGGCCCGGTGAGATAGAGGCTTGGGTAAAAAAACCTTACCCAAGATTGCACTGTGAGCGAGGTAGATTGTCCAAGAAAGAATGCGGAGTTACTTTTTTTTCTTCTCTCTTTCTCCCGTTCTCTGTTTGCCGGGGCGCGCATGAGCGTGTGGGGGTGGGAACTAGGCACCAAAAGAACGTAGGGGGATAATACACACTACAGTACGCTTGGTAGTTCTTCGGGACTATGTAAAATGACATGGGCGCCTAACATACTGAATACGAGACTGTACTCACGGCAGAACCGTACATGCGTATGTGCTCGGCCTAACTTTGTTGCAGCTTGCATGGCGGAGGATTTACACTACAGACTGCATACATACTTACATGAAAGAGAAAGAGAGAGAGAGAGTGTGTGTGTGTGGAGACAGTTCAGCTGAGCTGACATGCAAGAAGCATTGTGGGTGGGATAGAACAGGGCAACGAATGAGGCACAATAACGCGTTTGAGGATTCATATTGCGATCGACAATGCCTTGTGTGTCTAGACTTTTTTGTCTTGGTCGTGCTCGATTTCCTTTGTAATATGTGAATATGTCAGCTGCTCGTGTGGGATTCCCTCCGTCACAATCTGACGTGTGTCGGGAGATAGTGATGGTCTGTCTACTGTTTGATGTTGATTGGTTGTAAGTGGCTGGGATAGATTGCCGTAGACGGTAGTTGAAACTATGTCTGCCCGCGTATGTTTAAAATGGCGGCTATACTCCGGACGTAAATCAGTGACAGATGACGCTGGAACGTGTAATGAGTTTCTGTACGACGAGAGATGAATGAATGGACAGAGTGGATAATTTCATGTGTACCATTTGACAAAGTACGCTGTGTTCGATGCTGTAGATGCTACGTAGTTGTCGGAAGAGACAAGATGTGTACAATCCAGTGGTATCGAAGCGTTGAGAGAGAGCACTGTTGCTCCAAGATGCCTCAGACTCAAGTAACGCCTAGAGACAAATCTCATCTCCATCTTCGTCAATGTCTGTTCTCTCCACAGATATTAAGGCCAGTGTTCTTTCCTCTTGATGCGAGGCTTCGTGCTACTGCACTCCTCGTCTGCTGGAAACACTACACCATTTACAAACTTATGCTTACTGGAATCTGAATCCAAAAGTAATGGGTTCCTGACAGTTTCCTCCTCTCTTTCTACCGTAGCTTTGACAATCCGGCGCCGCCCAGGAGCTCTAACGCTCTCATCATCTGAATCGTCTGCAAGCACATCTACTTCCTCTCCAGCATGTTTGTTGAGAGGAGCTGGGGTAATGCTGATTCTCTGTAGCCCACTGCTCATCTTTTCAAGATTAGCGGCTTTGGGGTCTCCTTGCTCATTGCCTGTGCTGGTGTTTTCGAAGAACTCGGGGGTTTGTTTGCTAATCTGGGCGATCTTCGCGACTGCGTTGAGCCTGGCCTTTCGAGTTGAGTATTTTGCGGCGATTGCTGGAGTCGGAGCTGCAACTATGTGGTTAGTCAAATTCAGATATAGAGTAACGGGGAGATTTGATGTACCTAACTGAGTGGTGCTGTTTAATGTTTGTGATGATGGTGTAGGGTAGGACGATGCTGCTTGGTTGCTTGCTTTTACTTTCGATTTCGGATTGACCTGAAATCCAAAGCGATTCTTTTGTGCACGAGACAGTCCGCTTGCAGCTGCAGGAACTATAGAAGGCATGGGTTTCGCTCTCTTAGTGCTTGTTCTCTTCGTTTCCTCCTCCTCTTCTTCTGATGATGATGCTCCCTCATCGTTAAAGGAAGAGTCGTCATCACCATCTTCTTTACCAGCTTCGTTGTCATGTCCGTCACCATCTTCACCACTACTGATGTCGACTACTTTTCTCTTTCCCCTCTTGGCAAAAAAGGCACGTAAATCATTTGTCTGAGAAGTGGCTGAGGTGCTGCACTGACTTGGTGTAGTATTTGAAGCGTATGCGCTGGATGCTGGTACCGGGGTGCTCGCCAGAGAATTGCTGTTATGTTGGGCAAGAAGGTTACGTATACTTGGAACCAGAGGTCTCTTTAAGGCGTTGCCTGGCATAGTTGACTTTCGCGCTTTAGGGGTGATGTCTGATGGTAAAGAGGGGCTATTTTGTGCTATTGGGAGCACGTTTTTCATGTAATGCTGCGACTTAGGTGTATCCTGTTCCTTAATACGAACTGAAGCTGTGAGAATATTAGCTTTGAGTTGAAGCCTAGAACAAGTCGTGACTTGCCTTGAGCAGTCTCTGCTAGAGGCCCATATCTATCCAGCATCTCAACATCTTCCTGTGGTAGTGGAGTTGTGCTACATCTTGTTTGACCTGTCGGGACATCCGTGTTGTTTGGAGTAGCGTTGTGGGCTCTCTGTTGCTTTCCCAAGTTATGCGGTGACTTTAGCAGCACATCTTCTCTACACCTAGGTTTTAATGCTTCTGTTAAACACTAGAAGCGTTGGTATATAATAATTAAATTTCTAGCAGAATCATCTACGTACCTTAGATGGCTTAGAGTTGTCTCTAGACAGTGCCGGACCGGATGCTGGGGCAGATGATGAAGATGTCGATACGTTCCTCTGTTCTAGAAAGACCGGCTCATCTTCATCAGAGCAAAGATTGATGACATCAGAAGTAGTCTGCTTAACTGGGCATGCCTGCGGCGTGCTTCTGTATAATGAGGCCCTGAACGTGGACGCTGGTGTTTGCCTAGGTCTATCACCACTCTTTTTTGGCAGCGCAGTTCCCGTGCCGTTTGCCTGCTCCTTGTTCAAAAAGGCGTTCTTCTCACGTTGATGCGTAGTAGTGAGATCTTCTCGTTTCTTCTCGATGTTCTTGAAGAACTCAGCTTTCGCAACTTCAACTCCTTTCTGAAACTCTTCCAACTCAGCCATCTGCTTGTCACAAAGAGTAATCCACACGACGTTTCTAGGATCTGAAGGCGTAAGATTTGGCGCCATATTGGCAAGAAGAGTAGAAGTCAAGGTAGGCGTTATCAGTGTTGATTAGAGTAAGAGGGTTGATCGCGGTAGGTAGGGGATGATAGAAAAAAGTAAGTGAAGTTGAGGTGAAGGTGAGTAATAAATCTAGTTTTGGTAACTATGCGAAGCCCGCTAGCGGCTCTAACGTCAGTGAAGTGAAAGTAAGAGAAAAGCCTCTGACAGGTATGTGACATCATGAAGTGAGAAGACCTATGCCGAAGTGTCCAGCGGTAGCAGCCGTAATGGTACTTGCTTAGGTATATTATTGGTAGGGTTACTCTATTGAAGGGTTCGAGATGCCAGTCTCTGGACGTGAGAACAGCCACTTTGCCGACGTGTGCTCCCCCAGCAAATATGGAAAGATTCAGCAGTCATATCAGACAGATTGCCTTCCACTTAATACCATCTGCGGACTTTTGTAGTGGATCCTTTTATGTATCTTTTCCACCGTGCTTCTTGAGTAGTTATGGCGTAGATTCCGACCTTTTACGAATTTATGCTCGGGGTTTTCCTTACATACCATCGCGAATCAAGGTCTTTTACTTGAATTACTATACGCTCTAGACACGTTGCAAGCGCCTATAGCATAGTAGGAGCTATGTTTAATTTCTTATCCCTTCTTTCACTCTTCCTTCCTTATAGATATTTCTTTGCTGCTGTTGCAACCCTTTGTCTGAACACTGGACTCTTAATGACCTCTCCATTGCCAACCGCGAAAAAAGGGTTCATGATAGTCTTGACCCACGCCTCATACACATCGACCATGAAGTTCTTAACTGCCTCCTCAGTGGCGGGACTACTAGGGTTGTACAGTCCAGCACCTCCACCAAGTGCTGCTCGTCCACCAGCCAAGCTTCCCCTAACACCTCCAGCGCCTCCACTTGTGAGCCCCAAGCTTTCATCGCGTGGCCTCGTCAGGAGCAGAAAGCGTGTATTTCCGCCCGTTATCCAGCATGACACATAGCAGTTCTGATACTTGTCGATGTGTTTGAGGTACATAGGTGCGGAACCGCTAGACGTTGATGGACCCCATTGTACTTCTTCGACTATGTCGAGCGCAGAATGAAGAATGAATGGGACCAGGGCGCGTTCGCCTGGTGTGTAATTTGCAACACCAGTTCCGCCGCTTCGGGATGTGCCAAAGTCGTGTGTAAAAAGGGGAACGTCAAGAGGCGAGAGTATTGAGAATGTGTATGACATGGTGGAGCGTTATGGATGCGCGCACGAATGCGCTTGGTGTATAGGCTTGCTGTCTGATATGATTGCTCTGCTTTGTGGCCCAGTGGCAAATTTCCCGTTGTGTATTAGGATTCTTTTCTGATTGCTCGTGATTCGTAAATTCGTGAAGTTGGTGACAGAGTTAAAGTCACAAGGGGAGCGAAGTGGTGCTGAGCTTCCCCACGCTAACCGGGATGTTCGCCAAGAAGTCCGCGGGAGTGTCTGCGCAGAATATCGCGACTTCAATTGCGCAAGCCCGGCCTCTCGACCCCAACACATCAACATGTTTGGTCCCTTCCGTCTCACAAATCCGCTGTCGGGTGGTCTGTTATGGTGCGTCTCTCCAAGATCAATTTGCCCGCGCAATCGCTCGCTCCCGCCACCATCGATCTTTTCCGCCTTCACTACTGCTATTTCTCACAAATTGTGCCCGGAGACGAGACACTAATGTGGAACATAGGAAAGTGCCATGGCGACTGTCCAGGCACCAAAAGTACCGCCATCGTGAGCGTCTACGACATGTCGACTCCGTTGTCTCCACTCTCGATACCGCACTACGACGAATGGGCCAAAGCATGAAGAAGGTGGAGCGCTGGAAGACAGAGATGCCGACCGAGGAGGAAATGCTCCCAAAAGACAAGTACACTGTATTTGACCGGAAAGTAAAGAGGTATCGCAAGGGAATACACAGTAAGTGGCGTACGCTGTGGAATTTTACTACAAATGCATTCGGAGGATCAATCAAGGGCAGAGGAAGCCGCCTATGGATATATTCTGACGATCTGCAGAGGTTCCCAAGTGGACGAGGGTCAGTCAGCGACTCAATCCTCCAGGTTTCTAGATGGCCATCATGGCAAAAGACGGCAAAATATTGTATATTTCACTGTTACCATATGGATTGCATTAATGGCGCTGTGGAAGGGCGGGATTATAATGCATATGATCTTGCCACCTCAAAATCACATAAACTCATTTCCTCAGAACCCAGCTTTGATATATAAATCTTCCGGAGTGAAGCACTTCCGACACATCAACTGCTGGTGTTTATGTTTCATGATTGTGGGATTTTTATACTCGGCTCATACCAGACATTACCTCTCTATTCCACCTTGCGCATGCGATAATTCCAAGCAAACATATCAATCAGCACAAAAAAAATCCCAAAAGCGCCTCCCCGGCAGTAATCCAAGTCTCTTAGTTTTCCCCATATCTCATTAGAACAGCATGCCTAGCTCGTTAGAGTCGACTATTCCGTCGATCCCGAATCCTTGAGCATTCCATCCCATATCGAGGGGAAGGAACCCATTCCAAAGCGCAGCATCATCAGCCGCAGTATTGTTTCCGCCGCCATGTACAGCGAATTCATTGACAGCACTCAAGTCTGTCCATCCAAAATCACCCATCTGCTCTGTAATTGCTGGACTTCCACCTGTGCCATTACTACTGGCTTGTGGACTGGTTTGATGGCCCAGAACCGGATGTTGTGGGAAGCCGTTCTGGTCTACTGGTGTGCTGGCAATATGTGTACCAGGATGGTGGAATGCTGAACGATTTGCTTTATCCTTCTTCGGTACCTTGGCCCAGAGCAGTTTGAGAAGCTGAGAATAACGAGAACCTGGGTGCTGAACACCACTCCCGGACCCAACGGCACTGCGTTGGAGGCGAGATACCGTTTCGTTGATCATGGCGCGGATGGCACGATCCTCGTCTGCGCTGATGACACCAGTACAACGAGCACGATAGAGGAATACGCCTGCATAAACCAGGTAGAGATAGTATCGGAGTGGCATGAACCGCAATGAGCGCTCAGGATCTACAAAGTTGTTGACTGTAGTGAGAATGGCCTTTGCAGAATCAAGACCTTCATATATAAATCGTGCGTCGCCCACAGCCCCTACATTATTAACAAAAACGCGCTGGGGCGCTTGCATGCGGCCTATGTCGGTATTGGATGGAGCACCAGCTGGGGAGTCTGTGGACGCTGATGTTGATGGTAAAGCTCGAAGAACAGTAGCTTGAAAAGCAAACGCATTGGTGTACAAACGCAGATAATCGTACGACATCAATAGACATGCTTTGAGAGGTGGCGAGCACGTCAAGGTGCCCCACACACTCTTCCAACCGTACATGGCTGATCGGAAATCGTCAATAAACTTGATGTAGCTACCGCTCATCTGTGAGCGGAAACTTGAACTAGGATTCGAATACAGCGTATCATGCACATTGCTGAAGAGCTGTGTAAGTTCCAGGTTGGCTTGAAAGATGGAGGCGTGGTCTTCTTCATTGGGATTCTTAGGGATCAACGGGGGGTAGTCCTCTCTTCGTAAAGTCGTCAAAGGCCCAGGACCACGAGACCAGAATGCTTTTCCGATCCTAATACTGATATGGCGGTCAGAAACATATGCTGCTGTCCATATGAGGCGCTTGCGATGATGGTCTTCATCCTTGTATTGGTCCACGAAACGGAACGAGTACCGATCCAGCGCGAGAAAATATGCAATTCTCAGAGCAAGGCCAACGTGCATCCAGCTTTCCTTGTCTTCTTCGCCTTTGCCAACTTTCCCAGAACCACGTTGGGTATACGGCGCCCATTCGGCTAATAGCAGGAGAGCCTCTACTGCTTCGATACCAGCATCGCCTCCTGCAGCGAGTGCAGAAACTAGATTCTTCATATGCTCGGAACATGCTTCGTATATGTGCGGCTCATCGACGAGATCTTTGGAGGCGATTAAGAGGATGGCAGTAAGGAGGTGCTGCTCTTTGGTTACCAGGTCTGAGAGACGAGATGTCTCAAAAGCATGGGCCGGAGCAAGAGGGTAAAAGGGATGATACTGCTGTTGAAATCGGACAAGCAGCTGGGAAAGTGAATGGACAGTAAGGATACCCCGGTCTAGCAACGGGTAGGAGAAGGAAATTGGTGGCGCCGGCATGCTAAGAGATGATCCTCTGGCGTGCGGAATACCGTTTCCGTTTCCATTGTTTTCTTCGTTCGAGCTCGATTCCCCAGCAACTCTGGCTAGTATGCCCAGGGCATCAGACGGATTCTGAAGATTTGAGAAAGGAAGTTCGTCTGTATTTGACGAGTCTGACTGAGCGGCCTGAAGCTCTTCCCCGTATTGCGGTTCAACCGTGTCTTGCGACCATGTAGTTCCGAGGTTGCCCAGAGTATGGAAGCTTCTTTCTGGCGCATTCGCCGGGAGCGTCGGCAATGGCTGTTGTGGTTGCGCTTCTGGCTGCGGTTCAGACTGCTGCTGTGGTTGCGATTCGTCGACGCGTTTCTTTTTTCGCTCCCGTCGTCCGCCGCGATTGCTACCGCCTAACACACATTCGAGGTTGTCGCGCTTACATCGGAGGCACGGAATTGAGTTGTTGGAATCTCTGCAGTAACGTGTCAGCCCCAGAACGTATACGCCGAGCTTTTAGTATTGTAGTTCGAGACCAGCTTGTGACTTTCAGCGGTACAGATCATTTGCGCTGGATTCTGTATATGCGTATGCTCAGATGCTCAAGCCAGCCTCAATGCGCGAATGCGACAGGGCTGTCACCCACTTACAACAAACACCGACTCTTCCTTTTCCTGCAATTCAAGCACGCGATCTGCGTCCTTTTGATCTTTGAGGCTTCGTCTTCATCCGGGTTGGTGGCCGCCTGTGCGCCGACAGGCTGTTGTGGGGCATTTGTTTCCATGCCTCATTGCGAGTTGGCGTCTGGTGTCGGTGTTTGAATCTGTCGGGGACTGGGGAAAACGCGGAGACGCTGGCAACGGGGTATCGCTCCTGTTTCGGGCCGAGATGGACTCGGTGGCGTCAGAGCCTGGAACTCCGCCCGACGGCAGTGAATGGCATCTCTTTACTGTACGTGACCTGAGCATGTGTCATTCGATATTGTGGCGTCAACACCGAGCCGCATTTGCGATTGAGGCATGGGGTGATTTTCTAAGTATCTGCACCGTAGGAATACGGACATGCACTGTACTACTTTGCTAAGATAAGTATGAGCGATGCTCAAATTCATTGCTCGATAGTGGTAAAATTGCTCAACAATATATTGTTCTAAATTTTTACGTCTCTCAACAAAACAGGGCTCGGTGGTGTAGTTGGTTATCACGTCAGTCTAACATCCTGTTAGGCACACTGAAGGTCCCGAGTTCAAACCTCGGCTGAGTCAAAGCCGGAGCTCATATGAGCTTCAATTCTTTTTTGCCGGTTCAGGGTCATCTCCACGGTGGTGGTGGTTGTCGTCGTAGTTGGAAAAAAGTTTTTTTTTGCAGATCTCGGCGCTTTGGACATAGCGTGTTGCCAGTTTCTAGTGCACAGTCTCTCTCGTAACATGGGGTTGTCCCGCTCAACCGTAATAAACTCCATACATATGTGTACAATTACTAAATGGAACTTTAACGCTTGTTGAAGTAAAGTTCGGTCCCGAATAGTACTGCGAATAAGACTGATCGGCAAGCAATGTCCTTTTTTCAAGGTTAAGTTCCAGTAGACATTTGACGTATGCCTATGACGTAGTTCCCTGACTCGATAGTGAAGAATTTGACGTAAACCACGACGGACGAACAAATTAACGTTCTACACATGTAATAACACCGTGTAGTACATGTACACATACATACATAATATATGTTCGGAAGAGATCCGGTGTGACGAAACCATGCATTGGTATTGTACCGAAGGCATATTTTTGAGCATTATCACCCAATCGTAGAATTATTCTAATAATAGTACTAGAGCTTGTCAAAAATCTCGGACATATCGAGGCTTCCTAACATGAGACAGAAAAATGCGCACATAGAGATTGTATTCTCTATAGGCAAATCGCTTTATGAGGGCAAGACGATAGGCCTACAATAAGACATACAGAACCAACGAACCACAAAGTATTGACCCTATTAACTGAAATCTGTTGATAGGGTTCGTTGGGTATATCTAGACTGAGTAGAGAGACCAGTTCTTCGAGGTGATAAGAGAATGCAAGAAAGTACAATTGAAGTCATGTAGATCAGTACTCAATAGTTTGTATGAAACTACTGGGCCATGTGTAGAACCATCATAGGGTAATATGAAAGAAGATCTCATGTATCAGCCGGTAATGATATTTATAGCGTTTGTTCTACTATATTGTAACCCCGCTGCTCTCACCACTCCAGACTCAAGGTATCAGCCCAACTGCCCTTCTTCTCTATCTTGAACGCACTCTCTATATTTCCAGATCCGAGATCTGCTCCAAAGAGATGCGCAAAACACCCTCGTCCAACCTCCTCCCACTTTAGCTCTGCCGCCTTATCCGAATGGACTTGACCATCGCCATCAGTTCCTGCGGCCAGCACTTCATACCGGATCTTCAGAAGCCATAATTCTGAGACGTCACCAAAGAATTTATCAGCGGTACCGGGCACTTGCTCGGAGGTGGAGAGATGGATGTAGCCATCGGTGCGATCGAGGTCCGAGAGCGGGAGACGGGTAGGAAGCGGTGAAGGCGGGGCGCTTGGAAGAATCTTGTACAAGAAGGTCGGTAGGGGCTCAGGCGCTGGCATGGTTGCTGATGGTCCGCGTGATGTGGCAGAGGCAGCGTTTGTGCTCACCGGCAGAGTCGAGTGTGCAAAGCTTGGCTGACGATGGACGTCACAAGAGAAGCCAGATTCATCGCATCCAGAAGACGGATGCCTGTGTTTTGCTTGTGATTGGCGGGGCGAGATTACGTGAGGGACGCGAAGGTCCACCCCAACCACGGGTAGAAGATGGCTTTTGAGCGCCACAATTCTGACCCTGAACAGGACCGGGCAGCCGACAACATGGACAAGTTGTTTCTTTTTCCACACAGCCAGCACGTCGACGGCAACGTTCAAAGTGGAGAAAGCTGCCCGACGCCTGGTCGTCCCTGTTGCGTCACCCGGACCACACCCACTTGAGTTGCAAGGCGACCCGACGATTGGACCACGCGACAAAGATATATTCGAAGGAACGAGTCAACACCATCTCCTATCCAGGGCAGAGCATTCCTCCAGAGCCAACCAATCCAGCGGCAGGAGTCGCATACCAGTCGCTGCTGTCGAGGTTCGTGTTTGCTTCTATGCTCTTGCGCTAGCTGTTAGGTTGGGTACTGCGCAACTGCTAAGCATGCTCGCGCCGGCGAGTGCATATATCTTCTCCGCCCGCCCCTCAACACAGCATGACAGCTATACAGCTAACGGGAGATGAGATGCGCCACCTCTCTGAAGAGCTAGGAGATGTCTCGACTCGATGTTGTGTGCGGAGGACCGTTGGTGCACCTACTCCATCACACGTCACATTTGAATACCTCAACAAAGGCGCCGCCAACATCATCTTCAAAATCCAGAGTTGGACTCCGAATAGCTCTGCGACGACATTCTCCTTTATCGATGTTTTGCGCGAAGGCCAGCTGTCTTTCAGAGCTACGACCATGGACTATGACTATCTCATGCGCCACGTTCTCCGAGTCCCTAGAGGTGGTCAGAAACATTTGTCGTCCATGGAAATTATTTACGGATACGAGCGTGCGATCCGACCGTTGTTTTTGCCAGGCAGATACAAGACCCTTGGTCAGGCCACAGTACCACAAAACGGTGCGGACGCCCCTCTTACAGTGCAACTCAACCGAGACCTCACCAAGCATCTGATGGACCATGAAGCTGTGCTCCTGCTACCGGAAGTAATGAATCACCTCTACAAAATAGGTGGAAAAGGCACATTTAACAACATCACACCACGGAACTGCTGGGGCATTCTCCTTCCCAATATGTCACCTACCCCTGGACAGTCAATAACGCTCGAAATCAAACCCAAGTGGCTAGCGCAATCACCAAATGCGCCTTCAGGAGCTATCCGTTGCCGGACTTGCGCGATGCAAGTCTCTGTGCCTAAGAATAGAGAAAGCTACATTTGCCCGCTCCAGGTGCTACATGGGGACTCGAAAGCCCTTCGCCCCTGGGCACATGCAACGGTTAAGCGCCACTTTGGCGGCAAATCGCCATCTCAGACGGTAGTTTCAGCCATGGTTGATGGCATCGTGACCTATCTTACGGTTGGAGACGGCGTCGACCTACTGCGGCATCTATTTCAATTGCAAAATACACTTGACCCGCTGGGTGTCCTCTGTCGACCGCAGCATGGGTCCGAACTGTTTGACCATAATCTCCGGTTAGCAATGACTCTAAGGGACTGTTCGCTTTTCATCAAGATCTCCTACAACACCAGCGGCATGACGGGAATCGAGTCGAAGCTCGGTGATCTTGACTTCAAGTCAGCCGAGAAGATTGTCGATTGGATGGACAAGGAAAAACAGCTCTTGGACGAAGGAGCTTATTTCGCCTCCACAGGCCCACCATGTTGGATCCAAAATGGCCGATGAATCTTGACACTCGGATTGGCCTAATACTCAGTCTGGACCAGCACTCGTATTGACGTACCGGAACCGAATTCGACCTTAACTACGCCAAGGGCTATCCAACGCAAATTATGATTACAAGAGCACTCTTTGACACTACAAAATCCACATCGATGACTGTCAAATAACGGCCCAACATGAAGCGAGCATCTGTAACGAACACCGCGATGAAGAGGACATTGCACAACACTTATCCATATCGGACACCATCCAAAATGCGATTTGAGCATCTCGAAGCATTCTTTCGACAACAGCCATTCAAATACGCAACAGAACCAACCAAGTGTATCCAAACCAGCACCTTATTCATCGAAGAAAGAGCACGACGAAGAAGAGCTGGTGTCCAAGTAGAAGAACCCAACGCAAACGTGTATCATAGTGTGCTATGCCAAAGAGGCGAACATTGCAATGAGATGAGGAAGAGAAGGAGAGGGAGGAAGAACAACTGGTGTTACATACCAGTGAAGGAAAGGGGAGAGAGAGAGACGTTTCGAAGCGCAACCATTAACTTTACCATGCATAATTTTTGTACAGTAGTTAACTCATTATTAAAATTAGACATTTTTTAACCTTAACTCTCGGACACCTACCCCCCCCCCCCCCCCCCACTAACTGCTCAAGCACGCAATCCATTCCGTCATCGCAACAAGACATTTTGCAAAGGAAATTTGCACTGAACAAATCTCTATTTGAAGGTAGAAAAGTAGATACCATGATACTTGAGTTTTCGCTATTGGGGGTATTAATCCTAACGTGCCAATTCGATCCGTATTAAAACCCCCCTTTGAAGAAAGGAAGAAGAGGAAGAAAAGAAAAACGAAGAAAGAAGGTGACAAGAAGATGAAGTCTCGTCGACATTTATCCATCCATACATCCATAGTCGCTAAAAGCCATCCGAAACCTATCAAAAAAAACCGAAAAGCTAAAGAAAGAAAAAAAACGCCATGGCTGAACGCAACAGTAGACATCAATCCATCAACCCCTTCTTCACACCCCCGCATCCCCAACAAAACAATGCACCCTAACCGTGCCATCCTCACTCCCACTAACCACACACTCATCACTAAGCCCGACACAAGTAATTGGCCCCGTATGTCCCGTAAGCGTCCTCTCATGCTTGCCCGTCCGCGGATCCCAAATCTTAATCGTCTTATCCTCGGCCCCACTCACCAGTCTCAAAGAATCCGCAGCAAGCGACCAGATGCCCTCTACATGACCGAAAAAGCGGTGCACGCAGCGTCCAGAAGGAACGTGCCAGAGGCGAATGGTGCCGTCGAGGGAGCCGGTGAGCATGTATGAGGGAGGGGCGGGGCGGGAGAGGTCATCTGGGAAGAAGAGGGAGTCGTCGATGGGTGTGCTTGAGGAAGAAGTGTTGGAACAGGATGAAGGGAGGGGCTGGGGAAGGGAATGAGGCATGTCGGAGGAGAGGGAGGCGGTGTCCGAACTGTCGTTGTTTGCGTTTGCGATGAAGTCGTTTTCGTCGATTTCGAAAGCGAGGGGTAAGGGGAGGACTTGTTGGACTTGGCCGACGTGGCCTTCGTAGGTGCGGATGCAGCGGTGTGTGTCGAGGTCCCAGAGTTTGACCGTCATGTCGTCCGAGGCGGAGAGGAGGGTGCGGGAGGGGAGGTCGATTTTGACTGAGTTGACCCAGTCGGTGTGGCCGACAAGGGTGGTGCGTTTCATTTGCGTGAAGTCATGCACTACGATTGTGTTGTCTGAGGATCCGGATGCTAGGAGCTTGCCGGCCATGTGGAGGCCGATGACGCCCTGGCTGTGGGCGTTCAGGGTCTTGATTAGTGCACCTGTCCGCCAGTTCCAGATCTTGATGGTGTTGTCCAGACTTCCAGTGATGAGTTTGCTGTCTTCAAACTGCAGACACCGAATGCCTTGAGAGTGGCCAGTGAGTGTGCGTATCACCTGACCAGTCTTGATATCCCACACCTTGACAGTTGCGTCATAGGAGCCGGTGATGAGAACTTCGTCGTCAAATTGTAAGCACATGACGCCATTGGTGTGTCCTTTTAGTATGCGTGTTGAGTAACGGCCGTATTTCCAGTTGCTGCCAACTTTGTAGCGGTCCTTGTAGATGTCCTTCCATGGACGTTTCTTGGGGTGATCGAAAGAGGATGTAAGTTGGTCTTGACCTGGTGCAGCGTCGAGACATTGCCGCTTGCTCAAGGCTTCTGGAGAGGATGAATCGTCTGGTACAGACCGCTTGACGGCTGTAGGGGAGCCAGGAACGTCGGAAAGTTGGTGAGAAAGCGAAGTGGGAGGGACAAAGGAATCAGGCTGAGGCGTGACATTAGGCGACCATTCGTTCAGTCCTCGGCCTGAAGCCCGAAGTTGTATCCGCCTCTTTTCTTGCCGCAAACGACGTTGGTCTAGCAGTGGAAGTCCCCAACCGCACTTTGTGCACTTTCTGTCAATGTGCTGTTCGCACATCCTATGCCAGACAACGTCATCGTCTGCCAGTTGTCTCCACCTTCGGTTGACTTGGGCTGCTTTGCATAGTGAGGTTGTATCAAGATAGCACAGAATCTTGAAGCCCAGTTCGGTAGGGAGGGCGCCGAGAAAGTCAATCTTGATAAGGTTGCGGACTGAGGAGGAGATGAAGGAGAGTTGTGGGAAGCAGCATTGAGCGAGAATGCCTTGGAGCATGAGGTTGCGGTGTCGAGAAGGGGCAGCAGAAAAGAGTGACCATACGTTGGCGATGCTCTGCTGGTCACCTTGAGATTCTCTGCCGAGTTCCTGTCCAAGTTAGCAAGCGGTTTGGCAACGACAAGAGAATACTCACGTCCTGCAATTGTTCCATGGAGGGCTCGTCTGCCTGGCGTCGGCAGAGCAGGTCTGGTCTGTGGCGGTAGCAAAACTTTGTGTTTGCAGTGGGTGGGCGCTCGTCTTGTCTGCCACCATTGGCACCCAGCGGGTTATATTGGTGTGGAATGTGCTCTGCGAGATATGGCGTGATCATCTTTTCAATCTTCTTGGATTTGTTTGTTTGGGCCTCTTCGGAGTCTTCGGGGTTGGCGTGCAAGTGCCTGGTCCGCTCTGAGAGACCTTCGTGGTCGTGGCCGTGCATTAAAGCGGCGTGAGCGAGGGCGGAGGACTTTGCGGGGAAGTCGTCAGGAGAATGAGCCGGGCTTCGCCATGAGAGGCGTCTCTGTTTGGGACTTGTAGTCGAGGACTGCAGCGGAGTATGTTCGGAGACCGTCTCAATGGTATGGGTGGCATTGGGCGCCATGGTTGCGTGCTCGAGAGACCAAAGGCTTTAAGCAGCTACAGCAAGTATCGGCTGGCGGGCTGCGCTGTTGCTTCCCCTAGTGTTTGGACAAGGGCACTGGCCCTCTAGGATGCGCAATTCATACGTCGTGCAGGGGATGCAGCAGGCTGTCGAGATTCTGGGGTAATATCGCGTGCGAGCTAAGGTGGAGGTTTGATGATGACCCGGATAGATGCTGCCAGAGAGAAAGGCGCTGCGCGCACAAAATGCGACGGATGTGCGGGCGCAAAAACAGGGGATTCGTGTCGAAGTAGAGAGTAGTTTGCGAAAAGATAGTTTCGGCCAGCTGCGAAGGGGTGTAGTACGAGGTGGGCGTGGGGGTCGACTGAAGGCGTCGTTGGGGAGAGCAGCGGCGAAGCGACCACGGCGCAATGGCGCAATGTCAGTTGTGGATAACATCTTCGAAGCACGCAATTCCGTTTGGCCACCCGGGCCAGAAAGCATGGTCAGCACATGTCGGGGAGCCAGGCGGGTGCAGACACCCAAGTCCGAATGCCGCGCAGACCGTCTGCTCTGCTCTGCGACGACGCTTCACCATGCTGCTTGTGGGTTCTGTCGTCGCCGTCGCGTCAGCCTTAAGGTGGGTGGGCCTTGTGCATCTCTCCGCAATTTGGACCCTGGTTGAGAGCGTGCCTTGTACTACTAAGCCCGAGCGTACTACCGTCATCCATCCATCCATCCATCTGTCCATCTATCCTCGCCTCCATCTCTCCTCGGATGCCTCGCAACCTGGTCAGAATGTTTGGCGACAAAAAGCATCGCCGTGACCTCGTATTTGCTGTAGCCTGAAGACTGCTAGAAATGCCCTGCGCCTTCGCTTGATGACATCGCCATGGCTTCTCCCCAATCGCCCGCGTCTCCAACTAGCAGCGCCGCGTCGAGAGCATCCTTGGACCACGACAACAACAACTCCCTCACCCTCGAGCATCTCGTAACCCATTTTGTTGCTGCTAAGCGCGCACTGAATACCCAGACAGTCCTATGGCGTGCCACCGACATTGTCAGCACCGCACGCGAGCTGCTTGAGGAGAATGCCGTCCTCGCGGCCAAGAACACTTCGATCCGTAATATTGTAGAGCAGCAGGTCGATGCCTTGGAAGCTGTGCGCCGCGGTATTGACGTGGTAGAGGCCGAAGTGCAGACTGAGTACAAGCAGATACTGCACCACGTCGACACGTCCTTTGCAGGCCTCAACTCTACCCTTGCCGTCTTGCGTGAGACACCCATCGAAGCCGTCCTGCAGCCTTATGGGACCCCCCAGAAGCACCTCTACGACTTCATCGACAGCGCCACCGTCTCCAACCTCGAGAGCACCCTGCGTGCCTGCATAGACCGGTACAACGAGGCACATGCTACGCTCGACGAGAGCTGCGATGCCTTTGATACCTCGCTCGACAATCTCTACTCGTCCATCGACAATGTTCCCATGACGCCTGCAACCGTATCGACCCCGAGCCCAATACCAAGCCTATACCACAATCTCGAAGGCCACGCCAAAGAGGCTGCTCAAGCCTTTCAGTCCCTGGTTCAGCACTATGATTTGTGCATAACAGCCTTGCGACACACCGAGGGTGGATCTGCTGCCGCCACACAAGCCACGGGCGACGCGCCGGTGCATTCCGCCGACGATGGAGCAGCGCCTCCCGAGCCCATGAGCGAGGAAGAACGGCGCGACATGCTCAACGTCTTGCAAAAGGACGCCCGCCAAGTCGACGATGTGGTGGCTGAGATCCAAGAGAGAGGGTCGGAAATGACGTTCCTGCTCAGCCAGATCGAGAACCATGTCAACCACCTCCGTAGCGAGGCGTCGGCTCTGTCAAGCATACTGCAAATGATATCGCACATTACAAACGAGGTCAAACGGCACATTGCCACGTCGCGCGCCTTCCACGTCTCGTGGCTCCAAGACACCCGTCCCAACCTGCTCAACGGCATCGACGAATGGGAGAACCAACGGGAATTCTACGAACGGTTTGATCTGGCATATGCCGAGCTCCTGGTCGAGATATCATCGCGACGGAGACGGCACGAAAAGGCCAAGCGTAAAGCTGAAGAGGCGCAGAAAGAGTTGGATAAGCTACGTTTAGAAGACGAGCGCGCAAGAGAACAGTTTACCCTAGCCCAAGGAGATTTCCTGCCCCTCGATATATGGCCGGGACTGAGAGATCCGCCGAGGCAGTACGAAGTCAGAGTCGTCCCTATTGCTGCGGAAGCCCAGGACGATAACGTGCAGGGGGCGGACGAGTGGGGTGAAGGCGGTGGGATTCAGAGCATCCCACAGCTGGGCAGAAATGTAGTCGAGAGGGCGCTGATGAGAGTCAAGAGACGGATGTGAAGATGTAAAGTTTTATTTATCGCAACCCCAAGCATGCGGCGGCACAGATATCAAGATGCGATACTTATGGTCGCACAGAAATGCAAATATCGTTGACACTCACGCCTCTTTCATAACACCGTACCGTACCAGCCGCTTCTTGTTCGCTCAACAGGGGAAAAAATGATAGCAGCAGCAACTCCGTCTACTTTTCCATGGTTCCGACTCAGCTAGCTCCACTATGGTCGGGCTTGCGGCCGTGGACGAAGTAGAATTTAATGTACATATGTACGTCCCTTCTCCTAACGTCGGATACGACACGGGCAATCATGACACAGCACTCCTCTTCGGTCCAGCCCGCTACTTTGCCCAAGAGGCCCAAAGTATAGGGCTCTACACCCATGGACATGTGTTCACGCTGATAGCGGCCAATTTCCTTCATGCGCGGGTCCCTGGGCCAGGGGCCGAGTGGGATCTGGTCCGAAGTGTGTTAGCATCATACACAGTAGCAAGCGAACAAAAAAGCAGACATCTTACCTTGACAACCTTCTCATGTACATCGACAAATCCCGCGTCTAGCATTTGCTGCTTAATGCCTATGCCCGCACGAATATCTCTCCCCCAAGTAGCAGCGGCATCATGACACAATGTCTGCCACTGCAAAAAATCCTTTGCCATGTCTATGGTGCCATCATCGCAATCGGCCTGCGCCAGCGGCTCCTGGAACTCGACCCAGCCACCGGGTTTAGTGTGGGTAAACGTCTGGCGCACGAATTTGTCCCAGTCGGAGATGCCGCCAGACATGTTACGGCAGTGGATGTAGTCAAAAGCCTCTGCGGGGCTATAGACCCACTCGGACTCTGCATCGTCAATGTAAAACTTGACGTTTGGAGGGACCCATGTTGGCTGGATGGGACTGAGGTCGGTCCCGATTACTTCGGCGCCAGGGAACTCGTCGGCAAAGTCAATGGCCCAGATGCCGGTTCCAGTGCCAATATCGAGCACGCGCTGGGGAGAGGGTGAGATGGGTGCGTCATAGAGCTTGCCTTGGAGGATGAGTAGGAAAACGTGGTGCTGGAGGTCAAGCCGGTCTTGCTCTTGCTCGTCGTTGGGCAGGATGTAGGCGCCCGAGCGGTATCCATGGTAGCGGCGGCCATTTAAGTATTCATAGTTGAGGATAGTCGATGCGAGCGACGTTGAGGCGGAGGACTCGTTATCAAATGCAGAGTCATCGTCGCTGTTGGCGGCTGTGTCGACATCGAGGTGGAGGACTGACTGGAGGTTGCCGACATCGGCCTGTGGTGCTGTGGTGGTGGGTGGTTGTTGTTGTTGCGGGGGCTGTGGTTGTGATGATGTTGCTGGTGGTGGGGATGCCTGTTGCGGCCCGCTCGCGCTGGTGGGGGCAGCCGACATGTCGTGTATCCTCCTCTCAGACCAGGTAGTAGTATGATGTGCTGGACGGCAGAACTCAATTTAACTCAAGTTTTGGACGGCGAGCGGCCTTATACGACCAACTAGACGCAGCGCGCCGAGGCCACAGCCAGCGGATCCGTCGTGCTATACACCGTGCCATGCGCCCGCATTGGGATCCAACCACAGCCATGTTGCTGCTCATAATGTGTGGGAGGCGTGCATTGGCGTCTCGTGGCATCCAGGACCATGGCGAGCTGCCAACCCTCCACCCGCTAAATAACTACTCCACCTCACGCCGCTGCATCTCAGCTTTTAGCCTGCCCAAGGCCCGTCGTCTTACGATGTGGGGCGGTTGCCCATTCATTGATTGTTTGTATTCCTCTGTCTCTTCTTGTCGTACGACGCGGGGCGATTGTCCACCCACCGATTGTCTGTACTTACATGTTATATGTCCCCTCTCGTCTTCCTCCTGCCAAAGTGAGCTTCCATCCGTCAGCTCACCCGTCTGAAAATGGACCCTATCCACATACCATGCATGCCATGCCGTGTACCCACTTGCCTACTCTGCACGGCCATAGCCCCGTAATACAGTATACATAGGAATAGTCAAAAAGACCCCAATATCCTGTCCTCTGCCCGTTCGTTCCTGTCTCGACACATGCTTCAACCTGGTTGTCCCTTGGCCCTAGCACTAAGTCCGCCATGACATCCCAGACCAGCACGGACACGGCGCGAGTGCTCCCTTCGGTGCCGCTCCTTTGCTTCACCACGTACCTTGCCTATCTGATCGCACGTGCCTTTTATCGCCTATATCTCCATCCACTAGCCAAGTTTCCGGGGCCTAAGATCGCGGCTGTCACAAGCTTTTACGAGGGCTACTACGAGATAGTTCTCAAAGGACAATACTCAAACCAAATATCCAAGCTCCACGACCAATACGGTACGCTGCGACTTGGCCACCAACACTTGGCCTCCCCGCATGGACTTGCTACACACGACTGTCGTTGGTTCGCTTGACTAACCCGAGCCTGGCAGGTCCCATTGTTCGAGTAACACCTGACGAGCTGCATATCCGAGACTCGCGATTCTTCGACAAACTCTATCCTAAGAACGCCCATCTCGACAAGGAGGGATGGGACAAGCGATTTGGCGTCGCCGACGGTGTGCTTGCCACGGTAAACGCCGAAGCACATAAGCGACGACGTGCCTCATTGGCCCCTATGTATGTCGTGCATATGTTCCTTGCTGGACAACATGACATGAGTCTATTACTGAAGAGAACGTTCAACTGATACTTCTTTGTAGGTTCTCACGTCGTTCTATTATCGACTTTGTCCACATCATCTACCGCCATGTCGACACGCTTGCTCATCGTATGCAAGAGTTTGAGAAGCGTGCAGAGCCACTCAACCTCACTCATGCCTTTCCCGCCCTGACTGGCGACATCATCATGGACTACTTTTTCGGCTTCAACTACAACCATCTCAAGAATCCTGAATTCGAATCCTTCCACGATGCCTTTACCAAGATTGGCGGCATGGGCCATCTCGCTACGCAATTCCCCATGATACTCCCTGTACGTCTCTATGTTAAGATTACTGATGCTATCCATGTGGCAATCCCTTGTGGACCCCCCCCCCCCGGTCCCACTCATTGACGACACGACATGGCATACACTAACCAAGGGTCCTTTACACAGATCATGGACGCCATCCCTGACCACATCACCGGGTGGCTGCAGCCCGCCGCAAAACCCATCCTAAAATTTCAGCAGGTACGTGACACACACACACATACACAACATCCTTGTATCCCCACCAGCTCCTCGGAGACATACCCTCTCCCCCAATTCTCTGCTCCAGCAAACCCATTCCAATACCTTACATACATCCCCACACGTATGCGTACTAACCTCACCCGGGGGTAAAACAGGACCACCGCGCCCTAATCGCCCGCACCCTCCGCGGCGAAGACCTCAAATCCAACGACGCCAAAAAAACCATATTCCAAGAAATTCTCGCCTCCAAGCTACCCCCCGAGGATAAATCCCACCGGCGCCTCGCCGAAGAAGCTCAAGTCGTCGTCGGCGGCGGCGTCGAAACAACCGCTTTTGCCCTCGCCGTAGCCACTTTTCATATCGTCAACACACCGCATATCTACAACCGCCTGCATGCCGATCTCGTCGCCGCGTTTCCCCACAAAAATGATGTAGATCTCAGCGTGTTGGAGAAAATGCCGTATCTGAAAGCCGTGGTCATGGAGGCGATTCGACTATCCTATGGTCTTTCAGCAAGGAATCCAAGGACGCATAAGACACCCTTGCAGTATGGAGATTGGGTCATTCCCGCGGGTACTTGTGTTGTACGTCCTCTCTCTCTTCCTTCATTCCTTCCTTCCTTCTTTTCCCTTTCACCTTCTTCATCTCGACAGTTGCTACGTACACTGGCATTTTTGCTAACAAGAAATAAAGTCAATGACCATCTCAGACTCCTCGCACGATCCATCCATCTTCCCTGACTCCGCGTCTTTCCTCCCCGAGCGCTGGCTCGGCCATCCGCGTACGTCCGATGGTCTGCCCTTGGATCGCTTCATGGTGTCCTTTGGGCGCGGCACCAGAGCCTGCTTGGGTGTTACGCTCGCGTGGACCGAAATGTATCTTGTCCTCGGCATAATGTTTCGCCGGTTCAAGTACGAGTTGTTCGAGACTAGTGTCAAGGATGTCGAGGTCGGGCATGATTTTTTTATTCCCATTACGAGTTTGGAGAGTAAAGGGTTGAGGGTTTTTGTCAAGAGTGTGGAGGATTGAGTTAAGAGGGATGAGGAAGTGGTTTGTTTGCATTGTGTCTGGAAACGCCAAAGTCGTTGTTACATCATCAAATAGTAAGTTGCAACTGGGTTGTGGACTTGGAAGAATCAGAGGTTTTGGATGTGAATTTTTTTTCCCCTACAACAAGTCTTATGCTGAGTTCATACTTCATGACTGAAAGACTTTTTTTACCAAGTGCTCTAAAAATGCACTTTCCTAGATACTAACTCTGTCAGGCTTACCTGGTTCATCATGACTATTACCCATAGCAGGTGGACTGCCTGACTGCTCCATATCCTACGTGGAGATCAAGCCTCTAAATATGGCTCCAACATTACACTATTTCCGAACCTCACCAACGTGGCATCATCATATCGTCCACAGAGTGTTAATCTGCTTTCTCCTCACCTAAAAAAACAAACTCTGTTAGCAAAACCGCCACTATCACATGTACACAGAAAAAGGGATTACACTTACCAAAGGTGCAACGAACAAGACACCAACAAACAATCCCACAACAGTCAACAGCATGGAAATCTTGTTGAATCCTTTGCCGAGAACATCAAATGCAAAACTAGGTGCAACCCTCGTTCCGAAAATGTCGTGGCCATATGCAAACACCAAACTGGTACTTTCAAGTCCGCTTTCACTCGTGATAATCTCCTTGATACCAATGACCTCGTACTTGTGGGTAAGGTGCCACTTGGGGTCAAAGTTGATAAGAGGCGCGTACTTGACTAAACCCTCGGATTGCTCTTGTGCGGTAGGGTCTCGGCCAATGGGTCGGCGGGGATCGATGACAGAGCGGGGAATGCCAATGATGGAGTTGATCGAGGGGACAGTGGTGAGGAGCTCGCGGCTCGTGATTCCCTGCTTGGTTTGGGTCACGGCCATGTGCGAGATTTCTGCTGGCACTTGGTAGCTTTGGGATATGACATAAGGTCGCACAGCATCGCCGGCTGCATCCAAGGGCTTTACTGTCGACGAGTTGGAGGAAGCGCCAAGTGGACCTCTGTCATCAGGAAGCGGGGACTCGTAAAGGTCAGAGACTACAAGCTGGTGACCACGTGAAGCCGAATCCGAAGCCGCGTCAATAGTCAGCGCATATGTGAACCAATTCTCCGAAATAGTGGCCGGAATGGGCCGAGAAGTGTCGACACCATTATGCGTAACGGTATGCAACAATTGTCCCGAGGCAGAGTCGAGTAGGTAAACGGATGCAGATTGTGTCGAGTCGACAACTGTCGTGACCAAAACTAGGTTGGGGTTAAGGTACTTGTACAGCACCCTTCGGTCGCCGAGCACCTTACCGATAGAGGCAACAGGATCTTTGACAGGTCGAGCAACATAGTTGACGATACGCTCCCCGGCGGCAGGACGGAAGCTCCACACTGGTTCCGCACTGAGCTGATTCTGTAGATAGCCTCTGAGTGTTCCATCTACGAACGTGAATGCCACAAGGGTTTGCCCCTCAGAGACTAACGGAGTTTCAAGTTTGACGCTGGCGGGTGAAACCAGGCTACCTGTAGTAGAATTGATGATCAATGACCTCTCGGACACAACATCCTTGACCTGGACATAGCCGCTATGGGCCTTGAGGCGAGGATGTTGAAAGTCGTTAATGGGTGCGAGTTTGCCAAGATCAACATTCCACATAATCTTGCCTCGCGAGCCAACATCAAGTGCAGCAAGACGTCCTGTATCAGTGGCCACGATAACCAGCTTGTGGAACCCAAACGTGTCTTGTTGAATTTCGCCGATTGTCGTCTCTTTTGTCTGCCCAATGACACTACCAAGGAGTCGCTGGGGTAGTCCCTGCACCCAAGCTGGAAAATGCTTCAAGTCTTGAATGTGTCTTTGCACACGGTGCATGTAAGCCGAGACAAGGTTGCGATGACTTTCGTCTGCAAGTGCTTGCGCTAGGGTCTCTTTTTCAGGAAGGTCAGCCCATACTGCCGATACAGTCCGTGCGAGAAACTCTGGCCTTGTCCAAGCCAAGTCGTCATTTCGGAGAAGAGCCCACTGCCCGTTAGAATAAAGGACCGATGATCTGATAGCGCTTGCCGTGGCATCTCGTACAACAACCTCGGATTGCGCATGAACAGGGTAGGCACCGGCAAGTGCGGACGAGCTCTTGACGCTCCAGCGGCCCAAGACATCGTTTGAGACGGATGAAAAGACCGCCATTTCCTCTTCTGTAATCCTTGTAAAGTATACGTTTGCGTCCGAAGTGCTCGTGGAAAAGGTACCTTTTGTCTTGAGCCCTGGCAGGGTGTAGGCTTTGGAGACAGTGTTCTTCTTTAGGTCGACGTGGAACACGTCGGCCAAGTGGCCGACGGCGGTTTGGTACTCGACGAGGAAGTGGGCGCGAGAATTGACATGGCTAGGGGCGTGAAGTACAATGCTCTCTACGGCGACATTTTCTGGGGTCGGGAAGCTGGATACGGCCTTTGTGCCGATGATGTTCACCTTTAGCACCTTGTTCGCCTTGTCGGTCCACACCAGCAGCGGGGCAGCGGTGTTGGCTCCTGCAAACAGGATACGGTCACGCGAGGATATTTCGGCGTCGGAGTTGAGTGTGTACTGATCGAGCTTCTTTCCTGTTATGGGGCTCAGCGAGGTGATTCGCAGCTTGGAGGCACCGAGCACAGGGGTGTGGAGGGCAATGTAGTAGATTGTGGTTGGCGAAGTCGAGAGCTGGAATGGTGTGTCTCCGCTGTCATTGAGTTAGTTGGTGTCTTTTTGGCAAAAAAAAAAGAATGGCGTTGCCCACCTTGTATCCTCGTGGGTCCACTTGGGCTGCCCAGTCTTTCCATCAAGCCTCTTGACACTGAGACCGGCGTCGGTGGCCAGCAGGACCAGAGTGTCTTTTGCTGCATCAATCGACATGCCATCCTCCTGCTCGAGTATCTCCAGATCCTCAACGCGGGCGGAAGGGGTGCTAGTCTCCCAGACGAGGCGGCCATCAGAAGCACTCCATGCGACGACGCGCTGGCCGAGGGCGCTGATGACGGTGTCTTGCTCGTTGCCGGCACGCAGATGGGCGACGTCGTCCGCAGCTGCGGGGAGGGAATGGCGCCATACTAGAGCACCATCCTTTGGATTGATTGCGGCGACGGTGTTATTGTCGGATAGCGAATAGAGCAGCGAGGCCTTTGAGCCAGGGTAGGGCTTTTGGAAGAAGGTGGCATCATGCTTGGGGAGGCCTAGCAGGGCGTAGTGGAAGTCAATGTGATGGGCTTCGTCCTCGAAGACAGCCGCGGCGGGAGCGAGGCATGCTGCGAGGGCGAGGGCAGCATGGAGACGCATTGTATGGTGGGGTAGCAGCGCAGCTGGTCGGGGTTGAGCGGGCTGTGGTCAGCGTAGGGTTACGATGGGCATCACGTGATCCATGCCAAAGCACGTGCGCAGGGGACTGCTCCGGATGCATTCAGACAGTCAATCATTCAAGGGCTGAGGATGGTAGCCAGTCAGTCGATCAGTCAGTCATTCAGTCATTCAGTCAGTCAGTCGGTCAGCAGCAGCGGCAGGTAGCCCCTGGAGGGTATTTGTCGTGCTGGTGCAGGTGCAGGTGCAAGTGCAGGTGCCCGTGCTGGTGCTGGTGCTGGCGCTGGTCATGGTGGCAGCCAAAGTCAATTTGGAGGCTTTGGAGGCAGTCGACCAGAGGGCGACTGTGGTGCGAGTGGTGTATGTAGACTACTTGCTTCTGGGTTGGGCCTTGTCGGCTTCGACGCTAGAAGCGCATCCACGGCGTCAGGTCGATTGTTCCGGCGGCGGCACCACGCGAGCTCCACCGCTATGGCTTCGGAGTCGCAGTCCGTGTTGGCACCAGGGGCCGGCACCGTCTTGGGTTCGCAGCCTCGCCAACCATGATTGCTTGTGCTGGTGTTTGTGGATGTGGACGGGCGTGTATATTGTACATGTCCATGTGTGTGTGTGTGTGTGGATACACAACCATGCATCTACACCTGTCCCCCAGGCATACACACACATAAACATAACAACAACAACCCAGCCGTTGCAACGGGCGCCGGCGTGTCAAGCCGTCGTGGCAGACCGGGGGGCATGGGGGGAGGGGGGGGATATCCTGGGTGCTGAGTGCTGAGTGTGGTCAATGGGGCAGCGAGTCAACTGCCCTCGACGCTACCGTCAATCGGGGCGCCTGTGTCCCGCCAGGCCGGGTCGGTTTCGCGGCTGGCTACTTGACGGCCACAGCTTTATCATGGTGATGGGATTGCTTTTGTCCTGGCCATCCCCCTCCCAACTCCCCAAACCGCCCAACCGCCGCTTCACTTATCACCACCCTGGATCCTCTCCCTCCAAACCACCCCACCCGGCACCGCCCAACGCACCCTCGCCCCGGCCCTTTGTCTCTGTTCTGTTCTGTTCTGATCTGGCTGTTCCGCGGCCTGGACGCTGGACGCTGGACGCTGGACGCTGGATGCTGGACGCTGGACGGGCTGCACCCCAGAGCCGAGAGCGCACGGCAGCCTCGCTGGCAACCGACGCCGCCACGCACCACGTTATCCGCCATATCTTCTGCTAAGCCCTAGCCAGCCTGCTGCGTCTGCGTCTGCGTCTGCTTCTGCTTCTGCTTCTGCTGCATCCATGTCCCCTTGGTCCCTCCTTCCTAATCATCCTCGCTGTTCCCCAATTGTCGCTGCTGCTCCCTCCTGCCTGTCCTTGTCCTGCTTTCTCTTGCTATCCTCATCCTGTCCGCTTCCCCCGTCCTGCACGTGACTTGCAGAGAAGCAAAAAAAAAATCTCTGTCCCCCCCATCCAGGCCCAGCCTCGCGCATTGCCCATGTGAGTTATACAAACTTTCCGGACCACCTGCATGCCGTCCAGTCGCCTCAATGGCTTGTTGACGCGAGTATTCGAGGCTGCTTTTGTCTGATTGGACGCCACCTGGGTTTAGCAATACATGCGCTGACAAGTGTGGTTGGCTCCCAGCCCAGTACAACGCGCACCGCCCCGACTCAGATCGCTGGTACACGCCTACGCCGTGTCTGCGCAACGCGGCGCTTTTGACAAGCTCCTCCATCTGTGCCACACCACAACCCGCGCAGCACACCGCCACACAGGGTAACAAAGCTTGCCTCTCGCCGCTAAATCTCTTCCCCAACCTCGCGACAATCCCTCCTGCTCCTCTGAAGCATGTCGCAACGCGAGTACCACATAGTCGTCCTGGGTTCCGGTAAGCTAGCGAAAACGTGATCAGCAACTAGAACTCGACTGACGGCGGTGGCGCTCCAGGTGGAGTCGGAAAAAGCTGCCTAACAGGTACGTTCTTGCCTCAACTCGACGACCTCAACCCTGCCCGCCTGCCAGACATGCTAACCCGACTGTCCCTACAGCCCAGTTTGTGCAAAACGTGTGGATAGAGAGCTATGATCCCACCATCGAGGACTCGTACCGAAAGGTCCTCGAAGTAGACGTGGGTACACCAGACGACTAATAGCCCATTTTTTTTAAAAAAAAAAACTGACCCACTCCCCTCCCAGGGCCGTCATGTCATTCTCGAGATCTTGGATACTGCCGGCACAGAGCAGTTTAGTAAGTGATTACATATATAGCCCCACTGCACGTGGACCCAAGACTAACACAGTCACAGCTGCCATGAGGTAGAGTTTCCTACTACCCCCCTTACTGGGCAAACATCAGAGAACTTACGCCGACGCAGAGAACTGTATATGAAAACTGGCCAGGGATTCCTTTTGGTTTTCAGCATCACATCCGAATCTTCCTTTTGGGAGCTTGCCGAGCTGCGTGAGCAGATACGACGCATCAAGGAAGACAGCAACGTACCCATGGTTCTCATTGGCAACAAGTCGGACCTAGAGGACGACCGTGCCGTGCCGCGCCCGCGAGCATTTGCCATATCGCGCGAATGGAACGTCCCGTATTTCGAAACCAGTGCGCGAAGGAGAGCCAATGTCGACGAAGCCTTTGTCGACCTCTGCAGGCAAATCATCCGCAAGGACCAGAACGAACGATCGCGCATGGCCCCGCCGGATTCCCCGAGGCCTGGCGGTCCTAGGAATAGAACCCACACGGGACGGCCAAAGCGCAAGGCTCATCGGCCCCATTGTACCATTCTTTAAAGCTACGATACCCAGTTGGCGGAAGCATGCACGAGCGACAGCGGGCTTGCTGGACCAGGCGCTGCCACGATTCCATTCCTACCCTTCCTTCAGACTTTCTTGTATACACTTTTTTTTGGTACTATAGAGGCTCTAGACAAACTGCTCGCAGTAGCAATTAATCTCATTCATGGATTCCATGGATTCCCACATATGGCGTGACGGAGATGAGTCGACAAAGATTGTGGGTGATGTGATATGGGACACGAGACCAGTAGTAGCCGAGGTCGTCGGCTCAGGCTCCAAAAGCAAAGTTTGGGTGTTTGAATCCGGGACTTGCGGGTTTGGAGTAAAGCAGCAGAGTGTCACAAGGCCACGTCGATCGGTGCAGTGATTGGGGGTATTTGAGCCAGTTTGCAGTTGGATGAATCAATGTCGAGGCTGTCCGAGCGTGCATAGTGCCCCGCATTCGGCACCGTCCTTTGGCCGAGAGGATAGACTGGATAGGGAATGGACAACAGACTTGATGTGAGCTAGTTGGTTCAGAGCGAACATTCATCAGGCGGTAGGAAGACGACATGCGAAGCCAAGATATATGGGGCAGCATGATCCCAGGAGTCGATCCCAAGCAGTAGTCTCAATTTGCAGTATCAAGATGGGACTGCCAACACATTGGTCATTAATCCCCGCTTTGTCTGGTTTGCAGATTTGTGGCAAAGACTTTTGGAAGCATCAACTGTAATGGACATGGCTGGAACCCATTGAACCCAAGAGGGGCAGAGAGGGTACAACTCGAAGCCCTGGGTGAGCAAGCACGTGTTGGAGCCCAAGGTTCAATAGAGGGATGTGGTGAGTGTGAGTGCGTATGCAACAAGCATACTGTGGACACTCTTTACACAGAGGTAAGCTCTTGTGACGAAGATGAAACGGAGTCTTCATCACCCGCCAGTGAGCTGTGCGCAACCAAGTGTGGGACTGCCGGAGAAGACGAGGCATGGTCTAACCAAAGGGTGATGAGGGGGGAGGGGGGGGCGACGTGGTGCAGCAGGAAATGTAGAGGATAAAATCTTGGTCGAGTAGGTAAAAGGGGCAAGCAAAAGGCTGCTAGCCCCCATGGCGTTAGCAGGATGCACAAGTGGCCTCTACAATGGCGCAAACATGGCAAACTACAAGAGCTTCCCCCGCTTTACAAAGACGCCAGGTCACGCCGGGAACTGATGGAGGCTAGTGGCGTTAATCACGCATGATTTGCACGATGCAACAAAGCTTGGCCGGGTGGCATTGCGGATGAAGACGCGTTGTATATCCCGCAGACTAGTCAGACTCTGTATGTATGCGAGTATGTAAGCCCAAGAAGACGTAAAAGCGATCTCGATCAGGTCCGCAGATGACGTCGTTGAATCCGAGGGTCCTAGGTTGGTCCCTTGTGCTTGTGGCTGCGTTCTGCATTCGTTGCTTGTTTCAGGGAGCGTTTTTCACATGCAAACAGCAAAGGGCCATAGTACGAGTAGAGGACGCGTCTGCGTCGGTGTCGGTAGGCTACAGCACCCGTGTTGGTTGGAAAGCGACGCCTTGTCGAGGTAGAGAGCGCCCTGCATACCAACACGTAGAGTGCACCACGTAGACCCACGGTAGCCGCATGCATCCAAGAGGAAATGTGCGAGCTGGGGGCGCGCGTGACAGGCAAGAATAGATGGCCTCTTTGCGGCAGGCGATTGCGTGCTGGTTTGTGTTGCAGCGCAGGTGGCAGGCAGTGTTTGATGCAGATGCAGAGCCGCGGCTGAATGCAGTGACGTCAGTAGAGGGGCAGCAGCGGGGCGCCAACCAGGTACGCAGCAAATGCGCTAGCACGCACCGCAAAACCCCCATGACGCGATTCGCATCAGATTCGACGATCTACAGTGGCATCTCACCAAATAAGCACCTCTCAACTGCTTTGCCATTTGCTCCATTTGGGCTGTCTGCAGCCAGCGGGCCTCGCCCCCCACTCGTGCACTGGCATGGTCTGGGCTCTTCAAGCTCCCACCGACGCTAGCCTCCCTCCCGCCTTCCCTCACCCACAATGCGCTTGCCCGGTGACGTAGCCTGGCCCCCCAAACCCAAACAAACATACGTCACTGCCTTGTTGCTCTCACTAGCCTCTGTCTCTCACCTACTGCTTCTTTGACTTAAATACCACCCTTACCCACCCTCCATCTGTCCCTCATCACACTACAATCAACCTTGCAACACTCACATCTACTTCCTCACACTCAAACCAAACCCTCCCAACCAACCTTCCAATCAAAATGTCTGCTCCCAACGCCAACACTCCCAACGAGGGCATCGTCGGCCAGGCCGTCAACTCTGTCAAGAACGCCGCCAACTACGTCTCTGAGACCATCCAGGGCAACGCTGCCGAGGCCAACAAGGAGGCCAACAAGCAGCAGGCCAAGGGCAACGTTCCCGGACAGGACAGCCTCACCGACCGCGCCTCTGGTGCTCTCAACGCCGCCAGCGACTCGATCAACCAGAAGAAGCACGAGGGCGCTGCCGATGCCAACAAGCACTCCATCTAAGGTGTTTTGCTAGCTCGATATTTCACTTCGGTATGTCTCCTGCTGCTATGGCGACTACTCCACTCCATGGGCCTACGCTAACACCCGAGTGCAGATCCAGAACGATACCACTATGGGTTAAGCGATGAGGACTGCGTCTCTCGCTACTTTCACGATAATAGTATGACTTAATCGACACGAGATATAAACTTCTGTCATCAACATTTCTGCTTGCCTCTTTGCACTGTGCTTTGTGATTGTTTGAAACCGTGAATGCTGCTTACTTTCTTTTCTTTTCGAGTTTTCCAATCTGACTTCCTAATCTTGCATGATTATGCAAGTTGGTTTTCTGGTACGTACTATCTACAAAAATTAGTTGCATTGACTATACGGGTTTTTTTCTGTCATAGCTAAATATAGTATATGTCACTAACAATTCAATAGATGGATGGGTCAAGCCTATCGGATTAGACTGCATCGCCTAACGTTGGTGTACAAAACATCTTGCAGTCCCTCGCGCCAAGTAGTAGGGCACTAAATTCTTGTCTCTTGACCAATCATATTGCTCGACGCCGAACTACACCTCACCTCACGCCAAACAAACCCTTCGAAGCCTCCTCTATCGTCTTTTTCCACGGCTTTGTCTCATGCTTTCCCTCTTCACTGCGGATTCAAGAACCTACAATATTCCAATAATCTCTGGATACCTACAACCTCGAAGCAAAAACATTACGCAGATTGGAAGTATTTCCCCATCTCCGACATTGCCGATTCCAGACGGTAGGACGCCCTAGCTCGTTTCCCGTCAGGTTAGAATATCTGGGAAACTTTTCCCCCGCCGAGTTTGCTTTCGAGGTCACACTGGGAATTTTTTTTACCTCTTGGATGATAATTATTGAGCCCAGTGCGGAGAATTTCGGCCTCGTGATTAATACTTACCTTTTTTTTTCTCCGATGCGACCCGCTATGAAAGAGAAACTGTCCTTTTTACTATGCAGAAAAGTTCAACTTGGCTCACATGTTGTTATTAACGTTTTTTCTTTTCTCTCTCTCTCTCTCTCTCTCTTTCTCTCTATCGATAAGCAACATTGAGCAATTACTGGATCCCGGATTCATGGATGGAAAGAATGGCGTACTGGAAATATATTAGTGGGAGAGAGAGAGAATTAAAAAGATAAAGATGGGGATTTGAGCCCACTTTACGGGGACTGAGGAGTCGAAGCTTTTAAGCTAATTAGCTTGGCGAGAGGGAGGGGTGTGTAGTATTTTTGAAATTCTTGATTATGTCTGCGGTTTAGAGGAAAATGAAATTTGATTTACATCTCGATAATACGTATTTACTTGGCCTTGATCCCTTTTCCCCCTTTCCACCCACCGCCCACTCTTGATTTAACAATCCCAATAATTAGCTTTTTTTTTTTAGAATTCCCCTCAAACAATAGCTTACTGACATATTTATCACTTTTTCAGGCGTCTTGCCGTACCATGCTTGTCCGTGTCTCACCGACATACTCGACCGTTTCAGGCATATCTCATCCACAAATCGTGCGTATCTGTTTCGCTTAGAAAAAAGTTTGGCCTTGTTTCGGTTGCTTTGAGCAATCGACAGAAAGGATCTTTTTTTGGGCGGAAGGAGGGTTTGGTGTAGAACTTACTAGCGGCGGTGTTATAACTTTCCAACTGTCGGTGCATTTGTTTTTTTGTTTTTGCAGGTGTCTGGGCTTGGAAGATTATAATATTACGTTGGCTGTGGGAAGAAGAAGAAGAAGAAGAAGAAGAAGAAGAAGAAGAAGAAGAAGAAGAAGAAGAAGAAAAATTCGTAGATGGGAAATTGGGGGAGGGGGGGGTAATTTGGCATTCGTTTCTATTTAAAATATTTGGGGTTTAGACATGTAAAGCGATTGCGTCCCTAATTAACGTCTAATTTTGTATCAGGGCATTTTCCTCATCTTTCTCTCGGTTATGTTAGTTGTTGCTAGAAGAAAGATGCTAGTTAGTACTGAAATGAAAATAAATAAAATCATTAAAAGTAGGGATTTCGAAGCGCCTTGACACTTGAAGAGTGTTGGTGAAATGATTGATAGCACTGCTACTAATTATCTGGCGATCTCCGCACTGAGCTGGAGGTGTAGATAGGTAGAGTGTTTATGTGAGATGTAGCGATGTTGTATGGGCGAAAGTAAGATTAAAAAGAGAAATATGAAGCTTTTCATGAGAAGGCGTATCGGTTCTAGGTGTGTCTCGGTGCTAAGTGGGTGATATCACGACCTATTGCAAGGAAAAGAAGACTTAATTTCTAGACTGGATGTAGAGAGCGGTGAGATTTGCTCCAGCTACGACATACACAGCGAGTATCATCTCCGTGTCACACTGCTTAGAAACTGTACATCATTCCACACAGCAACATCTAGGCGCTCCATGACTCCAACATCATAACATTTTTCTTCAACACACACACACATCCTTGCCAATCCAAATATTCATCACATAACTTGCAGCAAGCAGTAAAGAAAACGAGGGGGTATCAAGTTTGATAAAGAAAAACTAACAAAGACAGGGGGTATTTCAACTCTAGCAATAACGCCACTCGCTTCCAAAGCACTCAACTCCTCCTCCCCCTTTCCTCTTTCCTCCTCCTCCATCATAGGCACCTCTTCACTCCGCATCTCATCTCAAAACCTCTCAAACAGTGCTCGGTGTGCTTAGGGAGTAGACGGCATAGGATCAGTATGATACGAAGGCGGAGCCGGAGACGTCGAGCTGGCATCTTCGGTATCCGAATCCGTAGAAGAAGAAGTAGAACAAGATTCCGCGGACGGAGATAGGGAACGCGTGGTGGAGTTGTTGTTGTTGTGGTTATTTGGGCAGCAAAAGGGACAGCAGGTGGTGGTGGATATGGGGACTGTGACTGGGAGGAAACTGCGGGAGACGGGTCTGGCGCGGGTTGTCGTGTCGATGGTGTGGGTGGAGGTGGAGGTAGCAGAGGACGATCTCGATGTTGTCGACTCGGTTGATGCGGCTGTTGGACCCCAGGCAACCGTCTTCGTGCCATCGCTCAACGGCGCATCTTCGATATCTCGGATGCGGAACGTACGATCGTGCTGCTAACCGTGGGAAAAAAAAAGAAAAGTCAGCATAAAGGTCAAACCAAATCAACCTTTTGCTTTCCCTCTTCCCCCCACCCTCTCTCTCTCTTTCTGAGGTCAACGAGAGGGAAAGACAAAAGAAAAAACACCTAGACGTGCTGCGGCGCCCGTCCAGTATGCGTCGTCCTTGCCTTCCTCGCCCTCCAAAACAACCCCGCACCCACAACCGCCGAAATAAACCAAAGCACCACATTCGTAAGCAGTACCCAAACCCCATTCTTCATCCGCTGGACCCCCTTATTTCCCTCAGCATCCTCCCCAATATACATGTTCCCGAAAATCCCAAAAGCGACAATGTAGCAAATAAACACCACCACATCTACCGCAAACAAGATGACCATCCTTCCCAGGAAAGGAATCATGAAGAGGAGCGAGACAAAGGCACCGAGGGCGCCGCAGACGGTCGCCCAAACCCACTTTGAGTCGACGTATTTGCCTTGCTTGCGTGCGTTGTCGAGGTCGACGGCGTACATGCCGATGATGGTGAGGCCCATGACGAATTGGAAGAAGCGGAGGATGAGGCGCAGGATCGTTGCTGGGGTGAAGGTGCTGCGCAGGGTGGTTCCCAAGGTGGCTTTTTCGCCCCGGAGAGTGCTATTCGACAGGAATTTGAAGGCCATCTTTTTTTTTAATATAGTGAGACTGGGTGGAGTATGTTAGCAATGTTATGGTTTCGTAGGGGTAGAGTTATAGGTGGACTAGACTTACTCTTCGTTGCTGTTGCAAGTTTTGAATGGGTCTGGTTGAAGGGATTTATGTTTGTTGGGTTGTTTTGGTAGAGAAGGCGGGTGGTTGGATGCTCCTTCTGGGGTGCAAAGGTGGTAAAGGTCGACGGGGAATATAGTGTTTTTACTTCCAACGACGAATTCACACCGCTGGTTTTCCTTTGTGATGGACACTGCTATTCCTTTTTTCTTTCTTCTCTTTCTTTCTTTCACGCAACTACGCGCAAACAACGGCGTCGTTTATTTATTTTTCGTAGCACTGTTTGCGCGCTCTTCACACGGTAAAACAGTATCGGGATCGGGGAATGTTGCGACCAGATGTGGGGGGCGGGCGGGAGGGGGGAGGTTTAAACAAGGTAGCCCAGGCCTATGACGTCGCTTATCGCTTGCCTTGAAGCGGGATGTTGTCTTTGGGACCCTTTTTTACCAGGGCCCGACGAGTTAAGCTATTTTCGTGCTATGATCAGCAGGGCGTGGGTGGGAGGATGGGTAGGTATCGGCACCCACAAGGTTTGCAGGCAAGGGGGATCCTGGGCAGGCTAACGGGATATTCAGGAGAAAGAAACGCTGTACCGACTATCAAAGTTGGCAGTTTGAGAAGAAGAAGAAGAAGAAGAAGAAGAAGAAGAAGAAGAAGAAGAAGAAGAAGAACTAAGGAATCGTTGACACAGGAGAAAAAAAAAGATGCTTAGATAGTCTCACAGCTGTGACTGCGTCCAAAGTCACAGATATAATAATCACACCGGTTGCGACAATCACTCCTCTCTTGCAAACTCATTGTCAGGTGGCCCTCGTAGCATGCCACACATTCCCACAGCCATTCGTTGGCAAGCCATTGCAGTGGACAAGGTGGTGCAGCCACAGGACCCTGTTTTTTTTGCACGGCGCTTGGAGAATGTATCGCTGACGTCGTTGGCGTTGGGTTGGTGCTGTGTCTAGTGCAGGGGTAGCTTCCGCCATGATTGGCTCTCGACATTCGAGATCCTGTCGAGCGAAACACAAATCGCAAAGTTTCGGATCTTTTGCTCGTTTCAGGAGCTGGGACAGCCGCGTGAAGCAGTGCGGTGGACTTGCTCTAAAGTAGCGTATTGTGTACCTCCATGTCTAGACCATTCGGTCTACACCCAAGAGCTTCTATTCAACGACGCACTTTCGCTGCACGTGCACTGCGGGTTATTTCTAATTCCACACCCTTCTTGAATGATAGTCAAATTCAAAGAAACTTTGATTATTGATTTTTAGCTCGCTGCGGCGTCCTCAAGGGCTAGAGTACTTGTAGCCATACTGCTCCTTGGCAGACTTGATCTGTTCCTGAAGTTGCTGCTCTTTCTCCGCAAACTCCTTGTCATCCTTCAACTTCTGCAAGTACGCGTCGTTGCCATATGTGCTCTTAGACGGGATCGCAAGGCCCTTCTGTACTGCGGGCCGGGCAAGTATCCTGTCCAGCCATTTCTTCAAGTTGGGGAACATTTCAAGGTCGATGCCTGAGAAGCTCGCCATATGACACCAACCGAAGCTGGCAATGTCGGCAATACTATACTTATTACCCACGAGGAATTCAGTGTTGGCCAGGTGCGAGTCAAGAATACCCAGCAGGCGCTCCGTCTCGCCCGTGTAGCGTTGCATACCGTATGGAATGCGCTCTTTGGCAAAGCGGTTGAAGTGATTGGCCTGGCCTTGCATCGGACCAAGGCCGCCGTGCTGCCACGCCATCCATTGCTCTGCGCGCGAGACGTCAAGGGGGTCGCTAAAGCTCAGCTTGTGCTCGGGGTCGTAGTGGCGCGTCAGGTATGTAAGGATGGCTAACCAAAGTCATCAGCATCCTATTCGCACGCTCCATGTCTGTCGTATTCGCCTAGCAGGTACTTACCGAGGCCCTCTTGTACAGCAAAACCACCTTGATCATGGTCCACAATGACTGGGATTCGGCCATTGGGACCTAGCTTAGTAAACCAGGGCTCCTTTTGTGTGTTCTTGCCGATGTTGATGGGCTGCCACGTGTATTCCTTTCCGTAGGCCTCTTTGAGCTCTTCAAGCAGAATGCTAGCTTTCCAGCCATTGGGTGTGCCCTACAATTGGTTAGCAGGGAGGCTGTGTTTGCAGTAATGGTACGACCATACCCAAGTGAGCAACTCAATGCCCTTGTTCGCAATAAGTCCCTTTGGCTGATCGTCTGCCATATCCGGTAGTATACTCTGGAACGGTCTCGAGGTGTGGAAATGCGATATAGAAGTGGATTGCGGTCGCTGTATCTGTGAGGAAACGCGAGGTGTATATCTCAATTGCGAGGGAAAGCGCTGGCGTAATAGTGACATGAGAAAAGGCTAAACACAGCGCGTCGAAGAGGGGTTATATGCGTCTATGTGCATGCGGAAAGCTGCCGTTTTACGAGGGGCATTGCTTAGGAATCCATGACGTCGATTGCCCACTACCCTACCTGCATATGTTTGAGGCGAGGAACAATTCCTAAAAGTGGATTAAAGCCCGCAAAATTTACAAATCAATTTTTGGTTCACAACGTGAGGTTTCAAGCACACCTCCTAGCTGTAATGTCAGCATCAGTTGTCTCTGTAAGCAGTTCGGTATTACAAGCTCGGCCTGCTCTGACCCCGAATATGAAATAGGAGCACATGAACATTAGCTCAGGTTCGAAAGCTTTGTAAAAAGTTGAGCTGAAACTGCTGGCCTTATTACACATGTTCTTCGGACTTCTGTCGGTCTCCTTGATGTGTGATTGGACGGTTACGATCAACACATAGCACATACACCAGGATGATGTAATACACAGCTGTGTATTGCATGTCCTACTCCAGCCTCATGCACTTGTGCTTACAAGCAATTAAATACCCAAGATTTGATTTCCAACATATTATTCATCCCGCACTATTTCGTCCGTCAAGACTTCCGGGTAAATGTTAATGCCTAGCTGGTTATGTCCTACAGTACACCTATAGCTTCATGTCTTACATGCAGCTGCAAGTCCAAATCTGGACAACCATGTAGTACCTCCAATGCAAGACTCCAACAATGACCTGTGGCGACAGCATGGACGTTTCTTCATCTTCTCTCTTCTTGTGCTTCACCCCCGATATGTTCCAAGTCTTGCACCATTCTCAGGCATGCCATCCAGCTTGTGGCAACTGATATACGTACATCCTTGGCGATTGCGGCCGAGCGAGACCGGATATCCTTTTTCTCATGCTCATGTCTTTTGTTATCATCTCCGCCGGCTGCGGTCCCCACTGGCTTGTTGCGCTGCCTGCTGAGCAGCTTCGTGTCCCAACTCGTTCCGTAATCCCCCGAGCTTAGCCTCGACTTCTTCCTTCTTCTTTGCTTCTTTTTCCAGTTGCTTTTCTACCTCTGCTATCTTTGCCTTGAGGTCATTCAGCAGGGCCTGTTCTTGTTCCTGGCTAAAAGGCACGTCGTCCGCGCCCTTTTCTGGCAGTTGTGCACTCCTCTCTCCGTTCGGTAGCCCGCGCTTCAGTCTTCCATTAGCGCCAAGAGATGCTTTCTTGGAACCGCCCTTGCCAGGTGGTATGAGGTAGTTCCACTGGTCATCTGAGGTGAGGGCATCAAAGAGCGCCTCGGTAGGCTCGTTGAACTGCACAACTTCGAGGAATTCTGAACGCACGCAACCTGTCCGTTCCTGCTCTGCCTGCATCTTCTCATCACCGTATTTCTCTAGTTGCAAAAAGTGCTGCCTGTATTGTGCCTTCTCTCCTGATATGGGCTGAAAATGCAATCTTATGTCGATGTTGAAGCCTCCCCATCCCGTTTCCGTCACCTCGAATGGCGGTTTTTCGACCATACGCAGTGGGTTCTCGTACGTGTTGAAGATTTTGAACGAGACCTTATTGAGCCACGCTCGTATATCGGGGTCGCCATCGGGAACTCGTACGTAGACGGTCCAGCGCTTCGTGTGGTCGTCGGGGACATTCTTGGGACGATCGGGGTGTCCTACCGGAGGTAATTGCCAGGCTTCTGAGCCGATTACTGAGAGTGTGAGTGCGCGACTCCATGTTCGGGTTGGTCTGTAGCTTACTGAGATTTCTGCTTATCCGCTTGTTCTATTCGGGGTCATTATATAGCTTTTGGAGTAACGCGCAAGTTGCTTACCTTGACGCGCTTGTTCGACGCGGGAGCGGGCATTTGTTGCGCTGCGCGGCCTAATGCGCGCAGTTGGGAACGTTCCACGGAGTATTTCCGCAGTCCAATATGGATATGAGTATCGTATAGGGAATGCGATAACAAGGTAGCGAGCGGTCTAGGTCGTTGGGTAGATGGTGTGCGGGTGTGTGAATAAAGATCCTAGCTGCAGGTACGTAGGATGGATGCTGCGAGAATCGGGCCAGCCCTACTATGCACGAGCCAGGATCATCGCACAAGCTCCACATGGAGTTGTAAAATCATCAACAATGATTGAATAGACGAGAGATAGCGCTAACAGGTATTGCTCTCCGAGTTTTTGTTTATAACGCTAAATATTCTAATTTCGAAATGTGCGTTTCTTCTTGAGTAGTACAAGGAGTGGCTCAATGGCTCGAGATGAAATCTTTTGTGTCATACTCGGTGAGCGCCACCACTGCGGTCTCAGCAACAAGACGATATTCCGCCCCAATGTATGGCTAACGTGGTGGTTGACATGAACAAATCTCAAGGCAAGGTTTCAGTGGAGATCAAGTGCTTCATGGTTGGAAAATGGGTTGACATGCCGGCAATACTTATTGGTACGGCCTGCCTACATAGCCACATAAGTAGCAGCTCGTGATGTCATTAATACTGCGATCATCATGTCAAACGGGAGTTCTCACTGTATATTCCAATGAAATTTACATATTCCAAATTAATCGTGAACAATGAAAGGACCATATTGTACTTTACACAATATCTAGTTATACTTAGAATAGCATTCTGTATCAAAGAAACCCATCCGCACTACCCCAAATTCGCCCTCAAAACCGGCCTCCCCCATAAAAGGACATCAAACAACTCCGAAACTAATATCTAGGAACTATCTCACTCCAAGCTCCAGCCAATCCAATCGTTCCACACAATTTGCTTATAGTTAACCCTTTCCTTGTCCTCATCCTCTCCTAATCTCATCATGCCTCCTGCAGTGAGGAAGACACTTTCCCAATCATCTCACAGAGCGACTTGTTAATCAAATCCGCGCCATCAGGCGTAATCATATGCTCATTACCCCTAACCACAATTCTGAGTCCATCCTCAAGCGGGTAGGCCACCACAGTCAAGATAGCCGGTACCGAATCAGGATTCTGAAACCAATGCAGCCTGGAATCCGTGCCTTCAAAATCAAACACCGGATGTTCATTCAAGTTCTGGTACTGAAACACCGAGTCGTAATGCGCATCGGCTGGCCAGTCTGTGGATGTGCGTACAATGTCGTCGAAGCCCATTGAATCGGCTTCGCCGAGTGCAATGTATTGTTCTTGGATTGCGCGCACTAGGTCGGTTGAAGAAGTTGTTGGATGGACCTGTGCTCGAACGGGGATGATGTTCAGGCAGGGACCGACAATTTTCGTAATGTTTGGGATGTTCGCGTTGCGCCCGGCTATCATGTATCCATAGACGACGTCTTCTTCTCCGGTGATTTGTGAGAGGACCCTTGCCCAGGCCGAACTGACAATTGAGGCGAGAGTAAAACCAGTTGGGACGTGGGGCATACCAATGATACTTTGTGTTTGAATCTCAACTGGGTGGTTGCCATGTCGGATGCTAGGACCGAGCAACGTGGTGATTTTTGTTATCCGCGAGCCTTGGAGGAGGTTACGCCAGTACTGTGATGAGACCGATCTTCTACCCCGAATGTAGGCCAGATAGTTCGAGTAGCTGTGTGTAGGCTCTACAGGTTTTCCAGAGTAAATGGCAAAAAGTGTCTTTATGAATGACGGGAAACAAACGCCGTCGTACTGAGCATGCGTGATGCGGATTACCAAACGGTATTCGCCTGAGGAGCTTCGTACCAACAAGAAAGCAGTAGCCAGCTCTAGAGGCTCGGTGGTCCGACTATCCTCTAAACAGACAGTATCAGCTGCTTCATCCAGAGGCATATCAAGCTCGAACTTGATAAAGGGAACTTCCGGGTTGCGAAGAACAGTTTGCCACAATACTCCATCGACATAGACGAACTTGGTTCGAAGTATGGAGAAGTGCTTGACAAGAGCAGGGATACTGCGTCTGAGGCGAGAAACGTCAACACGTGTTCCCAAATCGAGGAAGAAATAGTTGAAAGCGAGGGGTAGAACGTTGACACCTCGGGAGATGAACAGATTCTGCATCCATGTCGTTGGAAGGACGTCGACAATGTCGTTTCTGTCCACCTTGGAGGTATTTGCAGGTATAGCCTGGAGAAGATGCTCCTTTTCGGTTGGCGAGAGGAAAGAGAATGGTTGAGTTGGCTTCTCTTCAGCTACTACTTGTGAGAACTGAGCTACAGTGGCCATGTTGACCAGCTTGGGGTGCTGGAAGATGTTTGCAACCGTGAGTTGGATATCCTCTTCTCGAGCTGCTGCTACTATCTTCATAGCTGCAATTGAGTCTCCACCTAGCTGGAAGAAGCTGTCTTCCAGCCCAACACGACTAGCGTCAATTCCGAGTACTCGCGCCAGTATCTTCTGCACTTTGAGTTCTGCAGGGGTAAGTTCTCGTTGTTGGGCGTCTTGGCCAACTACCACATTCGTTTTTGTTCTTTGTGCAAGGGCTTTTCGATCTACCTTGCCGTTCTGGTTGATTGGAAGTTTATCCAGAACTTGAATGGATTGCGGAGCCATGTACGAAGGCAGTTGAAGTTTCACAAGCTCGTCTAGCTGCTGTTGGACTTCCTTAACAAGCTGCTGCCGCATTGGCTTGTTGCTCAAGGTTTGCTGTGGCCGGTCTGTATGATCTGTTGGGAATGAAAACATCAGTTCAGACTTGCTAGCATCACCGTTGACTGGACGAGGGTAGAATATAGCGTCCAGGCCACCCTGCTGTGAATATTGCCTGTTCCAGCTGATTTGCACCTGGCACCCTGCTTCCTTGGCCATCTCATCCAGATCAACGGCAGAGAAGCTGGGCGTCTGCTTGACTTCTTTGTCAATCAGAGCGGACCAGTCCATGTGGACCGGTTTTCTGGCCTTTTCATCTTCCAAGGAGCTTAGAAGGCGATTTCCAAAGATAGTTTTGCTGCAGGGAATATTGCTTATGGCCATAGGATGTGTGCTTGAGACATCCTTTATACGCTGTTGGAGAGATACACGATCCAGTTTCTGGTCCTTGAAGTCGACCCATTCATGACCGGGGATAGTTCGAAGCGCTCCAGATGGCGGACTCCAGGATCGAGAGTATACCACAGCCGTGTAGCGGTAGGAGCTCAACTCGTTTGTGGCTTTCATTTGCTTGGGCTGAATCTCCACATGCTGGACTAAATCGGGAAGACGACTTGCTAATGAAGTAAAAAAGCCAGGGTCAACCAGAAGCTCCCGCTCGATTTGTTCCATGTCTTCCACCATACGTCGTAGATCCTCTTTGCTAGCCCTTTCACCCGCCATAAAGAGGGCTCTGGCTGCAAAGAATTCCCGGCGCAGAGCATGAGAACGGATGTCGCCAAAGAACAATGTCTTGACCCCTGTAACTTGGAGCAGGTCTCGAATTACGTTGAAGAGATACTCCTGGCTGGGAAAATACTGGACAACTGAGTTTAGAATCACCGTGTCAGCCCGGAGTGGTGGATCCACTTGACTGATGTCAGCGGCCGTAGCCTTATACATCTCCACTTTATTGGCGAGTGAGGGGATAGACCTGGCTGTCCCCATAATGAAGTCGACTGCCTTTCTTGAGGGCTCAAATCCGGTGTAATGTTCTAGGGTATTTCCGAGGTTGAAGAGAATCATGCCGGATCCCGATCCAACTTCCAGTACGTTTCCTAATCGTCCACCGGCTTTGGTGTGGATTGCATTGATAGTTTCGTTCAGCCACTCCTTCATCTCTGTATTGTCAATATCAGAGCCATCGTACATTGAGGTCCATCCGATAAAATCCTGGCCGATTGTTCCAGACTCAATACTGCTGATCGGGGCGTATATCTCTGTGTTGAAGCGGTCTTCCCACGCACTCACGTGCTGTATTTGGTTGCTATCGCTGTTCTTCCCGGCAGGCATTTCGGATCCTTCTTTCAGAGTAACGTAACCGAAAAGTCGTTGGTCTTTCTCTTGTTGTTTTTCTGCTACCACCACTGCGTCACGCACAAAGTTGTGCCCACGAAGGACGCTCTCGATCTCTCCAAGTTCAACACGGTTGCCCCGGATCTTGACTTGCCCATCGATGCGACCGAAGAACTCCATTTCCCCATCTGTGGGTCGCTGACGAACATAGTCTCCAGTACGGTAGGCTCGCACTGTTTGGTTTCCGACTGTAACAGTCACGAAACGGTCAACATTGCGATTTGGATCGGTATATCCTCTGGCAACACCGTCTCCAGTAACAACAAGCTCTCCAACAACACCAAGTGGTACAAGGTTCTGCTCTGGATCCATCACGTATGCCCCAGAGTTACTGATAGATCGTCCAATAGGTACACCGTTGACGCAATCCTCGTGATCAGAGAGCATGTATAGTGTGCTCATGACCGAGTTCTCAGTAGGACCATATGCGTTGACGACCTTGTTTGTCACAAGGTTCCGTGCGGTAAAGAAGTCATCTATGTCGGCTCTGTCTCCTGCGACAAGGAGGGTATCCAAGTTACCGATTGTGTTTGGAGATTCGGCTAGGATATATTTCAGCAAAGCAGGCGTGATGAAAGCGATCCGGATCTTGAATTCCCTGAAGGCACGTAATAGGGCATCCTGGTCCAGTACAGTTGTCGCATCAATGCAAGCCAGAGTTCCTCCATTCAGAATACAAGTATAGATCTCCCAGGAAGATCCATCAAAAGCAAGATTTGCCATATGAGCGGTGGCTCCAGATGATCTGAAGTGCTCCATCTGGTCGTGTTGTGCCAGGCGAACTATGCCACGATGTTCGACCATGACTCCTTTAGGTTGACCAGTAGAGCCAGACGTAAATAGAATGTAAGCGAGACTAGAAGGACTGGGCTTCAGAGCAGGATCAAGCTCGTTTCTTGTGAATTCAGCATTATCATCTGCGTTCAAGATGTCGACAATGTGAGCAAATTCAACATCCTCGAGTCCTGCACCGGGCAACCGGATATTTGGACCGACTAAGACTAGCTTTTTTCCTTCAATGGTTGATAGGATCGCTTCCATTCGCTTTTCTGGTGCTTTTGAATCGAATGGAAGGTAGGCCAATCCGGCTTTGAGAATACCGAAAAAGGCAACAATTGCTTGACAGCCTCGACGCGCCAGAACACCAACTGCCGTTTCAGGAGGAAACGATTTCGTCGCCAGGTATTTTGCAAGCTTCTCTGACTGTGCGTCTAGCTCGGTGTATGTCAGCTCTGCCAATGCATCTTTAACAGCAATTCTGGACGGTTGCATAGCGACTTGCTGGCGGAATACGTCGACAATGCTTGAATCTCGAGAATAGGCTGTCTCATTCATGCCGAGGAGTCCCATCTGATCGAGCTGAATGTGTGCTTGGTCGGTCATGAGTGGCACTACCGCAATCTGCGTTTCTGGCTTGGCGAGACAGTTGTCAAGGATGCTTGTAAAGACGGATGCTAGCGAACGTATACTCTCAGGAGAAAAGAGCTCCTCTGAGAAGTATATGTAGCCTTGTAGACTATCCTGTTCCTGGAAGAAATGGAATTCGAGGTCAAAACGTGAGGTAGCTAGGCCCTCTATGACTTCTGTTTCGACACCATCGAACGATAGCTTCCCTATGTCTTGCTGTGAGTGAACAGCGAATGCAACCTGGGCAAGAGGGTTGCGGGAAATGTCCCGGTCTCCTTGTAATGCAGCAACGATACTCTCAAAGGGTACGTCCTGGTTAGCAAGTGAGTCTACTACTGTCGTGTAGACCTGTTGCAACAGCTCTTCAAAGGTTTCATCCTGAATCTTGATTCGGAGACATTGAATATTGACGAAGAATCCAATCAGATCTCCAACCTCCCAACGGCTTCGATTCGCATTGGGTACTCCAATGGTCGCGTCATCCTGGTTAGTCAGGCGGTAGTGCGCGGCTCTGAAAACAGTGAGGAGGACAACAAATGGAGTCATCCCATGTTCTCTCGCAAAACTTTGTAGCCTTTCATAAAGTTTGTGGCTGATAGTGAGTTTCTGTGTGCCTGCTTTGCCAGATAGAGTAGCTGGCCGGGGCTTATCATACAGAAATTCCGCTGGCCGGCTTGAGTCCAACTGGTTGATCCAGTAATCAAGCTGCCGCTGATGTTCTTGAACTTGACCCGGCAGCCTTTGCCAGACAGAGAAGTCGCGATATTGGATGGGTAAAGGCGGTAGGGAGGAATTCAGGTCTTCGCCGCGAACTGCAGCAGCATACAGTGTGCTCAGTTCTTTCTTCAAAACATCAACTGACCAGCCGTCTGAAACGATGTGATGCATGACGATGGACAGAACATGATTCTCTCCGTTGATATTATAGACAGATACTCTCCATCCAGGCTCGCTTCGTAGATTAAATGGTGTCTTTTGTTCCAATTCCAGAGCTTCTAGCAGAACTTTGTCATCGTTTGAGTTGATGTCAATGACATTTAGGTCTTTTCCATCACGGAAAGGATGAACCTCCTGTAGACTTTCGCCATTGTTGGTGGAAAATGTTGTTCTTAGCGTTTCGTGGCGGCGCTCTACTGTCTGCAATGCAGCTTGGAGAGCTTGGAGTTGAAGTGGGCCTCTGATGCGTACGGCAAGGTGCATGAGGTACCAGTCTAGCCCCGGATGCAGTTGTTCTAAGAACCAAAGTCGGCCCTGCGCAAAGGATTGGGTGACAGGCCCCCGATGATTGCCTTTTGTGATTACACTCTCAGTGGAAGAGTGAAGTGATTGTTTGACCAGCTGACCAAGTCGCTGCGCTTGGAAAACGTCCTGAACAGAAAGCTTCAGGTCAACGCTGCGCGCCTCGCTCACAAGCTTCATAGCCGCGATAGAGTCGCCACCTAACCGGAAGAAGCTATCATCGAGTCCAATGGAAGTAGCGTCGATGCCTAGCACCTGCGCCCATAGCTGTTGTAACACCTTCTCTTGCTCTGTCTCTGGCTGTCGTTTTAGGCCCTTGTCTCTCTGTGTTTGCAGCTGGGCTAGCTGCTGGGCTGAGAACGAGCGTCCAATCTCGCGTAGTCGCTTTCGGTCGATCTTACCAGACGTCATTATTGGGAACTCTGCTAGCGCAAAGTAAACCCCAGGCACCATATCCCGGGGTAACCGTTGAGACAGCTCGTCGTCTGCTTGGGCTGGAAACACAACATGGACTCCAGAGTCCCCATCAGACTTCCTGCTGTTAAGTAGCTCGGAGTTTGCTTCCAGGAACGCTGCTACTATTGGCTTTCCTCCTGTTGGTAAGATCACTTCGACTGCAATCTCTTTGATGTCTGGCATGCATTGATAGAGATGATGCTCAATCTCAGCAAGCTCAATGCGTTGGCCACGCACTTTGACCTGGTTGTCTTTGCGGCCGACGTAGACCAAATTACCATCTGCGGTGTAATAGACCAGGTCACCAGTCTTGTACAGTCTGCCTCGTCGCCCACTATAGCCTTCACTGCCTCGAAGTAGCCAGGGAGGTTCATTGATAAAGGCAGTTTCTGTTTTCTTTGCATCGTTCAGATAGCCGCGTGCTAAGTTTGGTCCTTCGACCAACAGTTCGCCCACTGCGCCCAACGGAGCTAGCCTGTTGTGATCGTCTGGATTAGCTACCCATCCGACCGATGCAACTGACTTTCCGATAGGTTCCGGATCAAGCCCCTTCATATCGGGATTTGCGACACAAGAGACGCAGCATTCTGTAGGTCCGTAAGCGTTGATTAGCTGTACGCGGTCACTCCAGATGTCGCAGTCCGAAGCGTTGACTTTCTCACCACCGAGAACCAACGTCTTCAACGGTACAATCTTCTGTGGGTCCAAGATTCTCGCGACAGCTGGAGTCAACAGTGCCCAGTTGACATCCATCGCATTGATTGTGTCGATGAGATTGTCGCGTCGCTGGCTCTCAGACGGAATACATACACAAGCGCCATGTACTAGAGTCGTGATAATCTCTAGAATACAGGCGTCAAATGTATAGGCAGCAAATTGAAGAGCTCGAGTATTCTTTGTAATTCCTAAAGCAGGCCCTTGGCATATGCAACTTGTGGAAACGGCCTTATGCTCTAGTTGAACACCCTTGGGCACTCCGGTACTTCCTGATGTAAAGATGACATACGCTGTATTGCCTGGCTGTATCGCTATCTGGACGTCGCAAGGTTTGGTCGGCAACTGATCAATGAAGTCTCTGCTGATTGACACGACAATTTGAGAACGTTCTGGCCAGATGTTGGCGTACTGTGTCGAGGTGAGGACTATATTGGCTTTGGTTTGGTCGAAGATCTCTTGGTGACGAGATGTTGGATGATTCGGATCCAGGGGCGCAAAGGCACCCCCTGCTTTGAGCACAGCTAGCATAGCTACAACCACCCAAATCGATTTTTCAAAACAAAGAGGCACTATGCTCTCTGGTTTGACCCCAAGGCTGGTCAAATGGTGTGCGAGGCGCGATGATGTTTCGTCCAGCTCTTCATAGGTCATTCTACCATCCCATGCACATATCGCGTCTGCTTTGGGTTGAGACTTTACTTGTTCCAGGTATAAATCATGGACACAACGATCGATAGTCGGTGGTAGCTTGTGGTTCCAATTCCACAGCTGTTGTTCGTCACTTGGCGTGAGTATTTCAATGTCCCTGACTCTTGTGCTTAGGTCTCCTCGGGCCAACTGCTGCATGACGAAGCTTAGTTGAGCCAACATCTTCTCAACTTGCCACTGTTGAACCAACCGCGCATCAAAGCTGGCCGTGATTTTGACCCCCTCTTTAGCCAGCTTGCATTGTACCATCAGAGCATACGTTGTGAAGTCTTGTAGTCCTGAGCCAAATTCCCACTTTCCAAACACGTTGTCTGTTTGGAATGCGTCTTCTGCAGGCTGGACAATCAGAAGTGTCTGAAAGCTACAGGCATTTTGGGCTTCTGGTACTAGCTTCGTGATCCGTTGCAAGCCGGTTTGCTCGAACGGAATCATTTCTGTTGCCTGTTTTTGTACCGTTTCGAGAAGTTCTAGAACAGTCCGATCCCTCTGTAAACGTATTCGTACTGGCACTGTTGCAATCACGGGTCCAACTAGGGACTCGATGCCAGCCACTGGTGCATTCCGACCCGTGACTGTCGCTCCAAACACAACGTCGTCTGAGCTCGTATAGCCGCTGGCAACGATCGCCCAAGCTGTGCGAATGAGTGTCGAGATTGTAGTGTTTGAGGTTCTTTTAGGGAGAGGAGGGCATTGATATTCTGCTGTTGCATCCGCGACTGGCTGTTGCACCCCGGGTCGTAGTGGTGGGAAAACATTCGCCTCGCAGTCGCTAAGCGTAGCCCCCCAATATGCTGCGAGAGCGTCTTGATCTAGCTGGCCAAGATACTTGATGAAGTTGTTGAAACCAAACTGCTTCTCTGGCTCTGCGCCGTTATATGCCGTTTGTACAGCGTTCAAAATGTGGGTTAGCGCCCAACCATCGTATATAGCATGGTGAATTGTCCATACGAACCACCGCTTTTCTCTACGAGAGTCTCGAACCAGAGCATAGCGTGCAAGTGGCTCACCAAGCTGCATAGATGACAGTTTGTCTTCAGCTAGGTAAGCAGTCAGATCGTCTGCTTCTGCCCACTTCATTTTGTCCGTCACAACAGCCTGCAACAAACCAAGCGTCTTGTGTACTACGATACGTGTTCGCAATATTTGTAATGACTGAACCGTTTTCTCCCATGCACTTTGAAAGGCTGCTTCATCCACATCTGGTCGCAGTTCCAGCACTGTCTGCATGATGTAATCCCCTGGCCGCTTCACAGTTAGCGACATCAAGCCTTCCTGGAGCGGCGAGCATGGGTAGATATCCTCAATAAGACCCCTGTCGACTTTGCAACTAGCCGCCACTTCTTGGTGTGTCTGTGTTGCATCAACTTCGGGGTCGATTAGAGAAAATGGGACGATGTTGTCGCTAGGAACGTAGACATGCTCCTGGGCTACAGCGGCTAGTTGGATAAGTTTAGGGTACTGGAAGACTTTTGCTACCGTAATTTGGATATCTTCTTCGCGAGCCATAGCAACCAATCTCATAGCTGCAATCGAATCGCCGCCTAGCTGGAAAAAGCTATCATCTAGGCCAATGCGGTTCGCGTTGATGCGAAGTACGCGAGCCATCAGTTGCTGAACTTTGAGCTCTGCCCTAGTGAGTTCTCGTTGGAATTCCTGGCCTTCTACTGTCTGAATTTCCGTTTGCTGTGTAAGAACGGTACGGTCTACCTTGCCGTTCTGGTTGGTTGGCATCGTGTCTAGGAACATAATTGTCTGGGGGACCATATAAGCGGGTAGCTGGGCTTCAAGTATCTCCTGAAGTTGTTTTTGGGTTCTCTGCAAGACCTGTTGCCGTAGCGGCGTGCTGCTCAGGCTGTGTAGAGGCCGCTCTGCATGATCGGTGGGGAATCGAAACATCACTCTGTTCTCTCCCTTTTGTGGCTGGCAGCGATGGAATATCGCGTCGAGACCACCGCGCTGGGAGTGCTGTCTGCTCCAACTAATCTCAACACGGCAATTGGCCTCGGCCGCTAACTCATGTAGATCAGCGGCAGACAAAGAGGGGCAGTGTTCTGCCTGCTGGTACACTGAAGAGAGCCAGTTCGACGAATCAGACGTATCTGCTACGTCATCTTCCAACGAGTCGATAAGACACCGGCTCACAATCGTCTTACTGTAAGGAATGTTGCTCACAGCTATGGTGGGCGAGCTGGAAAGGCTCTGGAGCTGCTTCAAGAAAGACGGGCGGTCCAGCCTGTGTTCAGCAAAATCGATCCACTCGTCGTGTCCCACGCATCGAATCACCGGTTCTTGCTTTTGCCCATTTCGTGACTTAACATGAACGACGGCGGCGTACCGGTAGCAACTCAGCTCATTCGTGGCCTTTAACTTCTTTGGTAAGATTTCGACGTGCTCGATAAAATCTGGTAAGCGCTCTGGTAGAGCAGTGAAGAAACCTGGGTCCACTAGAAACTCTCTTTCAACTCTCTCCATGTCGGCAATCATGCGACGGACCTCAGACTTTTCTGCACTGTCTCCAACCATAAACAGCGCACGCGTTGCGAGAAACTCCCGGTGTAGCGCATAAGATCGGACATCGCCAAAGAAGAGAGTAGAGACGCCCTCTATCTCGACCAGCTGCTGCACAGTCTTGAAAAGGTAATCCAGACTTGGGAAATACTGAACGACTGAATTGATAACAACAAGATTTGCATCAATAGGCGGTAGGCGATCAAGTTCTGCCGCTGTGGCCTTGTAGACTCTGACCTTGTCTGCTAGCGTAGGTACGGACCTGGCAGTGTCTTTGACAAAATCAACGGCTTTTTGCGATGGATCCAGCCCAATGTAACTTTCCAGACCGTCGCCTAAGTTGAACAGAATCATACCAGTTCCTGTACCAACCTCAAGCACCTTGCCAGGTTTACCGCCGTTGAGCATTGTATCGATTGTCTCGTCAAGCCATTCGTTCATCTCCGCCTTATCTATGGCGCTGCCATCGTACATGGAAGTCCACCCAATGAAGTCTCGTCCAATAGCTTCAGGAAGGACATTGGAAATGGGCATATAGACCTTCGAATCAAACTGGTCTTCCCATGTATCCACATGCTGTGACTCGTCGTTGTCGTTAGGCTCTTGGTCAACTACTACGTTACCCTCGTAGACTGTGACGAACGCAGCTAATCGAGCAGCCTCGTCTGCATTTTGCTGCTGCACTACAGCCACGGCCTCACTTACGGACTTATGGCTGCGAAGAACGTGCTCAATCTCGCCTAACTCAATGCGATGTCCTCGAATTTTGACCTGTCCGTCCATTCGTCCGAAATATTCCAGCTGGCCGTCGGAACGATAACGCACGTAATCACCCGTACGGTAAGCTTTCATACTCTCGCCGTCAATCTCGACTGTAACAAAACGGTCAATGTTGCGCTTAGGATCAGTGTATCCACGCGCCACGCCATCGCCCGTGACAACAAGCTCTCCAACGACGCCAAGGGGGAGAAGCTGCTGTTTCGAATCCATGACATAGGCGCCAGAATTGCTAAGTGCACGGCCAATGGGCACGCCATTTGCGTACTGGTCGTCTTTTGATAGAACGAAAATTGTGCTGAAAGTTGTATTTTCAGTCGGCCCATAGCCATTGATGATCTTGCCTGTCTGAAGTGTCTTTATGGAAAGGATATCATTTGATTGAAGTGCTTCGCCACCGAGACAAAGCATCTCGAGGTTAGCAAACATCGCAGGTGATTGCTGGACGTAGGTTCGGAAAAGGGATGGTGTCATAAATGCTGTTTTGACCTGTTCTCGACGGAATGTTCGCAACACAGCCTCTGGATCCAACACTGTCATTCTGTCGATGCAGACTAGCGTTCCACCTTGTAGGAGAGAAGCGTATATCTCCCACGTAGAGACATCGAATGCAAGATTCGTCATATGCGCCATGACTGGTGAGGCTGGTAGGTGCTGGACAAAATTGTTGTCTTTTACTAAGCGCACAATACCACGATGTTCAACCATAGCACCCTTCGGCTGGCCTGTTGATCCTGATGTGAACATGACATAGGCCAAGCTAGTTGCTGAAGGCTTGATGATGTTTCCGGAATCGGATGATTCGTCAATCTGCTCGTTGAGGGCGTCTGTGATGCGTACAAACTGGACGCTACCGATCTTCATGCTCGAGGACTGTACGTCAGCCCCAACAAGCACAATTTTCTGGCCTGGTAACGAGGAAAGGATATTTTCCATCCGCTTCGCTGGTAGTTTGGTATCAAACGGTAGGTACGCCAAGCCGGCCTTCAAGATGCCCAAAAATGCAACAATAGTCTGGCAGCTTCGACCTGCTAATACGCCTACCAATGTCTCTGGAGCGAGCGACTGTTTAGCTAGCCACCAGGAGAGAATGTCAGATTCCTTGTCAAGCTCGGCATAAGTCATCTCTACCAGCGGGTCTTTAACAGCAATCCTTGACGAACAGGTTGATACTTGCTGACGGAAGAGATCGACTATGCTCGACTCACGTGGGTAATCAGTCCTCTGAACACGAATGAGATCTAATTCTTTGAGCTTGGAGTAGTTGGATTCGCGCAACAACGGTAGAGAGGCGATTGCAGCTTTCGGGTCTTCAAGGCACCCCTCAAGAACGATTTGGAAAACTGATAGCATGTTGCTAATCGTCTCAGGTGTATAAAGGTCGGTTGAATAGACAACATCTCCCCTTAGGCTGTCTTCTTGTTGAAAGAAGTGGAACTCAAGATCGAATCTCGATTTCGGTGCATTGTCGAGACTCTCTGTTTCCATGCCCTCTAGTGTGAGATGTCCTAACTTGCGCTGGGAGTGTACGGCAAAAATGAGCTGCACAATCGGATGACGAGACATGTCTCTAGTGTTCTTTAGCTTAGAGACGATGCTTTCGAATGGAACGTCTCCATTAGCAAGGGAAGCAATTGTTGCTTCACGAACTTGCTGAACTAGTTCTTCGAATGACTCGTCGGTGATCGTAGTCCGAAGGCATTGCAAGTTAACGAAAAAGCCGATCATATCTTTTAGCTCCCATCGATCTCGGTTGGCATTCACAGTGCCTATCGTTGCGTCGTTCTGACCTGTTAGACGGAAGTGTGTAGCTCTAAAGGCTGCAAACAGGACCATGAACTGTGTTACTCCGTGAGTTTTGCAGAATTGTTGTAGTTTACTGTAAAGTGGTCCATCGATATCGAGCTTTTGCTTTCCAGCTTGTCCAGATAGAGCAGCAGGCCGGGGTTTATCGCACAGCAGCTCTGCTGGCCTGCTGGTTTTCAGCTGATTGGACCAATATTCGAGCTGACTCTGGTCATTGTCAACCTGTGCTTGTTGTCTCTGCCACACTGAAAAATCCCGATATTGGATAGGCAGAGGTTGCACACAAGAAATGGGATCCTGATCTTGTATCGAGGCTGAGTAGAATACGCCCAACTCTCGCGTAAGTATATCAGTGGACCAGCCATCCGAGACGATATGGTGCATAACAATGGACAGCACATAGTCTTCTTTGCTGATGCGATAGATCGAAACCCTCCACCCGGCCTCAGTGCGTAAGTCAAAGGGGGTTGTCTGGTCTCGGTGCACAGCATCTGTGAGGTCCTGTTCGTCTATGTCGACGACGCTCATCACCCTAGGATGGAACGGATGAACCACCTGCATGCTTGCATCTCCAATGGTTTCGAAAGTTGTCCGGAGAGTTTCATGACGGCTCTCGATCGCATTTAGCGCAGATTCTAGCGCCGAGAGCTGCAGCGGGCCACGAATACGCACTACAACTGGCATGAGATACCATGTCAGACCAGAGTGTAATTCTTCCAAGAACCACATTCGACCCTGTGCAAATGATTGCGCAACAGGTCCATCACTTCCAACGTGCGGAATGATAGCAAAAGAGCTGTCAGTTGAAGCAACTGCTGCAGAGGTCAACTGGTCCAATGTGGGATTGCGGAAGACGACTGCAACGCTGATCTGTATCCCTGACCTACGTGCTTCGCCCACCAGCTTCATAGCCGCGATCGAGTCGCCACCCAGACTGAAGAAACTGTCATCCATACCGATGGACTGTGAATCAATGCTAAGTACCTGCGACCATAGTTGCTGCAAAGTCTTTCCTTTTTCTGTATCTGGTTGTCGCTTTGGACCATCGCCTCGAGTCCGCAATTGGGCCAATTGCTGTGCGGAAAAGGATGCTCCAATCTTACGTAACCGCTGCCTGTCTACTTTGGCGGACGTTGTTAATGGAAATTCCGTCACTACAAAGTATACTTCGGGCACCATATCTCTTGGTAATCTCTGAGCTAGCTGCTCGTTCACTTGAGTTGGAAAGATGACTTGCACTTCAGAGTCGCTGTCAGAAATCTGGCTGGTGAGTGTGTGATGTGTCTCTTCGCTCAGCTGCAGAAATGCTGCTACCATTGCTTTGCCCTGGTCTCCTGTTGGTAAAATGACTTCAGCAGCCAACTGTTTGACACCTGGCATGCATTGGTGGAGGTGGTGCTCAATCTCACCCAACTCAACTCGTTGGCCGCGCACCTTGACTTGGCTGTCCTTTCGACCTACATAGACCAAGTCGCCATCTACATTATAGTAGACTAGATCTCCCGTTTTGTACAGTCTTCCCTGCCGTCCGGTATGATCGTCGCTACCCTTCATCAGCCAGGGGGGGTTGCTGATGAAGGCGGCCTCAGTCTTCAATGTGTCGTTGAGATAGCCACGTGCTAGAATGGGTCCTTCTACTAGAAGTTCTCCAACCTCGCCGAAGGGCACCAGCTGGTTGTGGTCGTCTGGGTCAGTCACCCAGCTGACTGAAGCCATTGATCTACCGATCATCCCTGACTGAAACCCCTGACCAGTGTTTTGATGTGAAGTGCACCAAATGCTACATTCTGTTGGGCCATATACGTTTATCTGTACGACATTGTCATTCCATCTTTTCCAATCGGCGTCGTCCACTCGCTCTCCTCCCAGGACGAGCACCTCTAGGGACGGAACTGTTAGGGGATCAAGTAGACGCGCGACTGTTGGTGTGAGTTGCGCCCAGTTGACATTGCTGCTGTTGATGACTTCTGACAAGGCGTTACGTCGGTCGTCTTCGGAGGGAATGCAAACGCATCCGCCAAATATCAGTGTGGTGAATATTTCAGCGATGCAAATGTCGAAAGTATAAGCTGCAAACTGGAGGGCTCGAGAGTTGGGTCCAAGTCTCATCGCTTTCCCGTGAGCTAGACAGCTTGTCGTGATTGCTCCGTGCTCCAAGACAACACCCTTTGGAACTCCAGTACTACCAGATGTGAACATCGCATATACAGCGTTCCATGGCTTGACTTTGGAACAAACTTTAGTCTCGACTGATAGCTGGTTGATCAAGGCGTTGCTGACTGCAAGAATCTGTTGCGTTGAATTTGGCCAAAGATTTGCGTATTGTACGGAAGTAAGTACCACCTTAGCTTTGGTCTGTTTGAATATCTCTTCGTGGCGAGACCTTGGGTGAGATGGATCCAGCGGAACAAACGCACCACCAGCTTTTATGACAGCAAGCATGGCTACCACTGTCCATATTGACTTCTCAAAGCATAATGGTATCATTTCCTCGGCTACAACACCCAGACCAGCTAGGTAGCTCGCTAGTTGTGTTGAATGCTCGTCCAATTGTTTGTAGGTCATCTCGCCGTCCCATGAGCAGATAGCAGGCGCGTTAGGTCGAACTTTTGCTTGCTCTACGTACAAGTCGTGAACGCAATGCTCGACTGCTGGTATGATCCCGAAATTCCTCTCCCATATCCTGTCGACATCACTCTTATCCATGTCGACCTGTAATGGTTTTCCTATGTCACCCATCTTGAAAATGGTTGTTTTGACTTGTTGGATCAGGGGTTTGGGGGAAAAGAGTTAAATGTAAAGCTGCTGAAGCTGCTGGTTTCAGTCTGAAGAATCTGAATATCGGAAGTTGGGTATGCCATTTTGCAGTATTTAAGTGGGTGGAGAAAAGCACAAGGATTGTTTGACTGATTGAAATCAATCGGCAGATGTCTCCACAAGACAACAACAAGGTGTCAGAACGCTACGGTACTGAGTACGCCTTACGGGATGCACCGCCAGCTCGATCGTCGATTTGACCACAAGAGCACAATCACACCCTCTCCACCACCTGCTACTGACTTACTTCCATATCGGAAATGAGATCTGACTCGCTACCACCGTTGTTGTGTCTCGGAAAATAGTATGAGTACAGCCACGGCAATGCATTGAAAGTGTCCAGCTTAGATTATTGGCGCATTTACCAGAGTTCGCACTGTGGCCCACTTGCGTGGTGGGTACGGAAAGGCCTTGTCGGTCACAAGCTGACGTGGCAGTGTATTGTTTCATGGCTACCTAGTTACGAGGGGCCTGTGAAACTTCTCAGAATCGGGAAACTCGCTGTGTTTGTATAGGTGGTTACTCCATAGGCTCAACAATATTAGCCCGCTAGGAATCACGCTAGAACTGTTGTTCCGAATTGTACTCAGAGGGACTTTTCTTTGTAGTGCTGCAGATCGATCGCAATCCGTCATTTTCAGTGCTTAAAATTCCGGTGTATATTACATTACAAGGATATGGCTGCCAACCATGTTCTTTTTTAACAGGAAACCCGATACGCGGCATCGTACTACAAATGATCAACAATTGTGTAGCACGCGCCACTTGACCACTCCCAATGACTTTGAGGGTTGTAAAGGACTCATGCTTAACTACAACATATTAACTGAAACAAGGTCTCACTGATGGTGTGACTACAGACAATATGCATGCGATTGAGGCGCCAAGTAGAGTGGCATACGCGGAACGCAATTTCTTGCCGAGCCGCTGACGGCAATATTTTGCAGCTGGCGGCTCCTCCGCATCGCCGATGCGAATATACACATGACCTGTCACTTGTATAAGATAGCAGCAAAACGGCGATGCCAAGGATATTGCACAGTACTATTATAGCGCTTGTGCCGATATTGAAGCATCAGATGCCCTCAAGCATTGTATCATTCAGGGGCTTGCCTAGTAAAAGGTCCCATGTTTTTTATTCGGTTTTTCGAAATCGAGTAGTATCTGTGACCACTCAGATATCATCTTTTTTATGACTACTGTTTCTCACATCTCCCCACAGAATATGCGGAGACATGGGGTCTTAGTCTTATAGTATTTTGACACTGCGGCGTAATGTTATAACACATTGTGATTTGTACGTTGTAATCGATTCGAATAATATCTATGGAAGGCTTGTATGGGTGCGTCTAACCAATTTACCTGAACTCGTATTCACACGCGTATAAATGCCTCGAAGAAGTTATATGAGGCTAGTGCGTCGACAGAACAGGCATACTAGTGCGTTACTCCCCGAAACATGGGTACCCCAGAACCCGCTCGCTGGTGGTAGCGGAACTGTCCGGTAATCTTGATCAGGGTAATTAGCGCCCATGCGCCCACATCGAACAACGAAGACTACGTAATTCAAACTGTAGCGTATCCTTAGGGCAGTGCAGCTAGATTGTAATTACAGCATGGAGAATCGTAATTATTAGCGCGCTTAGTTCCTCGGCACAGAAAAGCTAGAAGAGTTTTCACTGCGAGAAGATCGGTTAGCAGTTTAGGTATAGCCCTACTGCTAAGAACCATAGCTGAGGGATTGAATGAGGTGTTTGTAGTTATGGCATTCTCCAAATCCAAGCGTGGTCACAAGATGTAGTTTGAATTGGGAGATATCGATCGGGCGATGTGAGCTCGATTGCGACATGGATTATGGCTTGGCTTAACGGTGAAAGTACTACCGGCCCGAGAAGTGCACCGAGGGAGTCCTTTGCTGCGGCATCTGGTCTCCGGCAGCAATAACTATTTTTTAATGTCTCTGCTAACAGTTCACTTAGTCATGAAGTGAGATCGTGAAGCTGCGTGCAATCGATCGGATACGAAGCCGCTGAGATGAATAAAAACGGTCGGTCCTGTTGCCCAAAGTAGACATCAGTGGGCTTCCAATGCAAGATTCGGCGGTAAATGTTTTTCCCAAGCACGTTTGCTACCTTTCGGTAAAGATGCTTGTCACAACGCCATGTGGGCTATTGAGCACGGCCCGGAAGATGAGACACGTATGCCTTGTGCTCTCAGCCACGACGTCTCGATGTACCCTAGCATACCAAGCATTAGAAAGTTCAGGGATGAATCATCTGAGCAAATAGGGTTGAAGAATCGTTTTCTTCTTGTATTCAGAAGCTCGATGGCACTGACTTGAAGAGTTCTTACTCCACCCGATACAGAAAGCATGTTTTAACATAAATCGGCTTTGCCCTTCGTAACTTTGTATTGTCTCATAGTTTCATCACGGTAATACTTCTTAGGTTCAGCTATCTTGAGCTCATTTTCAATATGGAGCCTGATGCTACAGACCCCAAAGCGACCGGGTTGGCCCTTTCGGGTCTTGCCTTGTTACGACAAATCCCACTGTCAGTAGTCGTTGCTGCTCTCGTCGTCACGGGTTCTGTATACTTTCAGCGTTTTAGACACAAGTCCTATATGGCAAGATTCCCAATCATTCTAGAGCATCTAAGCAGTGAGGAACGACGAGCAAAGTTTCTAGCTGGAGCAAAAGCCCTCTACAAGGATGGTCATCAGAAGGTATTTCACTCGGAAAGGACCTCATCTTTCGCTAACATGTCACTAGTTTAGAGGATTGGCTTATAGGATGCAAACTCTAGACGGTATGCAACATGCGCTGGTACTGCAATTCAATTACTAAACTATCGTAGAGGTGCAAATTGTCCTCCCGTTTTCCATGTTATCTGAGCTTCGAAAAGCTCCTGAGGAGGTTCTGTCCTTCTATGATATGTTTTCGAAAGTACGTCGTTTGTGCAAAATGACAGGTCTGGTTATTAAATTGGTTTTAGGGTTTAGAGGAAACCTACACTTATGTGGATATTGCATTTCTACCACAAGTTGTCGACACAATCAAGAGAGATCTCACACCCAAGCTAAGTAAGTGAGATCTGTCTTCGTCACTTATAGTATGCTAACAAAAGTAGCGAATATTACCTCCAAGATCTGTGAGGAGGTCGATGCAGCGCTGGATACGTATCTTCCATCTCACAACGAGTGGACGGAAATCGACGCATCAAAAACAGCTCTGGATATCGTCGCAAAAGTCTCTGCTCATTTGTTCATTGGTTCCAGTGTTGCCAACGAACAAGGTTATCTTGATTGCACAAAGAACTTTACTCTCCACCTAGGCGAAGCTACAAAAGCGATTAAAGTCACACGAGTGTGGCTCAGACCTTTTCTAGCTCCTCGACTACCAGAGGTCAAACGCCTTCTTGAGACAAGGAGAAAACTAAGAAACTATGTCAAGCGCGTCATTGAAGAGCGAGAAACTAAAATGAAGGACCCGAACTGGGTTCCACCTGACGACATGATGCAATGGCTTCTCAATCGAACTGACAGATCAAAAGACACCTTGGAAGACTGCACAGCTGCGCAAGTCCTTCTCATCTTGGGAACTATCAATGCATCTATGCAAACACTTATTGCCATCTTGCATACGCTAGCGGTAACCCCAGAGTATGTTGAGCCGCTCAGGGAAGAAATCCGAAACACTTTGAACGATGATGGATCGATTCCCGTCAGTGCGATGAAGGAGTTTGGAAAACTGGACAGTTATTTCAAGGAGGTTGGCATGCATTTCCCTGTCATCATAGGTACGTTACTATACATGCTTCTTGAGAAAGGCTAAAAGATAAACAGAGCCATATTTCCGCCGAGTTCGCAAAGGCTACACTCTCTCCAATGGACAGTACCTACCCCCAGGCGTAGCTATCGTCATTGCGAACCCACTCGTCACAGAGCGCAGATTTGAAACTTTTGATGGCTTCCGACACTACAAACTACGCGAGATAAGCGAACAAAAGGATAAGCCTCAGCACCGATGGTTGATTGCAAATGAAACTGAGTTCAGATGGGGTTATGACAACCATGTCTGCCCTGGTAGATTCTATGCGCATAACCTGCTCAAGATCACCCTTGCCAGACTGATCGAGAATTACGATATCAAAATGCCGGGAGATGTCACGGGAATAGAGGCTAGATACCAAATGGTTGAATTTGGAAATGTCGTGATGGAACCAAGAAATAAACCGCTCATGATTAGGAGGAGACCAAAGGAGGCTTGAGAGCAAAAAATTGTTTTCTTGGTAAATGATCCTGGGATGACTAGGTACACTATTGGATCTGCTGTGTCTAAGCAGTTTAGCAGTGATCCGGTAGTTAGATAGACAATCACTAGCGAATCCCCGCTGCAACATGGTTTTGGTGTATATCACGTGCTCAGTCATTAAAACAGTCCAAACGAGTAAGATGGCAAGAAACAGATATTAAAAGCAGAACTCATCTGGAAGAAAAATCAGTACATCCTTGCACAAAACAACCAGTCCCTCGGACGCGGCGGTGATCTCACTTCCCATCTTCAACTCCCTTTGTATCTCTCGTCCTCTGATTATACAATTTGTCCTGTTTGCCAGCATTTGGCTTTCCTTCAATTCTATCCAGCGAATCCTCGATCAGTCCAACATGCCCACGTGTCGTCCCCTCAATCTCGTCACGCCTTGCTTCCTGCTCTTTCTCCATACGGTCTAATTTCCTTTCAACTCTCGATCCTTGGGTAATCTTTTAGTATTCGAACAGCAAGATCGAGATGTGTACATGGAATGCTGTGTTACCTAGCAGAGTTGCGACTCCAGCTACCACTGCGAGATTTGTGCTGACGAGGACGAGATCGTTTTTGAATAAGTTACGTAGTGCCATTATTTGTTCGTTACAAGTGGAAGTAGGACAAAGGATGTATTACACAAAACCCAAAGAAGTCATTTAGGATCTTAAATGCGCTGGAAGCTATTGAAGAGGGTGCTTTTGGCACTAGCATTACAAGGTCATGACGACACGAATTGTGGTACGTGAAGGACAATGATAAAACGCAGTGGTCATTATGTCCACCTAAAACAAGCCACTCCACTAAACAAGTCTCTATGGACAAGGAATCGTTTTAGTCTCCAAGTGTGCAAAGCGATAAAAACATAGACGCGTCCACCCGCAGGTCGCGGAGGTCCCAGCACCTCCGCACACCCCTGCTCAGCCCTACGCGACTCGCGCGAACCCGAGTGACATCAGCACTAGAAGCTTCCGATCACGCATCTCCACCACAAACACCAACGCTTCCAGACTTCCAGACTTCCACAACACGAAGCTACTCTTCACCAACTACCAATTACATACAGAACCGAACCCCGCGTAATTCGGCATATAGTACAAGTACACCAATGGCTTCCACAGCAGCAGCAGCAAAAAGGAAGCTCGTCGTGTGTGGTGGAAACGGGTTCCTAGGTATGCAATGAACCAGCAACCCCCAATCATTTACTTCGCAACAAGGCATACAACAACATCGCCCAACGACAAAACTAACAAGATTCCCCCAGGAAGCCGAATATGTAAAGCCGCCGCCCACAGAGGCTGGTCCGTAACCTCGATATCGTAAAACGCCCCCCCCCTCCCCACCACCTTCCAAACATATCCCTAACCTTCCCCCCACTCCAGCCGCTCCGGCACCCCCCACTGGTCCTCCGTCTCCTCCTCCCCCAACCCCCCGGACTGGGCCGAAAAGGTGTCGTGGCAAAAAGGCGACATACTGGACCCGGCATCGTACACGCAGCACCTCGAAGGCGCAGACGCCGTCATACACAGCATGGGTATCCTGCTCGAGGCCGACTACAAAGGCGTCATCAGCGGCCGCGAGAGCCCGATAAGAGGACTACAGAGAGCGTTTAGTCGCACGAAAGCTGGGACGCAGAATCCGCTGGCGCGGAAACAAGGGGAGAAGTTGGAGCCGCAGGAGAAGGATGGACAGTTGACTTATGAAGTTATGAATAGAGACACAGGTAAGGTTCTTGAGTCTTTTTTCTTCTTCTGAAATCTACAATGCTTTTGTGTTTGTGGTATATATGAGAAACTAACTAGATGAACAAAAACAGCTGTTTCCCTCGCTCAAGAAGCATCGACGCGCAAAGTACCGAATTTCGTTTACATTTCTGCGGCTGCGGGTACACCGATTCTGCCTGCGCGCTACATCACTACGAAACGCGAAGCCGAGTCTCTGATTTCCACAACGTTCCCCACTATGCGATCGATTTTTATTCGGGCGCCCTTCATGTACGATAGCAGTCGGTCTTTCACGCTTCCCATTGCGGCGGCTGGTGGCGTTGCGAGCATGATCAACAGCGCAGTCGGAGGTAGGTTGACGTGGTTAATGGGCGCGGGGGGCATAAAGCCTTTGAAGGCCGACCTTGTGGGTGAAGCAGTGGTAGAGGCATTGGAGGATGATGACGTTCGCGGACCGGTGGAAGTACCGGAAATTGAGAGACTGGGCACGCGGGCGTGGAGGAAGAATATGTTGTGAAGAAGACTCGGCTTCCACGGGGAAATGCGGACATGGTGAACTGTACGGCGTCTGAAGCTAGACAGCCCGGTTTTGGTACGCGACATTCGCAACGTTAAAATGCGCCAAAATATAACGCCAAAAGTCCTTTGCTATGCAATTCAAACTCACTTCTTGCGGCTGCCTGAGCTAACGAGTTTCTTCTTCATATGCTTTGGCATCTTTTCTTTGCGCTTCTCGCGCTTCTCTTCCTTAATCGCCTTCTTATGGGCTACCTTTTCATCGTGATCAAGATGTTTCTTTCCACGACTAGGACCCTTTTCAAAGATACTTTGATCAACCTCGGACGTGTCTGAGCTTCCGTCGTCTGTCTCGGCACCCGTATGCGACCCATCAGACGCGTTGTTGACAACTTTGTCGGCCAGAAGAGCCTGGTACGGCAGATCGGAGCCAGCGCCAGCGTTCACCAGCTCAGCATCACGCTCAATGTCATAGACTTGGTCGAGCGTCTGTGGGATGTACTGGTTACGGAAAACCTCGTCATCTTCATCTTCCTTTTTCTTTTCTTCCTCGGTCAAGGGTCGTGTGTTGAGTAGTTCGCGGATCGTGTCTTCAATCTGCGATAGGTCTTTCATATCCTTTGCGCCTGATGCACCAGTAACGAATGCATAGGCTTTGCGCTCGCTGAGAGTCTCGACGTTGCGTGACCGGAAGAAATCAGATAGGTTCTTCAAGTCCATGCGCAGAAACTCGAGGGAGCGTGGGTGATCGTGCTCAACGGCTTGCGATACGTCGATCATCCACTGCTTGCCCTCATGGTACAAGATGTTGTACTCGCTCAGATCGGCGTGGACAAGGCGGCATGTCTGGTAGAGGATCCGGACATAGGCCATCATCTGGACATACAAGCTGGTCCACTTCGCATCCTCCTCTTCGGCAGTCAAACCCTCAAAGCGTACGTCCTTGAGTCGCGGTGCTGCTTTGCCCTTTCGGTCGCCGACAAAGCCCATGACCAGAACATGGTTGCGCAGGGCGTAGGCCTCAGGTGAGGGGATACCTGCATCATGTATTCTGGCCAAATTTCTGCGCTCCTTGTCTGCCCACATTCTCACCATGGCACGGTTGTTGCTCTTGTTGTATCCTTGTCTGAACCTGAACTCACCCTCGACATACTTTGCGCGATCTTTGAAGACAAGAATCGAGGTCTTGTAGACCTTTACGGCGCGGTGGATGGGTGGTGTACCTTCTTCCGACGGCTCTGACATGGCATGGTAGACGTTTGCTTCTTTTCCGGTGGAAATGACACCGTGAAGTTCGGAAATGACGCCGCGGTTGATCAGTTGCAACAGGATCATTTGCGTCCTTCGATCCAACACCTGCTCTGTCGTGGCGCGATCTGCCTTGTCCTTATCCCTTGCATTACCACCAGATGCGCCCGTCATTTTCCCCGTAAGCCGAATTTTGCTTGCATGTTTCGCGAGTGAGGCAACCTGATCGTCGATAGAAGCGTTTGTATTTGCCGACGGCTTTTGGGGGTTCGTTTTGGGCTTGTGGTCGTCTGGTATATTGGCATCGTTCAGTTTTCGCTGGCGGTTGTAGGCCTTTGTAAAGTCGCCATGGTCGCCTGAAATTAATTCTGGCACAATCTCGTCGTCATCGTCGAACAGGTCGTCAATATCGTCGTCTTCGTTTTGCTCGTCTGCATGATGCTCTTGTACGTCCTGAACTGGTTGCGCTTGCTGTTCTGGCAACTCGACTCCGTTTGTGGTGGCCATGACTGAAAATTGCACAAAAGTGTGTGTGAGTGTACAGAAATTAATATTCGCCGCCCTGCGTCACTAGCAATAATTGTTGTCGGCAGAATAGCGGGGTGGCCGCGGGGCTAAAGCGGTCAGCGCCACAATCAATCCAGTACTTTCGTTCGCACATCATTGCCACATAACTGCATCACTATGCGAGCCAGGAAGCCCTGTTGGGTTCTCGAGGCTCCAGCGAGGCCTGCGCTATTATTAGTTGTAGAGAGTCGGTCAGGTAGGAGTAAACATGGAATTCAGTTCTGTCGGCACGTCGCCAAATGAAACCAAGTATGTCATCCGCAGGGCGACGAGTGGCAACGCTATCTGCGACTACGATACCAACCACGTGATGTGGAACAGAAGCGCAAAGAGAAATCGCAGAAACATACGATACCAAAAGCCTTCTAGAAGTCACCCGCCAGGCTGGATATGCTAATCTTCCAGGTTCATGGTTGTTTGTACTAGGTACGTATGTTCTTAGAGTTTCAAAGTACGAACTATATCGCCAGTAAGAAGAGAGGCTCGTGGCTACTTGCACGACCAATGCCCATTCTGGCTCTAGAGACTGTAGCAAGTAAAAGAAAAAAGGCGTAGTAAAATATATTGCTCTGTCTCGCATAAGTACAAAGCCGCGGGAAAAAAGGGCGTATATATGCATATTGCGCAATGATTGGTTAATAGCAGTTCGATACGGATGGAGAAAGTACTTGGCACCCAAGCATCTATTATTGTAGGAATCCTCTTGCTCAACAAGGCCTCCTGGGGGTCTGACTACGCATCGTCTAATTTAATCTCACAACGGCTGTGCGATGCTGCAAGTAAGCCTGGGCAAATATAGCGTTTAAAGCCGTTTGATGCTCCATGTGGTAATGTCCTAACTTGATGCGGTCACGTACTTACGCAACTCAGGTGTGTCGAGCATACCACGCCTGCCTCATCATAGTAAGATGACAAGCTCAAATAACCTTTGCAAACCACTGGCTTCATCATAGAGACAAGCTTACACACGTACTCTATACTAGTCTAAAGTGTCCAGGGATGCTGGCAAACGTAGCCGCTCAACACCATCAGCAGATTAATGTTAACATAGCCACGCATCTTGGCAACGGCGGGCGGCTCTTTTGGCAACGCGACAGCCAACACCCAAGCGCTAGGGCTGCCTGTCCGAAAATCTTCCCTTGCAAAGAGAGAAGCGATCTTCAGGGCAGCTGATCACTGCGTCACTCTTTCAGGAGGGGCAAGGGAGGTATGATCTCATAACCACGATGAAGGCGCACTAAGGGGAGAGCAAATGCGCGTCGTTTAGCATGACACCCCGAGGAGCAAGTGCGGCGCAGCTGGTGCCTATTGTGCACACAGTCAGGCGAGATGCATCCACTACGGCGCAGCATTATCCCAAGTGCATCCAGATGCACATTCTGGAAGGAAGGAAAATCCGGTTCAGCTTCTGTGGCCCCTCGCCTCCCAATCTCCACAGCACCGCCGCATCGCTTGCCACACCGTCGGTCGCACGCGTATAGTTGTGCCAGAGAACGAAAGACTGGTTGCGGAAAGGAGTAAGGTGGCTTAGAGGCAGAAACATTAGCCAGGTACATCTCAAGTCCGATAGGCTGAGCCGGAGATGCCGCTACGACTGCGGCGGGTGGTTGGCACTTCTGACACAGCCTAGTATCCACCCCACGGCTCGTGAAACACATCAGGAGTGCGGCTCAGGGTCACGCCTGGCCACTCAGATCTACACAGCGATGAATCGGGAGACTGCATGAATGGATGCCGCTGGCTGCATGGCCTGACTGGCTGACGACTAATGCCTGGGCAAGGGGATTGCGTCGTGTACAATCTCGCGACTTTTATGGTCGGATCTTCCTCCATGCTGTTTGTCTTTTTTACAATTCCCTTCCCTTGTCTTTTCTTCGTGCGCCCTTCTTCGACCTGTTTTTTTGGTCATTCACACATTCTCTTCAACCGCTTTCCTTTGGACGCAGGGCGACCTTGCTCAAACTCTCCTTTCTTGACCTTCAAGTGATTCTTCTGGGAAGATCACGTTCGCTGCGAAACCCAACGCTTACATTCTTTACCGAAAACTCTATATTCGCATTCTCCATCTATATCAGAAATGCGCTTCTCAGCTTACTCCACCGCGAGCGTGTTGGCCGCTTTGGCCTCTGCTCAAACCTTCACGGATTGCAACCCTATGGAAAAGACTTGTGCCAACGACCCTGCCATGCCTCAGACCTGGGAGACCGACTTCACTGCTGGCAAGGATGCTATCAAGGGCTGGAAGCAGACTGCAGGTGACCTCACCTATGGACCTGAGGGAGCCGCGTTTACCGTGGCCAAGAAGGGCGATGCGCCCACTATTGGCTCTGAAGGATATCTCCATTTCGGTTACGTCGAGGTTGTCATGAAGGCCGCCCCTGGTACCGGCATCGTTTCATCTATCGTTCTCCAGTCCGACAACTTGGATGAGGTCGATTGGGAATGGATTGGAGGCGTCGACAGCCGTGTGCAGATGAATTACTTTGGCAAGGTAAATTTCTCTCAACGAAGTGCAACTGAAACTATGCATGTTACAGAAAAAGAAAAAGAAAAAGTTAACAAAACGACTAGGGTAACACAACAACTTACGACCGCATGATCGAAGCCGATGTTGCCAACAACCAAAAAGAGTTCCACAAATACGCCCTCAACTGGACCTCATCAGCCCTAACCTGGATCATCGACGACAAGCCCATCCGCACCCTCAACTTCGCCGACGCAAACGGCGGCAAGAACTTCCCACAAACCCCTTGCAATGTCCGCCTTGGCAACTGGCCCGGCGGCGACTCCAAAGACGAAGGAACCCGCCAATGGGCCGGCGGCAACGTAACCTATGAGAACGCTCCCTTCACCATGACTGTCAAGAGCGTAAAAGTCATAAACTACTCCCCGGGCAAAGAATACGAATGGACCGACAAAACCGGTAGCTTCCAATCCATCAAGGTCCTCGACGCCGGCAACAAAGACGGCGCCCCCATCAACTCCACCCCCATCACCAAGCCCGTAAACGGCACCCAGCCCCCCCTCGAAGCCGGCGTCGACGCCCCCGCCGCAAGCGGCTCAACAGGCTCAGGCAGCGGCGCAGACAAGCAAGAACCATGCGACTGCGGAACCGCATACGTAACCGTCACTGCTCCTCCCCCTGGTGCTTCTACTCCTCCTGCTACCACGGCGCCTCCCGCCACCATCACCTCGACTTTCAACGCCGTACCCATCGAGAGCGCAAAGAGCATCCTGTCTTCCGTCCTCCGCTCTTCTTCTGCTGGCCTCGCGATCGATACCAGGTCTGCACCTGGTGTACCCGTGCCTACTGCGCCAACTGGTGCGATCCCCTTGCCTCAGACTAACGGTACGGGCACGGCGGTTGCGCCGCCGCAGTTTACCGGTGCGGCGGGCAAGGTTGCCGGTGCTGCTGGGGGGCTTGTTGGCGTTGTGTTGGGAGCGGTCGTGATGGCTTTGTAAGTTTTCAGGGGGTGAGGTAGGAAGCAGTAGGGGGGGATTACATGTGAGATATGGTTGATGTAGACATTTTTTTTGGATATATATAGAGAGAGAGAGAGAGAAACTTACGCTCGTTTATTTTTTTTCTACTCATTTTGTAAATACTTAATTTCGATGAAGCACCACAATCTGGGGCTATTCTGTTTCTTTTTTTTGGCTATGAAGGGTTTTGATTGATTCTCTTTTCTTTTCTCTTTGATGACGTCTTTTGCGTTGGATGATGGTGCGTTTTTCTTGCTGCTGCTGCTGCTGCTACTGCTGTGCAGTGAGTCAGTTACCAATGGAATTAAAGTGTATGTAGCAAGCACCCTGCATTACTTTGGATCGCGGAAAACTGACAAGTTGCATCCCCACCCCCCTCCCCCACGATTCGTTTGATGTTTCGATGCTCGTTTCGAAGTGTTTCTTTGTGGCGTGTATCACTGACTCGACTCTGTTTTTTTCCTCTTTCCATCTTGATTCGTGCAACGTGTTTGAACGGGGTTAGTTGGTGTTGTGGCGGAGTCGGGACGGCAAGGTGATGACTCGATCGAGGTGGGGGATCTTCATGTCATTAGTTAGAGATGGATTTGCAGTTCTCCTTTGATGAGCTGTGGGCGGGATTCGTTGTGTAGCGGTGGAGTATGGGACGAGAGGAAAACTCGTACCAAGGTAAAAAAAAAGGGGGGGGGGGGGGTTTCCTGTAACGACGTTGATCTCGGTTTCTTTCTGCGATTTTGCATTGCTACACGAATCTTGGTGGGCCTGGGTGTTTGCAGTTTGTTCGAATAACTTCAAGATTTAGTAGTTGTTCGTTCTGAGATGGGAAGCTGACTTTCCTTGTTTTGCAAGTCTCCGTCTTTCCCTCTTAGTCGTCGAAGTGTTATGGTCTTTTCTGTTCAGTGGAGGAATCGTACATACAGATACGGTGTGGTGAATACATTGTCTATATGACAGTGCGTTCTGTGATTTGGCAGTGTACTATGCCAAGAAGGTTTCTTTTGTTAATACTCCAGCTGGTCGTGGCGGACGCAATCCGGAGCAGGTAAGTAATGCATGCCATCCATAGAAGAAAATGACTGCTGTAGATTCTTCGGTCTAGCGGCAGAGAAATTGGTAGCTTCAGAATCAGAAATGTATTGCTCGAGGTCGAGATGAATTATTGATATAGAAGTGCGTTTGCTTCTAGTAGTGCGACTGTATATAGAGTCCTAAGCCTCTATGCATTATTATTGAAGGCTTATTATGCTTTCGCATATGGATTGTGGTTTTGTATGCGCTTGATATGTGCTAGAGTTTATGAGACGTTTGCCTGAGTCGTTACAAAGAGCATCAACGTTACTTCCTTTACTAGCGATCGAATAAGCGCCACAAGAATGTAACGTGACTGTGCAAGCGAGAGATGTTGCAGGAATCAGAAATATATATGATACAGAAGCTCTGTAGAGGTAGTATGCCGCAATAGGCTGGCTTTCCGATCCGCTCGATCGAGCATAATATTGCCTGAAGCCAAGTAATATAATTCTGATTCTTGCGAACCTAGGGCCTGAGTAGTGTTTAATGTGGCATTGACGTTGAAACAGGGTTGGATGTTGCAATGCGATAAACGAACGTACTCGAACCGGATGTTCGGCATGGGCCCTGCATTGATTGTATAATATTGGTTGAGGCTGAAGACAGTCGCATGTATGTAACTGCACAGTGGTCGTCGATTTAGTCTTCACCGACTCTACCACTTGATTGGAGGATGGACGACTGGCCAAGTAACCCAGGCCGCCAACCAATGACCAAGCAATGGTTAAGCATCGGTCAAGCCATGCATTTCAGCTTGTAAAAAAAAGTAAACTATGTTCACCGGGACGGGCTGCTTAGGCTGTACACCATGCGGACTCCGACCAGTAGCTGCGGCCCACGTGCAACATGGGTCGCATCAGGCGCCCGAAAGGTAAAGGGTCTATTCACCGGCGGCTGGGGACAAACTTAAAAAATGTGGGATGATGCTGAGTGGTTGCTGGGATAGAGTAGAGAGGATGATGCCATGCAAGTGCTAATCAACATGTGGGAGAGTGCATGGGAGGCGAGGAGCTTGTGCAATTGGCCCAGCCTCACCTCTCGTCGCCGGTCATCAACCACAGCCAGAGAATGCCTCACATGGCAACACATGCGACGCGATCTACATCTTCTACCCGCCAGCCCCAGTTCGCGCCAAAAAGGTGCGCGGCTGTGGTCCCAATTTGTGCGCAGTGCCACGCGCTAGACCCAGGAATTTATCAAAACGTAACGGTTCGGGAGTTTCGCTTCGGACGGGCACGTTTTGAAACGGACGAGCGCCGTCATCTCACCATTGTTTTAGGCTTGGGCCAAGAAACATCACACCAACACCATTACACATCTGACACAACTGACAAGCCATGGCAGCCCTCGCCATGTCATGTTTGCCTGGGTGCTTTGCAATTGTTGCTGGCTAAGCCGCCAGAGGCGCAGGCCTGCGCGTGCACATCACACTTGCAACCCCACTGGTGGCTCGTCATCTGCCCCAGGATAAGTCAGCATCCTTGCTGATGGGGGCGCTTTTTCTTGCTAATATTAGGCAATAGTTGATATGTGGCACGCCCAAGGTGTCGAAGGTTTGCAATAGGCCTAAACATGTGTCCTACCCAGTTCGGGAAAGACGACTCAGCCGCACACGGTGCTGGCTCGGAATGTATAACACAGTGCTGCAACGCCAAATGGCAATTGCTACTCCTCCTACTTCTTCACTCGAGATTGATCGTTCGTCTAGAATTTGACTGAGATGGGCGTTACACAATACCTTCGTCGCACAAGACCCGCGTCACAGCCGTCGACCACCACATCATTGACAGGATGCTGGCCGCTTTTTGCCATCTCTTTCTTACTCTCTGCGCTGTCCATTACTAACCTGGGGCTGCTGAGCTCCATGGTTGCGTGGCTACTCCGACAAAAACACAACGTGCATACGTATCAAGTCGACTGGCCTGGAAACGAAACAAAATTGAACGTGGAGCCAAAGAATCTATGGGTGGACCATGGCCATGAGAGCAACGGTGCGGCGGCGTATGGATTTTTCGTGGGTCTCTTTGGCATGGTCACAGCATGGAGGATGCGGAATGCTCAACGGGTGAGTCCAATCCATGTGCCTTGCCTAGTGGCATCCAATATACTGACAGTTGTGAGTAGCGCCTGAAGAGTCTTACTGCACTAGCTGTCTTGCTCTTTCTCGCGGTTTTGTTCACCCTGTCGTGCTTCATCTTTGCCTTCGTGGTGACGTATCAGACGACAGGCCAGCACATCCGCGAGCCTGTCGCCGTTAACACCGTCGGGATGAACTACCCAGAGTTTCGCTGGACGCCCGAGACTTGGTTCAAGGCTGTACGGGATCTCCCTCTCGCGGACCAGTCTACGCGCAGCGAGATCGAGGACAGGATCAGAATCATGGTGGCATGGCGGTGGATGCTGCTTGTGATATTCCTCGTGGATGTCGCCGCATTTAGCATAACAGCGATGGCTTGGTGGAGGCAGCGGAGGGGTGTGGCAGCGCGGCCAGGGTCAAGAGATTCTACTGAGAAGTAGGGGCGCGTGCTTGGAATCAGGTTTCTGGAGGACACCCATGCAGAATGCGGAACGTGGAACGAATATAATATTATGTTGGTCATTCCCCTGGCCATTCTCACATGCAAAATACCCATGTACACATGACTACAAATACTAGCCCGAGGAACCTTGCAGCGCTTGGAGGGCGGGCAGAACGCGTGACACACTCACGCCCCAGGCCACCGGCACATGGGGTCGACTCGGTGCTTATATGGGGGATTCCCCAGTCAGACGTTGCCATGTCTTCACAGCAGCGTTGAGTGGTGCAAGGTCTGAACGGAGGCCTGGCAACCCCACAAACGCTTAGCGAGAAGTGGTACCTACCCAGCCACGCCAGCCCAGTGCGAGACCTCGGCGCATCACCGCTACCGCCCATCACGAAAAAAAAACCTTGGGCCCCGCCGACTCACCACGAGCCCGCCCTGCTCTCGCGACCACGTCGCCAGTTTCCGCCATGAGCTGGCTTCTCTACCTCGCCATGCCGCCCGTGCTCATTGTGGCCATGCGGCTGCTGTCGCTCGTCCTGCCTGCGAAGCCCGCGCAGCTGCTCTCGTACTACGCTTTCGCAGCCAGCTCCTTCATCCTCATGGGGTTCTGTGCCCTGTACGGCACCCTCGTAGCCATACCCCTGCGTCTCATTGGATATGGAGGTCTCATCCAGTGGTCGGTGGGACGGGCATTCAAGTGGTGCATGTGGTACGGAACCGGTGTGACTTTTAGGATCACGGGCAGCATGAAGAAGGAGGGTGGTGTTAGCGGCGAGGATGCGCTCAAGGACCGGCCCGCTGTCTTTGTGGGCAACCACCAGACGTGAGTTTTCTCCGCGATTGGAAGAAAAGAAAGCATAGTGGCAGAGGTGGTGCTAACATCTGATGTAGCGAACTCGACGTTCTCATGCTGGGCTGCATGTTTCCAAAGTACACGTCCGTTACGGCTAAGAAGTCACTCAAGTACACGCCACTTCTGGGCTGGTTCATGGCACTGTCCAAGACAGTCTTCATCGATCGTGCAAACCGCACTACCGCGCGCGCAGCTTTCGATACGGCCGCTCAAACCATGCAGTCGACACGCCAATCCGTCTTCATTTTCCCCGAAGGAACTCGCTCCTACGCCTCTACCCCCGACCTCCTCCCCTTCAAGAAGGGCGCCTTCCATCTCGCCGTACAAGCACAAGTCCCCATTGTACCAGTCGTCTGCGCCAACTACTCGCACGTACTCAACGTAAAGGAACAGAAGTTTCAGCCGGGCGTGGTCGATGTGACTGTCCTCCCGCCGATACAGACAAAGGGACTGACTGCTGAGCATGTGGATGATCTGGTCAAGAGGACAAGAGATGCTATGATGGAGGAGCTGATTCGTCTGAGTCATATTTCTGGTGCTGGCAACGGTGAACCCCTACCGAGAAGCAGCGGAGTAGACCAGTCGCGTGGTGAGTTGAGGAAGAGGAATTAAGGCAGCGTCATTGTCTGAGCCTTCACTGGCTAGGACATGAAAGAGACGTTCATGGTGTGCAATAAGAGGTTTAGAATAACCACAGTGGTTGCTCGACATCCAACAGCCCAAATACGAGGCTGAGTGCATACGGCGCGTGTGGCGTTCAGAGGATTCGGTTTTGGGTTTCATCACTGCATATTGATATCCTAGAGAAGAGGCATGTTCATTCTCGGATTGGCGTATATATATATATATCTCTCTGTGCTCTCTATTCAGCAAATGCAAAAATTCACTGTTCAACAATCTCCCATATGTAATCAGTCAGACCGTATTATTTTTCCTGATTCGGAGGACAACTTGTAGGAATGTCACGCTAATAGACGCGTGAAAATGTACTAGATTTTATACAGGTGATGTATGGATAATTGCATACACGCGTCTAGTGAGTGTCATGGTAACAGGAAGAAGAGGCTATGGACATCTGCAATGGTGCAGATCGGCGCACCCTCTTTGCTTCGCGTAATAAGAGACCGACCTCGGTGTGAGCTGTGTTACCCCACGATTATACCCCTCCCTGCTAGTTACCCAATGCGGCATTCCGACATGCATGCTTGAGGTGTGGATGCGATGGGGGCTCTGTATGGTATATATAGTGATGTAGGTTGACGTGTAAGCTGGTTTCTTACTCAGCTAAGTGAGTTGTTCCTTTATTGTTATTTTGGCTGAGTACTTCTCTGTGAATCGAGCAGTGCAAGGAAGTAAAAAGGCAGAGATGACAGAAGCACAAGAGTACAGTGTGCGGGGAAAGAGTGCGATAGTCACGGGTGCTGGGTCTGGTGTGTTACAGATCCCTTGTGTTCATCTGATTTCCCTACTAAACTTCGAGTCAAACTTTAGGTATCAACTTCTGCTTTGCTGCCATACTACTCAAGCATGGCTGCTCCATTCTAATCGCCGACCTTGCACTCCGACCTGAAGCGCAGAAGCTCGTGGATGACTACAGCAAGAAAGAGAAAGGCAAACCACGAGCAGTCTTTCTCAAAACAGATGTAACTGACTGGCCCCAACTGGAGCGCATGTTCACCGTCGGCGTGCAAGAATTCGGTCAAGTCGATATTGTCTGTCCTGGAGCTGGTATCTATGATCCCCACTGGACCAACTTCTGGCACCCACCTGGCGTTTCTGGCGGCAAGAGCAAAGATGACCCCAACGGAGGACGATATACAAGTATCGACATTAACGTCACGCACCCCATCCGCACAACCCAACTAGCCATTTCGCACTTCCTGAATCCTCCACCTAGCGTACAGAAAGTAGGACCTCAGAACCCCAAGCGCGTCATCATCGTTTCCAGTATAGCAGGGCAGAACCCAAATTTTCACGCTCCAATCTACGTCGCTGCCAAACATGCCATGAATGGATTTGTTCGCTCGCTGGCTCCACTGGAAGCTGAGTTGGGCATCAGAGTTAATGGTGTGGCACCCGGTGTTATCAAAACACCGCTATGGACTGAGCACCCGGAGAAAATGACATATCTCGACTTGGAGAAAGATATATGGGCGACACCTGAAGAGGTCGCAGAAGCAATGTTGAGGTGTTTGCAGGAGGCTGAGATGGTTGGAGGCACGATTCTGGAGGTTGGCGCGAAACAGACGAGAAAGGTTGAGGCGCTGGTAAGCTACTATTTCTACCCCTAATTTTCAATCGTTCAATGTGCTAACAATGGGAACAGAATGATCCAGGCCCGAGTGGGCCGGGACATACAGTCAGCAATATGAAAGAGCAGTACAAAGAGGTGTATGGGTGGTTGGGACAGGAGGGATGGGGTGTTGGGAAGACGAAATTGTAACTGTATCCATTTTTTTTACTGATTAGCCACACAAGTACTATCACTATCTTGGAAGCAATTGTTGCCAGATACAAATTTTTGCGGCACGGGTATTGTGAAATTCTTCCGTCGTCAGGCACGGGCTTGCATAGACCATGAGGCTGTTGGACCGGCTATTGAGGATGCTTGGTCAGATGCCGGCGGTCGGACCACAGTGGTCCGGAGGGCTAGAAGGCTAGAATTCAGCATCGTGACACCGTAATGTACCATGTACAACGGTGGAAGTAGGCAAAAGACGAGTCTGACGTTGGTCGTGCACGGTATCGCATCAGAGGGGACCCCCTGGTTAGTATTGCGGGCCATGTAGCAAAGATGAGATCATTGGGCGGTGCAAAGGCCAAGCGTGCGGGCAATGAGGTTTGATAGCACCGGGCCATTTGGCCATGGCTTCAGAAGAGCGGGTGCACCGGGTCAAGGGTTTCGGCCGGTGGCTGACTGTTGACCTGAGGCATGCTGATTGATGGTGGGATAGCCTATGACCGAGTCGCTGGCTGGGCGTTGCCACTTGTGACGCTGCACCCATTTTTCCATGGAGGGGCTCCCTGAGCGGGAGGGGCGCTAATACGTATGAAAGTGCTCCACCGCCGCAGCAGCTCTCAACTGGCATCTTTCTTCTCGAACTCTCTTCTCTCCATCCATCATCCCCTTTGAACCGTTGATCCCCTCCGTTTCAAAGCAAAAAGCAAATACACAACCACTCATATATACCCTTTCACATAATCACAATGCCTAGCTCTCTCGACCAACTCAAGGCCGCTGGCACCGTAAGTTGTTACCCCCACGCCATTGCGACAACCCGCGGAAGAATTGTTATATCTGACAAAACTTTGTCCTGCAGACCGTCGTCGCCGACTCTGGTGACTTCGCTACCATCAAGAAGTACCAGCCCCAGGATGCGACTACCAACCCTTCGCTCATCCTCGCCGCCTCCAAGAAGCCCGAGTACGCGAAGCTGATTGACGCCGCTGTCGCATACGGCAAGAAGAACGGCACCGACATTGAGAACCAGGTCGATGTCACCCTCGACAACCTCCTTGTCCAATTCGGCAAGGAGATCCTCCAGATTGTCCCCGGCAAGGTCTCAACAGAGGTCGACGCCCGCTTCTCCTTCTCCACCGAGCAGTCTGTAAACAAGGCCCTCCGCATCATCGACGTACGTTTATACTAAAAAAACCCTAATTTGAAAGAATGAGACAAAAGAATTGGTATGCTGACTCTGTGCAGCTCTACAAGGAGGCTGGCATTGACAAGGAGCGCGTTCTCATCAAGCTCGCCTCAACATGGGAGGGCATCAAGGCTGCTGAGATCCTGCAGTCCAAGCACGGCATCAACTGCAACCTTACCCTCATGTTCTCTCAGGTTCAGGCCATTGCTGCCGCCGAGGCCGGTGCCTACCTCATCTCTCCTTTCGTTGGCCGTATCCTCGACTGGTACAAGGCTGCTACCAAGAAGGAGTACACCAAGGAGGAGGACCCTGGTGTCAAGAGCGTCCAGCAAATCTTCAACTACTACAAGAAGCACGGCTACAAGACCATTGTCATGGGTGCCTCTTTCCGCAGCATTGGCGAGGTCACTGAACTCGCTGGCTGTGACTACCTGACCATTGCCGTGAGTAGCATCCTGTAAAATACAACATTCTGTCCAATTTACTAACAGGCCTAGCCCAACCTGCTCGAGCAGCTCTACAACTCGGAGGATGAGGTCCCCAAGAAGCTCATTGCCGAGGATGCTGGCAAGCTCGACATTGAGAAGAAGAGCTACATCAACGACGAGGCCGAGTTCCGCTTCTACTTCAACGAGGATCAGATGGCCGTCGAGAAGCTCCGTGAGGGTATCTCGAAATTCGCCGCTGACGCTGTTACTCTCAAGGACATCCTCCGCGAGAAGATCCAGGCGGCATAAATTGCAAGGTCCGGTACCGGCCTAGAGATGAGTTTACGATATAATTAGCTTTTTTTCACTCCAGTTCGAGCATTGAGACTTGATAGGAGGTTCGGATGGCACGTAGATAAAAAAATGAAACGTGAAAACCCGATACATTTGCAAGACACTAAACGTGCCCTAGTGAAACACTACGAATGTGTTGGCTGATGATAGCATAACCAAAGCTGAGGCAGCTAGAGGGGCTGGAACTGCGGATTTATCATCATTCGACGACGGCTCTGGCTCGGCTTTACTGGTTGTGTCAACAGCTCTGGCGGGTCTGGCGGACGTTGCGTCACTAGAGAGCCCCGCATTGAAAGCTTACCCGAGCGGAAGCTACCTTCTCTTCCCCCCTTCTCTTCAACTATTCACTCAATTCCCCAAGCTCAAAAGATTACATCCAACTCATCAATTCCCCAATCAATAACAATCACATAACCGTCACAATGGTCAAAGCCGGTAAGTCTTACTGCCAGTACCCGCACGGGCTTGCCCTGTTGTGGCAAGGTGGGGTCATCCGGGTGCGTGAGATTGAGCAGATTGTTTAAAAGACACCATGTCTAGCGGTATCAGACTGGCCTGAAAGGGGAGAACAATCGGGCAAGATTCGTATTGCGAGGACCATGTTGTCCCTTCTAGAAGCCTATCCCAAGCTCGTTCCCCCCCATTCATGGCTGCTTGGTTCGCGGTCTGCTCCAATCAGCTCGGTGAACACGAAACACCCTGATGGCCTTGTCATCCCAAGTGGAAAAAAGGAAGAGGAATCAAGCGGATAGGCCCGAAGATCGTCAGGCAAACAGACCTTGTGCTAATACGTAAAACGCGCAGTCGCCGTCCTCCGTGGAGACTCCAACATCAAGGGAACCGTCACCTTTGAGCAGGCCGACGAGTCCTCCCCCACCACCATCTCATGGGACATCACCGGCCACGATGCCAACGCTGAGCGTGGCATGCACATCCACGCCTTCGGCGACAACACAAACGGCTGCACATCTGCTGGACCCCACTGTGAGTTTCGCAGTGCCCTGCGGTTCCCGTATGCGAGGCTTGCATGCTAAGACATATGTACCAATAGTCAACCCCCACAACAAGACCCACGGTGCCCCTAGCGATGAGGAGCGCCACGTCGGTGACTTGGGCAACTTCAAGACTGACGGCCAGGGCAATGCCAAGGGAACCGTCACCGACAAGCTGATCAAGCTCATCGGCTCCGAGAGCGTCATTGGCGTATGTTATCCTGCTACTCTTAACCATAGTAAACATACTGACAAAGTTTTTGTAGCGCACCATTGTCGTTCACGCCGGCACTGACGACCTTGGCAAGGGCGGACACGAGGAGTCCAAGAAGACCGGTAACGCTGGAGGCCGTCCTGCTTGCGGTGTCATTGGTATCTCCAACTAAGAGTTGTATACGACGTACGTGAATAGAAAATTCAAATGGGTACCTGAGCTCATGCAAAATGGAGTAGCTCATTTGCCGACGTAATTGCGAGGCAGCCCAAGAAAGAGGGCATGGATGGGATCGAGTAGCCAAGATAGTTACTACTGTAGATGAATTGATCTCTCTGTCCTGACAATTATTGAAGTTTTGAGTGCATATCGTGATTGGTTTTATGTGTAATTTGTGTGAGAAGAATTGCGATTTAATCACCTTTGATGACATCTCCTTACGAGTTACAGCTATGCCAGTGTGTTAGAAATATTAGAAATATGGATCTTCGGGTAGCACCCGGTAATGTTACGAACATTAACATCTCTACCATTTTGCTCACCGCAGCCAGCCTAGCCAGACCGGTTTAAAATAGCAGGTAGTTATAGTAGTAGACATTACGAATAACATAGTACTAAAAACTGTTACTGTTATTCAGTATCAATTTATATGGAGTTCAATCATAATATTACTAAATGAATACCAATAACTACTCAAAACAAGGGGGCAAAAAAAGATAGAATATGGCATGTGCTGAGCATTATTTAGTATGTGCTTGCTTAGATGTAGGGGGATGTGGATGAATAGGCTGATACAGTAACACCGACTCCTGGAATACTTTGTTATTATTACTATTAACTATTGTTATTATCTTTATACGGGAGCTCTTTGAACAGGGGAATAGTCCAACTACTATAGTAAAGGATACCACGACCACAAATGGAGGCATAGGCACAGCAAAACGTGATGGGAAGATTCGTTTATTATTTCTTCTTCTTCTTCTTCATCATTTTTTCTTCTATGTAAAAATTTACTAATCGCCATTAACCACAATCCGCCAGTTCGCCAGTTCTGCATCTGTAACCCCTTGTTGTTTGGTTTGCAGAAATAGAGATGACCAAATCTCTTTTCTTTTCTGGCAGAGGAAGAGGGAGAAGGGGGACAGATCTCGCATTGTACCACATCATTCTCTCTAAAAGCTAGACGTTTTGCTCAAGAGAGAGAGGGCCTTGGAAGCAAGATAAGGTATTTGCATTCAATGCACACATACGCATACCCTTTTGTCCAAAGACAATGGCCAAGGGACATAATCATCCCAAACTCCCAACCATTATTTATTCCGTTGGTAAAGAAGACGGCGAAGAAGAGGCAGTAAGATGTGTCGAATGGGAGGGGTATCGATGCTTGTAATCCTTAGCAGCCCAAAAAAGGAAGAAAAAAGCTGGATATGCTTCTTGTTCAGCAGGGCCGCTTAAACTGTACATGCGCGACCACATAGTCGTTATGCACAAAGAGGGGAAGTCGACAGATGTACATGGTTGTAGATTATACCTTTTTTGAACCGTTCCTTGCTTCCAAAAAAGATGGGGAAGGAAGAGAGAGAGAGGGAGAGAGGAATGGATAGTTGTGTACGGGACCAAGGAAGGGAAAAGGCTAAACAAAAGAAGGGCCGCACGCTATTTTCTGCTGCTTTGCTGTTCGCAATTCAAAAGAAAAGTGGTCAGTAGAGGACAAGGGTTGCACGCAACTACCAGGTTGGGAATGACCCCTAATGGGAGATGCGGCATGAGGTTGCCATCTACACATTGTGGTATAGAGTGCCCACATTCTCACAAGTTGACAACACGCGTGTCATCGTTGAGAAATTCGCGGCGATATCGCGCAATCTCCTCGGCAATACCATTTGGATCTTTGACGTTCTTCGAACGGAGCTCCTTAAGTACGTTGCGGAGACCGTCATTCCATCTTTGTCTCTCCTCGGACGTCTTGCCTGGGTTTGCTGTTCCGAGCTGGAGAAGCAGCTTGTCACCTGTATGAAAAGATCTAGTCAGTCTGCGTACAACTGAGGGGGAGAAAGCAAAGATCAATGGTAGAAACTCCTTTTGTTTGACAACGCACCAGTGATAGTCGCATCCCTGAAATGCTGATCTGGGCATTCAGGGTCATTGCAAGCGCCACCTGCCGACTCGTATTGGCAGAATGGCTTTTCAGGATCTATCTGGTGACTAAATGTCAAAGACATAAAACCTCCAGACACATCTTTTGAATAACTCGGGTGATAGCGATATGACTTGAACATTCGAAGCGGACTTTGGTACGGTTTGAATACGGCCGGCTCTTCTTCCTCCTCAGGCGCGGGGGTCTGCTCCATCTTAGTCAAGCTCCTTATGGAAAGTTGGAACATACAGGTTGCACATTGTCCACCACTGAGATTATCTGTGGTTGCAACTCAGGTGCTAGATCGTCAGCAACATTACTGTCCTGATGAGCCAAATTGTTTCCTGAGATAGTATCGTCAGCTTCAGAATCAGATTCAGACTCTTCATCCGAGTCAGAGTCATCCGAGCTGTCATCAGATGATGTAGCAATATCCATGGCACCATCGTCTGCTTCGGTCTGGAGTGCTTGCGGGACACTACCTGACGTAGTGGCCTCGTTTGGAACATCTGCCATATCTTGATCAGCTTCAGGTGGTTCGTAAGCCTCTTCCTCTTCTGCGGACACGTGTGATGTGGTTACAGAAGGTGCAACGTTCGGCTGTGAGTCACAAGGCTCTTCTGTTGACGCATTCCCGACGGCTGCGTGTTCTTCTGGGTCATATTCTGGTTCGTATTCTTCCTCTTCCTCGCCGTCCTCTCCCTCGGAAACGGACATTTCGACTTCTCCTTCTGACGGAGAAGGTGCGGCAGAAGGTTGAGTGACTGCTGGCGTATTGGTAACATCTGTGTTGGAGGCAGCCGGTTGAACAGCAACATCCTCCTCAGCCGGGGGTGCAGGGCTGTAGAAATCTTCGCCCATGTCCCTATCCGAAGCAATGACTGAGCTCTGCGACCTAGACGCTCTAGTATATTCATCTTCTGCTGTTTGAGCGGCCTCGTTTCCATTTGACATCGTTTCTGACCTTTGGTGTAGGTCAGTCTGATTCATGCTGGCTTGGGGTTGATGCTGAGCTTGAGCAATGCTCTGTCCAAGGCCTGGAAGAATGACATGCTTTTGAAAAGGCTGACTTGAAAGCGGTTGTGAACTGGGAACGCTGCTCTTTGGACTTGAGGGTTCTAAAGACGGTTGTACAGCAAGAGAAGATGGTGTCATCAAGGACCGAGAGGACTGTTCCGCATTTTGAGACGAGACATTGGGTTCTGGCGACTGCTCGCGTTCGATCTCGTCTTTCTTGGCACGAAGCTCTGCATGGGACATGCCCTCTGTATCGACACCGAGAAGTTCCAATTCTTTTGTCAACTGTTCCTTGTCTTTTGCAATCTTGTTGTTCAGCGCTGTCAATTGCTCCAATTCCTTGGCCAATTCAGCCATTCTGCTCGTATTACTTGCTATCTCTGCGTCCAAAGTTGGCAATTTAGATTGAATTTCAGCGCGGCGGGAACGGGCAGTGTCTCTGCCGACAGTCGATGGGGCTTTACTCGGAGTACTATTTTGAGGTGCTAAAACTGATGTGGAAGGCTTCTGGGTTGTGGGCGAGGATACTGCCGCAGCAGAAGCCAATCTGTCCCTTTCGCGTTTTTCAGCGAGCTTCCTCTTAAGTGTCTCTCGCATGGCAACGAGCTGTTTCTCTTTATCTACCAATTCCCTCTCCCGAGCAAGGGTGCTAGGAGTTTGCGATCCAGGCGCGTTGTCAGATAGGGTGGCAGGGAAAGCTGGTCTGACAGGGATACCAGGTTTGCGTGGAAGTCCGGTAGGGGCTGGAGGTTCGTCTTCGATGTCCATGTCGCTGCCGTTGGATTCATCGTCGCTAACCTCTATTATCATGGAATCGTCTTCTTGATGAGCATTTGCAGACTGGCCCAAGGGGCGTGTGTAGGAAGTGGTGGATTCTCGCGAAATGGATGCTTCATTCTTTGAAGCAGGTGGTTTCTGAGGAATAGAGAGTGAGGGTTGAGACGGAGTAGAGGCGGTGTTGTTAGAGACTGGGGTATGGGTCATGAATAAACCAGGAATTCCTGAAAAGGAAGGCGTGTAGCTTTGGCTTGAAGGGGTGGCCAAGCCACTTGGAGCTGGCTGCGCAACTTGGGCTTGAGGGGTTTGTTGCGAGGGAACAGACGCCTGTGTTGTATTATTGCTGACCCCATTTGACGCCTTTTGTCGCGCCTTGATTGCCTCTAATCGCTGCTTGATCAATTCAGTATTCCGGGCCCTTTGCTCATCAGTTACGGGCGGCTTAGTGGTGGGTGTGGAGATTGGTTGGGGAGTCCTAGGCTTGGCCGGGGTTATCTGCTGCGACGGGCTTGATGTCTTGGATGATGCGGCCTGCTTTGCTGCCTTTGCAGCTTGTAGACGTGCAATGTAATCTTTGCGATCACCTGGTGTGGTTGGGGACGCGGCGGCCTTGGTCGAGGGTGCGGAAATGGCATTTGTTTTGAGCGTGGGTACAGTCCTTTGTTGGGGAGCGGCTACTGGCTGGACAGCTGGTGCGCTCGGGGTCGTGCCGTTTGGCTTGGGTGGCAGAATGGGAGCGGGTTCAGAAGGTAGGTTCACACTCTGATACAAACCTCTCAGTAGTTCGGCATCAAGCTTCTCATCAGCCAGAGTACGGTATGGGATGTTGTTGCTGTGTAGAAGCTTTATGAATTGCCTTGCTGACTCGCGATCCTGATGCAGTTTTTCCAGTAGTGTGGGCTGGTTTTCCTGTTGTTTAACTGCAGTCTTATGACTCTGGCCATTATATTGGACGGCAGAAGTCGGGGGACGACCGCCATTGACGTGAACAGGTGGAGGCGGATGAGATGCCATGTCGCCTTCGCTCAGTTCACCATCCTCGCGGTCACTGTCCATGATTCCCTGTATGCGTTCGTTGGTAGGTGGGGGCGCAGTGGTGAATGCAGGTGCAGGCGCAGGCGCAGGCACAGGCGCGGGTGGTTGGTGTGGAGCGGGAGGATGTGGAGGTCGCTGTGGAAGTGACTGGGGGAAATGAGTAGGCGGTGGGATGTTCTGCGGTGTCTGAGGAAGCGACGGCGGAGGGAAGCCCATGGTGGGAAAGGGCGGCGGGGGCAGGTTGGGCGGAGGGAAGGCGCCATTCTGGAAGAGAGCCCATATGTTGGCATCAGGAGGCTGCTGCGGCGGCCAGGAGGCTGCGCATAGTGTAAGCAAGGCAGCGCGCAAATAGTCTGATGACAGGAAAATGACTTACGCGCCGGAAACGGGGGCTGCTGGGAGTTGTGCGCATACGAGTTAAAGTTGATGCCGGGCAATTGCTGGAGTGGAGGAGCGCCGCGCTGCTCTTCTGGTGGCGCGCCCTGAGGCGGGGGCATCTGCGGGGGCGGAAAGCCGTTTGGGAAGCCGTAGAAAGGCTGCGAATAGTTGTTGGCCATGGTTGTTGAGTGGAGCAGCGGCGAAGGACAAGAGCTCTACGCGTCTCTTAGCACGGCTGCTTGTAGCGCCGGCGCATGGGGTGGCGCGGGAATTGCGGATGGGTGGGAGAGGCGAGTTAGGCGGACGGGCGGAGTGAGTCGGGGCAGGTCGTTGGGGCGTGGCAGCGATGATGCATGTGAGTGTATTATAGTATAGCGGAGTGCGAGGCGTCAATGTTTCAATTTCGCGATGGCCTGAGGCCGGCACGTGACACATGGACTTCGGTCCCACGGTACGCGAGTCAGGCCCGCGCCTCCGCCCCCCTGCAACGCTACTTGATGTGTTGTCGGCAGCGTGTGGCGCGTGTGCATGTGGCACACGTGTGGCGTCGAGCGTGGGTGTGGCAGGTTGCTAGGGGCAGGCGGTTATGGTTGTTTACCACGGGCTGTAGTGCATCATGCACCCGCCCATCTGCACATCTGCCCTCCACCAAACTTCCCCAGAGGCAGGCCCCGTGCGTTGCTGTGCTTTGCCTGTGTCCCACACTGTGTGCATTTCGGCATTCTCCTCCCTGCACTTGCATCTGCTGCTCTGCCTTCATACAATGTCCGGCACATAAACGCTGTCGCACCCGCTGCTATACCACCACCCACGCCTCCACCATGAGTGCGCCGGCGCCCAATGGCCGCCCATTCGCGCGCAATTCGCGCAACAGTCCTTTTGCCAGGAATGCATCCATAGCTGCATCCGGCCAGAACCCCCCGAACCGCCCACATTCCGCCCTCATCTCGTCACCGCTTGCCGAAGCAGATCCCGCCATGGGACATTTACGCCATCGTTCCCTCACAAATCTCACTTCCTCCACCATAGGCCGTAGCGACACTGCCCGTTCCCGCTCAAACTCAAATCGCAACAGCACGCCCGGAGGCACCTTTGCTCCCCAATTCATCTCTGAAGAAGAAAACGACGCCCCGCGTCTTGGAGGAATCGTCGAGGGCGAGAACGACTTTTCCGGCAAGCGCTATGTCTGGCTTAGGGATCCAGCCACGGCCTTTGTCCGCGGTTGGGTCGTGGAAAACCTCCCCGAGGGAAGAATGCTGGTACAATGTGACAATGGCACCCAACAAGAGGTTGACGCCGATGCCATTGACAAGGTCAATCCTGCCAAATTCGACAAGGCAGACGATATGGCAGAACTCACACATCTCAACGAGCCCTCGGTCATCCACAACCTACACATGCGTTATCAAGCAGATCTCATCTACGTATGTTCCGCTGGCCTTGACAACTGTGCTATTATGCTGACCTTTCCTAGACTTACTCTGGCTTGTTCTTAGTTACAGTCAACCCCTACTGTCCACTGCCTATTTACTCGAGAGAATACATAAACATGTACCGTGGACGGAGTAGGGAAGAGACCAAGCCGCATATCTTTGCAATGGCCGACCATGCCTTTCGAAATTTGATTGAGGAAGGCACAAACCAGAGTATTCTCGTAACGTAGGTGAACATGCCTCTTCAACCAACACTAGCTAATCGTTTACAGGGGAGAATCTGGTGCTGGTAAGACGGAGAACACCAAGAAGGTCATTCAGTACCTTGCTGCCGTTGCCAATTCAGACACCCCACACACAAAGTCAGGAGGACGTCAGCTCTCAAACTTGTCCGAGCAGATTCTACGTGCCAATCCAATTCTCGAAGCCTTTGGAAACGCGCAAACGGTGCGAAATAACAATTCGTCCCGATTTGGAAAGTTTATCAGAATTGAGTTTTCACGGACCGGCCAAATCGCAGGCGCCTACATTGATTGGTATCTCTTGGAAAAGTCAAGAGTGGTGCGGCTCAACTCGAACGAGCGCAACTACCACGTCTTCTATCAGCTGCTGCGCGGTGCAGATAGCAAGATGAGGCAAGAATTCTTCCTGGAAAATAAGGATACCGAGGACTTTGACTACACCAAGCACGGAAACGACGTCATCTCCGGTGTGTCGGATCCTGAGGAGTGGAATGCTCTAATCGAAGCCTTTCACGTCATGGGCTTCAGTGACCAGGAGCAATCTACTATTCTCAAGACTGTTGCTGCTGTCCTGCATCTAGGAAATATTCGCGCTATAAAAGAGAGCCGGCGAGCAGATCAAGCGACCCTCAACCTTGCAGCTGAACAACAAGCCGAGATTGTTGCTCAGTTACTCGGCATCTCTGTCGACGATTTTATCAAGGCGCTTCTGCACCCTCGAGTAAAGGCCGGCAGAGAGTGGGTCGAGAAGGTGCAAACACCAGAGCAGGTCAACCTATCCATTGACGCGCTCGCCAAAGGTATCTACGAGCGAGGTTTCGGAGACCTTGTTGACCGCATTAATCGTCAGCTGGACCAGACAGGTACTGGTGCAGATGATTCGCACTTCATTGGTGTCCTCGATATCGCTGGTTTCGAAATTTTTGATGAGAATAGCTTTGAACAGCTTTGCATCAACTACACCAACGAAAAACTCCAACAGTTCTTCAATCACCACATGTTCGTCCTGGAACAGGAAGAATACGCCCGAGAGCAGATAGAATGGAAGTTCATCGACTTTGGCCGTGATCTCCAACCTACTATCGATCTCATCGAACTGTCAAATCCCATCGGAATCTTTTCCTGCCTAGATGAAGACTGTGTTATGCCCAAAGCCACTGACAAGAGCTTTACAGAGAAGCTGCATTCTCTATGGGATCGCAAGAGCACCAAGTACAAACGGTCACTTCTCACCCAAGGTTTTGTTCTTACTCACTACGCTGCCGAAGTAGAGTACTCGACAGAAAACTGGCTGGAAAAGAACAAGGACCCGATCAATGACAACGTCACGCGCCTTCTGGCAGGCTCTTTGGATAAGCAGGTTGCGAATCTCTTCGCAGATTGCGCCGATCCCGACGATGACATGGGTGGAACCCGCAGCCGTGTGAAGAAAGGCCTCTTCCGAACAGTAGCCCAACGTCACAAAGAGCAACTGTCAACACTGATGACCCAGCTGCACTCAACACATCCTCACTTTGTTCGTTGTATCTTGCCCAACCACAAGAAGCGGCCGAAACAATTCAGTGCGCCATTGGTGCTCGATCAATTGCGCTGTAATGGTGTGTTGGAAGGCATCCGTATCGCGCGTACTGGTTTCCCTAATCGACTGCCTTTTGTGGAATTCCGCCAAAGATACGAGGTTCTGTGCAAGGATCTTCCCAAGGGCTATGTTGAGGGTCAAGTAGCGGCAAGCATGATTCTTGATAAGCTCAACCTGGACCGTTCACTGTATCGCGTGGGTATCACCAAAGTATTCTTCCGGGCTGGGGTCCTTGCCGAACTCGAAGACCAACGCGATGCGCTTATTCGAGATATCATGATCCGCTTCCAGTCGGCTGCCCGTGGTTTTGTCCAACGTCGTCAGGCTCACAAGCGCCTTTATCGTGCCGAAGCTACGCGAATTATCCAGCGCAATTTCCAAGTTTACCTTGACATGCAGGCTAATCCGTGGTGGAGGCTCTTCACCCGCATGAAGCCTATGCTTGGAGCAACACGCCAGGCTGCCGAAGTCAAAAAGCGCGACGAAATGATTCAGCAGTTGGAAGCAAAGATGCAGCAAGAAGCCGCCGAAAAACAGCGGGTTGAGGATGAACGCAGACGCGCGGAGATGGACATCCAACGCATCCAGAAAACCTTAGAGAGTGAGCGTGCGCTAGCATTAGACAAAGAGGAGATCTTCAAGCGCCTTCAATTGCGTGAGGCTGAGCTCGCCGAGAAGCTAGCCGGCGCTATTGAGGACCAAGACCAGCTTGAGGATCAACTGGACGCTCTTATGGAAGCCAAGAGGAGAACGGAAGACGAGGCTGAGCATTTGCGCGGAGAGCTTGAACAAGCCGGACAGATCATCAGCAGGCTTGAAACTGAAGCGCGAGAGCTAGAGGAGCAAAGTTCTCGGCTGGAAGAACAAATCAAGGAACTCGAGGCCATCAGGACACAACGGACTGAGGCGGAGGAATCATTGAGCCAAGAAGTGAAGATGCTCCAGAGCCACCTTTCTTTGAAAGAGAGAAAGCTTCAGGATCTTGAAGCAAAACTTTTAAAGACGGACCAGGATCTTGACATCAAGCTGGCAGCTTCGCAGAAAGAAGTACAGTCGGGCAAAAAGCAGATTAAGGAACTGTTGGACGAGAATCGGCAAATTCGCCAACAGATTTCAGATCTGTCTGCTACGTCCACGAGTTATGAAGATCTCATCAGGCGTAAGGAAAGCGAGTTGGCAATCCTGAAGACCGATCTGAAAAACTATGAAAACGACCGCCGCTTGTTTGACGACGAGAAGCGAACGTTGGCATCCAAGCACGACAGTCTCCAGAGCCGCCTCCGTGATGCGAATGCAGAGCTGGACGCTATGCGCTCGCAGAAACAACAAGTGGAGCGCGAGGCTGCGGATGCGAAGCGTCTTCTGGAGGAGAAAATTTCCGAGGACGCCGAGTACAGCGAGAGCCGCAAGCTCTTGCAAGAGCAAATTGAAACTCTCAAGGGTGAACTCTTCACAGTACAAAAGGAACTCAGTCGAGAAAGACAGTCCCGTGATGACGTTGAGATGCTTGGTGAGCACAGATACGACACACTCAAGCGTGATTATGATGCGTTGAACGAGTCAAAGATCACTATTGAGAAGGAGATGTATGCTCAACAAGATGTGCTACGACGAGCAACCGAATCGCGGGCAGCTCACGAAAGGGAGCGAAAAGAGTACCAAACTGAACTGCATACTCTCCGCGAGAAGTATCTGAGACTAGAGGGGGAGAAATTGGACGCTGATGCTGAGGCAGAGCGCGCACAGGCAAAGCTAGCTCTGGAACGACAAGCTGCTCAACAACGCGAAATCGAATCTAAGGACCAGCAGCTCGACCAACTGGAGGCGGAGCGTGACGAATTGGCTGAGCAGGTTCACAATTTGACCCAAATGCTTGCCGACTCTGATTCATTCAAAGAGCGGAACGACCAGCAAAAAGAGCGTCTTGAACGCGAGATCGTCACAATCAAAGGGCGGCTGACAGCGTCGGAGAATGACAACCGTGCTCTTCTAAACAAGCTCCAACAGAAGAACTTGGACATTGCCCGAACCAATTCCCGAGTTGGCGATACGCAACGCCTCAAGATTACCCAACTGACCCATGAGAAATCCAAGGTTGAGGAGGAGAATAAGCTCCTGATGCGTCAACTCGAGGATGCCCAAGTTGCCATTACGTCTTTGGAGAAGCAAAAGGAGAAGCTTTCTCTAGACCTCGAGGATCTGAATCACGAAATTGCAAGAGAGCACAAGGCGAGCCGTAACGCAGAGAAGGCTTCATCAACCGTCAACATTCAGCTCGCCGAGGTCAACCGTAAGCTGGAGACCGAGCGACAACTACGTACTCAAGCCCAGGCCAATACGCGTGCTGTTCAAGCATCCCTCGACAACACGAACCTCGAGCTGGAAGAATGCCATAAGCAACTCATGCTTCTTCGCAAGGTCTTTGACCCAGAAGCAGCTGATGTGGCAATCACCTACGAAGCCGCGAAGCCCGAGATCGCCAGGACAGTGGATATCGCCGAGCGTCTTGAGTCTGTCAACCAAGCTTTGCGTGTAGCGGTAGAGCGATACTCACGTGCTGAATCTCAACTCGAAGAACTTCGCGAAAGGCACGAGGGCGAACTCAACGAAATGGATGTCCGCCATGCTAATTCGAAGCGTGCACTTTTGGAAGAGATGAATAATGGCCAGGTCAATCAAGCCAGTGTCCGCCATACGCCAACACATCACCGAAAAGACAGCGAAAACCGCCGACCATTTTCAATCACAAACACTCCAACTAACCAGCGACACATCAATGCAAACGACTCTGCACGTTCCGACAAGACTATCGACACTGTCACGTTCAACAATCGCATGGACATGGCTGCCGAGCTTGAACAGGTACAGAATCAGTTGCAGATGTCAGAGATGCAAAACAAACACCTTAGAACTCAGCTTGAGTCCTCGCAAAGCCGAAACGAGTGGCAGGAGGAAAGCCCCTCCATCCGACGTGTGCAGAAGCTGGAGCGTGAGAATTATCGTCTGCATGATATGCTGGATGATTCGGCAACAAAGGTCTCTGCACTGGAGCACAGTCTTCGTTCCGGTCAACTCTCCTATCAGGAGGTACAGACAAAGTCTCATGAGCAGCTGTTTGATCTATTGAATTCACAAGAACAATCACGCAAGTCAATTGTACAGGCACACAACAATGCCATCAATGAACTTGCAGATGCAAAGACTGCCTTTGACGATATCAAAGACGCCAAGATTGCTTTGGAGTCGGAGCTTCGCGAGCTTCACCACGAACTTCAAGAGATCACCAGTGAGCGAGAGCAGGAGCACGCCAACCACAGCCAGCTCCTCCAAGAGTTTGCTGATCTTCAAATTCGACTGGACAACGAGACGTCAACCCTTGTTGATGTACAATCAAGCTTGAACATGTACAAGAGTAGGGCTGACGAGTACTTCAACAAGCTTGAACAGGCAGAGATTGCAGTTTTGAGAGCATCTCGTGCTGAGCAGTTCGCAAGGTCCCAAGCTCAAGAAGCCGAAGAGACATGTGCAACAATCATGGCTGAACGTAAGGAGATGGATGCTATGGTTGAAGATCTACAACGAACAGTTCAACGATACGACGAGCGTGTTGAAGACCTATCTACAGACTTGGCGGCTGCTCTACAAGCCAAGAAGCGCCTTCAAAATGAGCTTGAAGACTACAGGAGCCAGCACGCTCATGATGTGGAAGACAGTGAGACTTCGTTGGAGCAGACCAGGAAGAAGTACCAGACCGAACTCCAGGCACTTACTCAAGAGATTGACCAGGAGCGTGAGAACATCATTCAAGTACGCGAGGAGAATGGACGTCTGCGCGAGGAGATTGAAGAATTGAGGAACAAGTGGGATGATGAGGTTCTGAACTCATCGACCTGGGCAAAGGAGAAGAGCCGTCTTGAGATGACTCTGCAAACCATTTCCGACTCGCGCGACGAAGCTGCTAATGCGCACAACGAGGCACAATCCAAGATTGTCAGTCTGCTATCACAAGTTCGCACGCTACGCACCAACGTCGACGACCTTGCGGCAGAGCGTGATTCTGCCATCGAAGAGAAGAAGCGCCTTGAGGCACGTCTACAGGAGGCTGCAGCTGCTTTGGATGATCTTTCTCGTTCCGAGTCTCCGGCTACGCGTAACGCTGCTGCTTACGACCGCGACTTGCTGGAGCTCAAATCTGGCCTTGCTCAGCAAGAAGATATTACTGCCGCTGCTGTTGGAAAGATGCGCCGTGCAGAGGCACTCGCACAAGAGCTGCAAAAAGACATTGTCGCCGAGCGCGAGGCAAATGTCAAGCTCCACAAAGACAAAGCTGCAGTGGAGAAGAGCCTCAAGGACCTTCAACTTCGCCTTGTGGATCTCGAGACAAAGGGTTATAGTGGATCAGCTGGCAAGGACGTGCGCTTCCTCCACGGACGTATTCAAGAGGTATGTTCTTATGTTTCTCTTCCTTATCTATATCGAATAGTGCTAACAAGTCCAATTAGCTCGAAAAGGCACTCGAAGACAGCGAGACAACACGCCTGTCTGAATCGCGCAGTGTTCGCAATGTAGACCGAACTGTCAAGGATCTGCAAACACAGATCGAACGCCGTGACAAGCAAAACGCCTCTGTTATGGAAGACCTCAACAAGTCTCGTGACAAGATCTCCAGCCTGCTCGCTACCATTGATGAGCTACAGTCTTCGGACTCTACGAATCAACTCGCCGCTAAGCGTGCCGAGCGTGAACTCCGCGAAGAACGTGAGAAGACTTTGCGTTTAGAGCGTGAACTCGAAGGCTGGAAGAACCTACGTGTCGACCGCCGCAGTATTCTTGGCGTCCCGCCAGCCCCTGTCAGTGATGCGGGAGACAGCCGTTCCAGGAGAGGTAGCTCGATCGGCCTTTTGATGGGAGAAATGGGAGAAGCGTCTGCCAACGACAAGGGCAAATATGGCAGTCTCCGATCAAACCTTCGTCGCGTTAGTGGTCAGAAGGGTTTTTTGTAGTTGACGGGATCTCTGAGGGGCGGGGAGTATGGAGGTCCCGGTATCCTTTATTGAAGCTGAGTCCGCCAGCCGAAGAAGAAGAGGACTTGGCAACGAGAGATATTGTTAATAATGGTCATGGTAATGTTGTTGAAGAGGTGGAGCTGGACTCGGATGAATTCGCTAGTTTGGCGCATGCGGTGGGAAATCATGCTATTGATGATGCCGCCGGTGGGGCTGAAGAGATGAATTTTGAGATTACTGATGATGAGTCTCTGGCTGGTGATGATGGCGATAGCGCTGTGGGTATCAAGAGGAGGAGGACTATACGCGTCGTCATCAGGTCTAGGGCGTTTTTGTAATCGTTCGATTGGAGAGAAAAAGGGGGAGAACTTCGCTGGTATTGCTTTATGCGGTCTACGCTAATAAGCATTCTGCGCTTTTTTTAAGCACTTTTGGTTCATGCTGAGCATGGCGTTGCAGTGTGGTTGGCTTATATCCAGGGAACTAGAGGGTCTTGCATGGCTCGGCTCTTAGGTGTGGGTCTTTTGGATAGGCCCTTTCTATATGATTTATGTTACGTATTACGTTTAATTAATTATCTACTACTATTAATGGCTACTGCGAGTACCGTTTTTCTACTCAAGTTGCATTACTTTGGGGATCAAGAGATTGTTTTGACTTGGTGTTGAACTGGTGATGCACCGTGGTCACATAAAGAGAAGCAGATGCACTCCAAGCAAATATATCCAAACAAACAAGAAGTTCATATAAAAAGTCCATATACAATAAACCCAATATCTGCAAGTCCCAAAAGCTATTTACAAAATCACCCAACCACCCCTTTCCCCTCCTCTTTCATCCTCCACCTCAAACACAAGCAAAAGCAAGCAGCGTAAACACATCCCCCGCATACCCATTCACCACACCCGCCACCGTCCCAAGCCCACCCATAATATCCTCACACAACTGGCTCTGATCCACCTTCTCCATGGCAATATCGACCGCAACATTCGGAGGCGCCGCATTTGGCGCATCGGGCGCCTGATAATTAATGCCCCAGAACTTGGGCACCTCACAGTTGACCCCCTTTGACTTCTTCTGCGGGCAATACGCCATAGCCGTGGTACCGAAGCAGTGATTCGTATACGTGACTTCCTCGCATTTGGCGATTTCCTTGGCGGCTAGGGCGAGGATGTCAACGAGGCCGTTGCGGATCCAGGTTGGGTAGGAGCCGTCGGGACCGAGTGTTACTTTGATGGGGTCGACGCGCGAGGGGGAAGTGAGGGTGCCGCTGAGTTCGATGGGGTTGGTTTCGCATTGTCCGGATTCGTGGCAGATGGGGCCGATGGCGGCCATGATGGCGTCGGGGGTTAAGGAGCCGACTTGGACGGTTTCTTTGGAGACTGTGGGGTGTTAGGATGGTGTGGGAGGAGAGGAGAGGGGAGAGGGAAGGGAAACTGACAGGTGAGTTTGATGTTGCCTTTGCTATCCCAGGTTGCTTCACTGCGCTTGGTGATGGGGTCGTGTTTTATGGAGGGCACGACGCCGGCGGAGGCGGTGGCGGTGAGGAGGGCAATGGTGGTGAGGGTGTTGGAACGCATGGTTGCTGATCGTATTGAATGGGGAGTATAGATGGAAAATTGATAATCAAGCTGATTGTTTGGTTGTTGTAGTAGTGAAGAAACTGAGTAGATGCTGATGATACTTCCATCTTCCAGCGACTCACCCACTCCTTTATACTTCTACACCTGCATCTCCTCCATAACTTCACCGCCCAACTCTTCAACACCCCATCTTCAGGCGTCCTCTTCGCCGTTCAAAGTCGCCATTCACATCGCCCTCATCTCCCCAGAAGCACCGAGCAAAAACCCCCATCCAGCAACCCAACTTGCCAATCCCGATATCCAAATCCTTGGAATCGGAAGGGAGGCTCAGATGTAGTAAACTGACCAATCGCACCTTACTATCAAGCCCCCCAGGAACCATCTCGTCCGCAAGCAAAAGAGGGCCTGAAAATAGCTACGTACTTACTACATTCGACCTCCCCCAGCAAAGATCCCCACACACCCCATGTCCCCCCTTCTCCAACGGGGGGAGTCCATACAAATAACGTCTACTAGGCTGTCCGTATCCGTAACTTGCCTTGGCACCCTACGTACTTGCGCCTGTGCATGGGGGGCCTAGGGCACCTAAACATTCTACGTAGAAAGCTTGACCCACCAACCGGGATCGTAGTAAGTAAAATGCGGACGCTAACATCGGTTCCGCCAAGCCACCAGCAGATGGGGACGATGAGGCTGAGTCTAGCGAGAATGACATCGCCGACTAAAAAACGGTTGCAAGATGGGCGATGCGCAATGGAAGATATGCAGGGGCGGGACGGGACGCCTTATCGTATCTCTTGTCTTGGTAGCAAGGCTGTGAAGACAAAAGATCGGCGTGCACATACGCATGCACGTATTCACAAAAACGACATTGTTTTGCAAGTATGCATTACCGTGCGGCTTTGATAAGTCTGTAGTGGGAATTATTTGGTTTCTCGAACATTGCTTTGGCATCTATGAAGAAACGATTGTTTTTGATTCGCCTCCAATAAAAAAAAGAAAACGTTGATACTACAACAGTTTTGAGATGATATGCCCTCCGTGCCCTTACCAAAAATGAGCCTACCTTTTTACTTACCGTGACATATCACCACCCACGATAACATTAAAAGAAACAATCCCTACAATCGTAAATTGAAAGGTCTAACCCCCTCCCCCCCGTGTTCACCCATTACCCAACCCGCAGTTTGCAACTGGCACCGAAAAAAATAACTCCCCTTTCAACCATACTGCCCTCTCTCCAACACCCATCCAGCTGCAAAACCCCAAACCCTCCCTCACTAAACCTTATCTCCCCCCCCCTCAAATACCAATTCAACCAAACGTTATGCGCCAAACTACACCTACTGTGCTGCAGCCTTCCGGAGTCAACCACAACGCTAACGGCATGACGTCGGTCAATCCGATTCAGCCGGCTTGCTCCGCCGACATTTTTTGCCATTTCACGTGTGTGAGTGTATGCTCAGCCTCAAAGCAAAAGCAAAAAGAAAAGGAAGAAAAAAAGAGGAACGAACGGGGGGGGGGGNGGATAACAATCAGACGATTGGCTGGACAAGGCTGCTGGAAGAAAAAAGAAGTTCTTGCCCTGCCAGAAGAAGATGGATAGTATTACTACTAGTGGGGGAAAACAAACAACTCAAGGAAAGTTAAACGGCAACGTTGGAAATCGCGCTCCGCCGCGTCGCAAATATTTACCTTTCGGGAGGGGGCCGGAGGGCCGGAG